TCAGCGGTTCAAATCCCTAGTGCTGCGTAACGGGATGAGCTCCTGTTACTTGTCCCAGCTTCTGCCAACCTAGCAGTTTGAAAGCATGTAAAAAATACAAGTAGAAAAGTATGGACCACCTTTGGTGGGAAGGTAACAGCGTTCCGTGCACCTTTGCCGTTTAGTCATGCTGGCCACCTGATCACGGAGACGTCTTTGGACAGCGCTGGCTCTTAGGCTTTGAAACAGAGATGAGCACCGCCCCCTAGAGTCGGGAACAACTAGCACATATGTGCGAGGGGAACCTTTACCTTTAGTTCCATGTATCAAAATATGGGGTGAGAATTTTTATTGGGAAGGGGTGAAGGTTTGGCAGGGGAGACTTTTAGTGCTAAGAAGAACAACTGCAGAGAGCACCATGTTCCCAGGAAACACAAAGGCAAGAAAACAAAGGACAGGAGACATGGCCGGGTAATTTTTTTGGTGACTGAGAGCACCCTTCCACTCCTCTATCCATCTTAAGCTTTATCCAGGTAATTATGTGCCTAGAGTCACACTGCATACACAGAAAGAATAGTGATTTTACATATTGTTTTAGTTTGTTTCACCTGCCATTTATTTATTTATTTAGTTTGCTTTTATATCAGGAGAGGTGGTGGCACAGGGGTTAGAATGCAGTATTGCAGACTAACTCTTCCCAGAGCCAGGAGTTCGATCCTGACCAGCTGAAGGTTGACTCAGCCTTACCAAACCACTTAGAGCGGGCTGTAAAGCACTGTGAGGCAGTATATAAGTCTAAGTGCTACTGCTATTTCAGGGCTTATAGCTGTGATGGCGAACCTATGGCAAGCGTGCCACCTGTGGCACGCGGAACCATATTGGTGGGCACACGAGCATTGCCCTAGCTTAGGTATGGTGCGCATACCTGCGCCGGCCAGCTGATTTTCGGGCCTTCCAGGCCCACCGGAAGTCAGCAAATGGGACGTTTCCAGCCTCCAGAGGGCCTCGGGGTGGGGGGGGAGGCCGTTTTCACTCTCCCCAGGCTCCAAGAAAGCCTCTGGAGCCTGGGAAGGATGAAAAACAGGCCTACCGGGCCCACCAGGCCATCACATGCTAAAGCGGGGGAAGCACGCAGGGGGTCGAATGCACATGCATGGGGGGGTGGGACGCATTGAATTATGGATATGGGCACATGCGCGCGACCCCCCCTCCCCCCAGTGCTTTTGGCACATGACGGCGAAAAGGTTAGCCATCACTGGCTTATAGCATAGTTTTTATTTACATTCCACTACTAAATGGCAGTAATCTATGCTATCCGTATTCATTAGTCACAGTCAATGAAGACTCTGGGGAATTACATAAGGCAGATTCCAAATGTACATATGGTTGAAATTCAACTTTTCAGGCATCAGATTTCTATAACTATTAATATGTTGTCTGTTAAGGGCCATAGATGTGAAGACCTTTAGTAGAAGAACACTGCAACTCTTTATGTTACATAGCTTCTATTGTGTAGTACAATATTTTCAGGGTTCTCATCATTTTTTCTCACTCTCTCTCTCAGCTCTCTTTTGACTCTCATCTCTGTACTTCTGGTCTTTTTCTGATCCACTCTTTCTACATGCTGGAGGATAGCATCCTAGAGGCACTTCGGTAGAGACAGACTTAAGTAGCTGAGGCCTTTATTATTTCCAAAATAAAGCTTGTCTATTTTTGTTCCATGCAAGTACTAGCCTCCAGAATACTTTCTGACAGACATTATATTCCTAACTTTAGCATTCCTCTTGTCACATTTTCTTTTCAATGTGTAAAACTATCTGATACCTCATACAAAGAGCCTTGAGGCTACAAATGGTCCATCCTTTCATCTGTGCCAATTTCCATGATCTCACTGTCACAAAGGTGTTTTTTCAAGAGGCAACTGGACTTTCTGGTTTTTCTGAAGACGTTTCGCTTCTCATCCAAGAAGCTTCTTCAGCTCTGAAAGATGAGAAGCGAAACATCTTCAAAGAAAAAACAGAAAGCTTCTTGGATGAGAAGCAAAACGTCTTCAAAGAAAAACCCAAAAGTCTAATTGCCTCTTGAAAAAGCACCTTGTGACAATTATGACCTGGATGACTGAGAATCTTCAGAGACATGTTCTCACTGAATGCAGGTAGTTCTTGAGTTACGGCCACAACTGAGCCCAGAATTTATGATGCTAAGTAAGACATTTGTTAAGTGAATCACTGCAGTTGTTAAATTAATAACACCATTGTTAAGTAAATCTGGCTTCCCCATTGAAGCCACTTTCCTTGTCAGAAAATGACCCCAGGACCCCATACTTATGACTGCAATCGTCATATGTGTGAACCAGCTGTCAAGCATCATAATGTAAATCATGTGACCATGGGAATGCTGCAATGGTCATAAGTGTGAAAAATGTCATAAGTCACTTTTTTCAGTTCTGCTGTAACTTCGAATGGTCACTGAAAGAACTGTTATAAGTTGAGGACTACCTGTACTGTGATGCTGGGAACACAATTTGGGGAAGACTGACTTAAAACCCTGAGTCTTCTCAGGGAATTCTGAAAATCCCAATTCATCTGAAAGCCTGATTCGCTTACTGCTTTACAAGCTGCAAAAACTGATTGGATTTCTAGAAAAAAACGGAGGAAGTGGCAAGCTGAGTAACAAGAAACCAAGGACATACACATGGAAAAGGCAAAATGAAGATCTAAATTTGCTTCCGTGGCATCTCTAATTAAAATAGATTGAGCCGCGGGCTCTCCAGAGATACTGGTGAACTTCTGCCAAGCTCTCCAAGTAATGGAAAAGCACAGTTAATAGCACAGCAGTTCATGCAGTCCATCTCAGTCAGGAATGAGGATTAAGGGATTAAGCAAGAGATAGAATAATGCTTTGATGTAGCTCCTTCTACAGTACAGATTTGGGGCTTAAATAGCACTGTCAATAAAGTATGAAGACAATGCTCATGTATGACCATCGCTCAACAAGTGCATCTGCTCTACATACAGAAGGTCCAAGATTCAATCCCTGGCATGTCCAGTTAAAACCAATCAGATCTATTTACAGTATGTACTTTTCTATTAAACAAATGTATAAGGCTGTCCAACTTACACATGGTTCCTCTGGGTGGCTTAAGAATTAAAATGTCACAGTGGAAGAAGCCATAACACATACGCCCCTCCAATATTTAGCAAATATGGCTAAAGATCTTGGAGAGCTACTGTCAATCGGAGTAAAATGCCAGATTGAAAAAGAGTCTGCTTATGTACCACTCACAGCCTGCAGCTGCCTAGAAAGATTATAAAAGAAAAATCAAATAGAACAAATGGAGCTGGTGTAGTGGTGAAGATGCTGACCTAGAAACCAGGTAACAGTGAGTTCTAGTCCCATCTTAAGACATGAAAGCCAGCTGGATCATTTGGGGCCAGTCCGCTCTCTTAGCCCAACCTCACAGAATAGTTGTGGGGAAAAAGAGGAGGAGGAATTATGCACGTTTGCCACCTTGAGTCACCTATAAACAGCAGTGGGTTTCAATTTAATTTGCTACCGGTTTGCTCGTGTGTGCACATGCTCGTGCATGCGCAGGAGCATCTGGGTGGGTGAGTGGAGCCTCCCGCCGCCACCGCTACCAGTTCGCCTGATCCGGGGTGAACCAGTAGCAACTCACCACTGCCTATAAAGTAATAAAGGCAGGATAAAAACCTAATAAATCTAATCTAATAGATACAGAGACAATTTGCTCAATTCTGCCTGCTATGTGTATGTGTGTGAGATAGAATATGCATCAGCACATCACCTGCCAAGATAGAATGATGCTCCAGAGATGCTAAAAAATGCAATGACAAAGCCATAACATCCACTAAGTCTAAACTGAAGAAAGTCATGATGCATTTAAAAGATTGCAGACACTATTACTGAAAGATTACCATGCTGCTCATTAACAGAGCAGCACGGAGAGAAAAAAGGAAAGAGGACAGAGACATAGAAAGGTGGGCCTTAAAAGTTAATATAGCATGTGAGCCAGTGGGCTACACTCTTCCATCTCTTCCAGTCTTTGATGCAATGATTGTATCAAAGATTTGGGACACTGAAATAACAAAGTTCCTAAATTTGGCACTTTCAGAACTGTGCTAAAAAATGCCTTTAAAGGTATTACAAAGAATGCCAATATCTTTAGCATTAGTTCAATATATACCTTACAAAAGAGCTGATGAATCTTTTATTTTAGATTAAGTATGAACAATGTTTGAGGGGTTGGGAGTTGTAATTCAGACTTTTAACCTCCCAGAAATATACAGGAAGTGCTCTCAAGAAGTCATAGAAAGAGTAGGCTACCCTATTTTCTGTTCCTGATTCAGAATCACTAGGGAAAATAAATCACAGCCCATTTCAGTGTTTGGGGGATTTTAAAATTGGGGCTTCCCAGAATGTTTTCATGCCTAACCTTAAGATATCCTGTATTTTTAAAAAACTGAAATCGGCTCCCAAAAGGCATTCTGATACAGGGAAGGAGTCAAATTCTGACAGTGAGAACTTGAGGTGCTGGTGAGCCGCAGATTAACAATCTTTGCCACTGTGTTGGCAATTTCAGCTCCCAACCTGTCAAATGCTGTCCCTATCTAATCTATGCTAAGAGAATCACCAGCCCTTTTGTAAAGATATGTATTGAATTAATGCTACTGACATTCTTTGTAACATCTTTAAAGGCATTTTAAAAATAATATTAGCATTTAAACTTAAATCAGCAGACTCCATATGGATATGAAATTTCCTTTCAGATTACTGTCTGTGTGAGCATGATGTACATATTCTAGGATGACTGATAAAAGGCACTTGCAAAGTAAATGCTCTCCCACACCTCCACAATTTTTTCTGCATACTGATAAAGCAAGGACAATGGTTCTGGTAGAGTCAGTATTGTTGTCAATATAGCATTCAGAAAGTGCAGAGAATGGACCCACCTGGCCACAGGTTTCATACAAGAAGAGAAAGAAAAGCATCGACCATTTTACCTTTATGTCCATCTCAGGGTTGACAAATTCTTGCAGATACTGAATGGGTCCCATCAGGAAAGGGCAACGATTGCTGAACACCTGTCCATATTAGAATGCAAGAGGTGAGACAACAAATAGGATCTACAGTACCTTTTGCTTACAAGCTATTTAATTGCCTTCCCTCCACCAAAAAAACAAAGCAAGGAGCAAGCCATTGTTTGTAGCTATGTGTATCAGGGTCCCACCACTTACCTTTTGAAGTCCCTCCTGTGCCATTGACCGGAACCACAGAATTTCCCCAATAATTGTCATCCTTTTTAGAACATTATCTATGCCTGGACAGAAGAGATTGTGATTAGACACAATTTTCCAGGAGCCACAAGACCTTTAGCTTAGCTTATCCAAAGCTGTTGTGTGTGATTGTATTTGAAGTATAATGTCCATAATCCCTATCACCCATTTTATCATAGGATACACTAGTTGGGAACCATCGTCATTCCATAAGTACCTTTAGAAGGCATCCAAATGGGAGAGACTATCCAACATCAACAGAAGTTGTTGAGTTAGTTCTATGAAAACAAAGATAGTCTAAACCAGGAGTCTCCAAATTTGGCAATTTTAAGCCTGGCAGACTTCAACTCCCAGAATTCTTAGATTCTCCAGGCTTAAAGCTGCCAAGGTTGGAGATCCCTGGTCTAAACAGTCTTAGAGTGAGAGCACAACACAGTTGCAATATTTAAAACCAATGTCTAGAACAACAGGAGCTTTTACAAGACTGCATCTGCTGGTAAGTTTCTAATGATGTCAGATATATTTAGAATCTGAAGCCACTTTTGTGGAACTCTGCAGAGAGGTTTGGCAATATAATATTCTATTCTGTTCCATTCCCTCCCCATTCCCCCACCTCACCCCATTCAAACCTATTAGCTAGTCTCAGGATATATCCAGATAGCTGCCCTAATATGCTGTAATGCATGACAAAACTATGCCATCATAATTTGCTCTGTCCCCACACCCAGTTTCCAGTCTGCTTTACTGAAGAGTTTGGTAAATTGTGTCGATTTCATTGAGGGCCGCATCAGGGTTGTGTTTGACCTCCGGGGGCTGGGGTGGGCATGGCCAGCTCAACGTCACTCGTGTTGGGGGCGCCTATGGTGGCCGGAGTGCGCTGGTAGAAGCACTGCAGGCCAGTCCTTCGCTGCTTCCAGGGCAGCCCCATGGACCAGATCTAAGTACCCCGCGGGCCAGATCCGGCCCCCGAGCCTTGGGTTTGCTATAGAAGAAGAAAAATCCAGTTTCAAGTCCACATTTAGCTATAAAAACTTCCCAGGTGACTTGAGAGTGTTCAATGGTCATGCTCTCTCAGCTCACATTATGCCACAGAGCTCTTGTGAGAAAAAGTGGTAGCGGAAATGTCATGCTCACTATCCTGAGCTCTTGGGGGAAAGGTGAGTTAAACCTAATGAATTTATTATCTCTAAAATATTGGGATTATCAAAACAGTGAGAAATGAGACATAGTACCATCCATTCTAAGATTTGGTCTGAAAACATACATTTAAAAGTCAGCAATAAAGCCCAGAGTCAAAACAGATTTGACTTCTGTATAGTTGTGGTTTCTCTCTGTTTTCTTTTAAAAAACAAAAAATCCTGAATTCTCTATCAGTCCCACTGATGACTACTGAATATTTGAGGCAGAGAAGAACAAGTACAGAACTATTACCTGATAGGCGGGGCATTAGCGTTGCCATCTGCTCTGGACGGCAATAGTTGGATCTGATCTGAACCAAAGTATCCATATTCTCAGTCACAAGTTTCTGGAAAGAATGAAACTTGGTGATATCGTATGACGATGCTGGAGATGGTACAAAATTTATCTTGAGCAGCCTGCGTCTCAGTTTGCTTTGAGAAGTAGCCATATGCCAATCTTCAAATCTCTCCTTAAGAAACTTAGCAGAATTTCTAGAACCAGACCTTCTGCTCAGTGCCTTTTCTTCTAATATGAAAGGCAGGTTTCATGCACCGCAGTAAGCCACTATTGACTAACTAGACCAGTCAGCTCACTTAATATACTGTACTACACCGTGAGGAATGGCAGGGGACTTACAAAAAACTCTGCTCAAACCAGATAAATTATATTATGACTTCATGAACCCAGAATAAGTAAGAAAATAGCTGATTCCAATCTGTTCCCCTCTCAACTGAGCTTTATACCTTTAGCTCCACCATCTGTGAGGTGACATGCCACATGAGGTTATCACTTAGGAACTTCAGTCCATAAGGACCAAGGAGTTCAGCCAATGCTCTCATTTCTGCAAGGAAACCAAAAGGAATTCATTTTTATTATAGTACAATAGTACAGTATGTATACTTAAAATAGCCATGGCAGGGTCAATCTATAGACATCAGGGAAAAGGAGACATCAGATGTTGGTTCATCCTCTTCCGATTATAGAAACTGCAACAGAGATTTCAGCCTTCTCATTTAACCTATTGGTGGCCTTTAAAAAAAAAAAGCAATAGCCAAGACTACATGGCACTGGCAATGATGAATACAACTCACTCAAGAGACTACGACCGTGATGGCGAACCTATGGCATGCGTAAGCCATATCAGTGGGCACGCCAGCTTAGCTCTGGCGCACATGTGCATGCCGGACAGCTGATTTTCGGGCCTTCTGGGCCCACCAGAAGTAAGGAAACAGGCTTAGTCACTAAAACCTTGTCTGGGATGGAGAGAGTTGCTGAAATAATTATCTTAAATTTAGTGGATATTTGTCATACATTTATATTTACTTTTGTTGTTGAAGATACTGTTGATTTTCAACATTTTGCTGCCAGAAATTAGTGGCATTGTCTTGGAAAGCTTCAGAGATATTCAGAAAAAGGCCAGGAAGGATACGGAGGGCCCATGGGCTGATATCTATCCACTTTGACTTTAGTAGGCAGAGTTTTATCTCCATTTGGTATGATGTCCCAAGTTCATCCCTGTCTTCTAACTGGTTGAGAAACAGCCAAGAGCCATTTCCCCGCTGGACGTCTGTAGAGCTACACAATTTGAGATGAACACCCTTTGAATGGCTTTCCTGAGGAAAAATTGTAGACTACAAGAACCAGGAGCACTACTCAGGTGACCCTGAGGACTCCAAGTGCTTCAATGACCCTCTAAAAGGATGCAAATGACCAGCTGTCTGCAAGGAATATAAATCCTATAAATTCCCAACTATCCTGCCAGAGCTGAAGAATCTTCTTGGATGAGAAGTGAAACCACCGCTGAGGCCAGAGAGAGAGACAACTGCAAAACTTCCATTGTTCTGAGATCCAAACTCTATGACATACTGAACATTCTAACTAGGAAGCTCATATGCAAAGCATGTGCTTCTGTCTCGTTTTAAGTTGTGTCTTTAAGATCTTACATTTAAGATCTTAAATGTAGATCTTTTTTTTTTTTAATCTTTGTATATCACTGTGAGAGTGTTATGTTTGAAATGGCTAACTGGATGTTAAGGTTCCCTGTGCTGATGCTGTCTTGGTTCTGAATACTTTAGTACTAAACTCAATTGCTGGTCCATGTAGTTTGCTTATGAACAATATGGAAGTGGCTCCTCCTCCTCCTCCATTACTGAAGATTACTCCATTATTTTCTGCTTCATACGATTTGCTACATCTTCAGATTTAAACCTCAGCTGCAATTCACATGCTCAAAATATGCCTGAGCCAAGCTAGGCTTGGTGGGAATGCCAGAGCTTCAAATGGGCAGTACAATTCAAACCTGTCAGCTCATTTACTAATACTAGGGATTAAATTCAAATGAGGTAACCCATTGTAACCCAATTCTGAATGGTTCTGTCTAGGCATTTTGACACCTACCTAGGACATCAGAAAATTCTTCAGCATTGAAGATCTGTTCCCCTTCTTTGGGAACACTGACAAAGGCTTGCATTAAAGGTGAAAGGACAATGGATCCCATGCTTGCCTGGCGTAGAAGTGACTCCAGATACCTGGGAAGAAATTCCAAGAAAATCTATTCCATCTAAGAACAACTAAGTACAACTTTCTTAAACATGTTGCAGGGCAGCTATGTGGGAAGAGGAAATTACAGAGCCAGGAAACCTTACTAGCAAAAAGTCTTCCTAAGAAGGCTTTGCCTCACAACCATAATATTCTTTCTATAAGAATGTACTAACAGAAAGAAGGAACAGCTCATCCATACCTGAAAATAGAGTCTTATTTTCAACACAGACAATTCTCAATGTAGTATCTAGTCTCGAGAAGAATTTTTTAATGAATATCTCAGATATTTCAGGGCTGACTTTTGAAATTTCAAGGAGATAGTAAAACTGACCTTAATGACCTTGGGACAAATTATGCCCAGGCTCCTACAGTTGTACAGCAGTATTTTCTCCCTGCAGGTTACCATTATGCCCCGGCCACATACCAGTTGGTATAGAGTGTGGTGATTGTCTGCTCCCCACTTGCATCCAGTGGCTGGGTGTGTTGCAGGAGCACCCCACGGAGGAGGCGCGAAGTATCCACTCCTACACGATGCATCAGGGACACCAGGAAAGTAGCATAGGCCTGCACGCCTGCTAATACTTCTGTGGGACGCACTATCTCTGGAGAACTTGGGTTTGGTTTTACCAGTCGCGCCAAAGACCTATGGGCAAGATCAGGAAAACAAGGACAAACAACAAAAAAACACACATAAACATATCAACTTGCAACCCTCAAGTCACTATTCTGCAGTACAATATTTTTTCTTTTCATTTATTTATTTTATTTTATTTCATTTCATTTCATTTTATTATTTTATTTCATTCATAAAATTTATTGGCCACCCATCTTACCATAGGGTAACTCTGGGCATCTTACAGATGCCCTGTTTCCCCCAAAATAAGACATCCCCTGATGATAAGCCCAATCGGGCTTTTGAGCGCATGGCAATAAGGCCAAGCGTTTATTTCAGGGTTCAAAAAAATATAAGACAGGGTCTTATCTTTGGGGAAACACGGTACATAAAATCCAAAACATAAAAGTTAAAAACAAACATTAAAACCAAAAACACATGGGGGAGTGTGGGGACGGAGTGTGTGTGTGGGGGGAGGAAGTGGGATCTATTATTACTCAAATCAACCACCTCCATTGCGCTGATCCCTCACTGGAGTCCCAAGCCAACTGACACAGCTATCTCTTTAGGCCCTTATGTTCCGTTATGTAGCTTACAATGCCTCAGCAAAGAGGAAAGAAATGGGTCCAAGGAACACAAGCCAGGCCTGATAGTACATTTGGAACTGGATTAGATATTTGCTTATGGAGAGAGTGGTGGGGTAACAGCAAGAAAAAAATATCAGCAGTTTTAAATGTTAGCTACAAAGGAGACTTAAATAATCTGTCTGAACAAACAATATGTAAGGAATAACAAGGTATGGATGCTGTGGTTTATGGGGCCCTTGTTTGCCTCCTTTGCATTACTGACTGCCCTGCACAAATTAGCTTAGCTCCTCTTCAAGATGATCAGATATTTAGTGCGTTTTCATGATCTAGCAAGTTCAGTTCCAGGACTGAAACACTTGCAGGTCATTTTTATTAATTGGGTTCACATAAGCTTCAAAGTGGCATTTTATTGTTGTCTGCTATGTCTACCAATACACTTTAATTCAAACTGAAGGGGCTCCCCTCAAAGCAAGACAAAATGAAAGCATCGTAATAATACAATATGCTGTTATTTGTAGTAACTAAAACAAAAGCAATTCAAAATAATTATCTAAATAAAAAAGCTTGGTGTCAAAACAAAACAATTGTTCCCCACTCTATATTTCTGGTAAGAATAGAGCGATCTAACAGATGGTAAAGCAGATGCAGCTCTACTCTTTAAAGAGCTACAGAAGGAGGCAAAAGCCAGTCAGAAGTTCCAGGAAGAAACATCATCTGGATTAGATGGTATAGCACAGGGGTGTCAAACTCAAGACGGCCCGCGGGTGCTTAGATATGGCCCACAGGGCCTCTGCCAGCAAAAACGGAGCTCACGAGGGCTGCGCATGGTCCTCCCGAGCTCCGTTTTTGCTGGCAGAGGGTTGCAGGAAGTTGTTGCAGCCGAAAACAGAGCTTGGGAGTCCATTTTCGCTGCCAGAGCACTCAGACCACACCCTGTCCCAACATGGCATCCCCAACATGAGTGACATCGAGGCACCCCCAATAATGAGTGACATTGAGCTAGCCATGCCCACCCTGGCCACTCCCCCCCCGCCCCCCCGAGGTCAAACACAGCCCTGATGCGGCCCTCAATGAAATCGAGTTTGACACCCCTGGTATAGCAAAAGCTCTCTTCTCTGGGTTGATGGTCAAAACTAGCTGCCAGCCTCTGCTGGAAAACCATTAAGGAATTCATCAGTGCAGGACCAAAAGAGAAGGTCAAGTATTGTTCCACAGACTAAAATAAGCTTTATTAAAGAGGTAGTTTAAAAAAAAAGTTTTGTAAAAAGGCAGTATTGTATACAGTAGTTAAAGAAGCACACAACATTCTAAGCCACTGATTTAACCATTAATTTAAACCATAATTAACTAGGTTTGGAATCTTTTAGCAAGCAGTGAGAACACCTGACCCATATATGGCAGGCTCCCTACTAAACAACACACTAGTATCTAAATGATTGCACAAACAGTGTTTTACACTGTATTCAGTTAAGGTATCATCTGAAGAATTCAGTATCAGGTCTCTCTACATGCTCCAGTACACTTGACGGCTAACAAACAAAAGAAATATTGTAAAACATTTACCTTATTTTCATTGTTAATTTGCCCTAGGTCACTCACAGAATCTTTAAAAGACTTTGAAACAAACACACCCGATTATGACTTAACATAACGTGGAAACTAACGTTCTATAGAAATCTTAACGCATCCATCTAGCAGATGCCTGGATTTTTATGATCCAGATCTGGGCACCCTAACAAATCCAGCCATTCAATTCATAGACATGCCAAGAATTAAATGCATGGGAGAGTTAGTAAGATTGAAGGGAGGCAGATCATGCCCAATTCACTGAATTGAGAGAAATTCAGGAATGGGACCACACACACACACACACACACACACACACACACACACACACACACATACTTCTTTTCCATTCTTCAAAAATAACATGCAAAAGGTATAGCTGACACCTCCACTATGGTGGCTCACTTCTAGAACAATCACCCTACTCACATGGCAACTATATCCCATTATTTCCTGTACCTGCTGAGTCGGATCTCCAACTGGCTACTGAGATACTCCACTGGAGTTACTATATGCTCAAAGACAACAATGCTGTCTGTTTGGTTTATGCTCCAGCAAAGTTCAGACAGGGTCAGGTGCAACTTGTCCAGACTGGAAAAAGAAAAGAAAAAAGATACAGAATGGATCAGTGTTTTTATAATATAGAAGGCATTTCCCAAAACATTCCTGGCAAGAAACAGGGAAGGGCAGAGAAAAGAAAGTAAAGATCTGGGGAAAGCTTGGGTTAACCCAACTCTAGAAAATACCACTTTGAGTCCAATACACTTTGGGAATATTAGTAAGATCTCGAGAAAGTTTATTTCTTTTTCCACTGCCTGCTCCTAGGTGTTTCAACAAAATATTTTATATATTTTTAATCATACTATCTATCCTGGGTAGCTGGCAGATATAAACAGAATATCTGTGCAGAGTTTCAGGTTCAAAGAGAGAGAGAGGAAAAAGTGCTTCAGAACCTCTGCAGGCACACCTGTAGCACATCAGCAATTCATAAACTGCAAATGTGTCTTGCACTGGATTGGGATTGTGCTACCTGCAGCTGCAGAGGACAACTATGCCATCCACCAAAAGGTGCCGCTGTTTTAAGGAGATGTCAAAAAGTGCCACACAAGTAATTGTTATATATATTTTTTTTCTCTGTTAATTTTGCTACTTTTATATTTTAGGAAGAAAAGTTTCCTTTCCCTTGTGATGATTGATTGATTACACGCCACCAAGTCAGGTCTTGCAACATACACCCATAGCCAATGTAACTGAGTTTATCCAATTTGCCGCTGGTCATCCTCTACCTCCCTTCCCTTCTATTTTTCCTAACTATAGGCCCTTCTCCAGAGAGCTAGGTCTGTCATAATGTATCTGAAGTAGGATCATTTGAACTCTGAGTTGATCTGTTCAATGATCCATTATTTGGTTTTCTTGGTTGTCCATGCGACTCTCAGGAGTTTTCTCCAATGGCAAAGTTCCAAAGTGCCTGATATTCTTTCCATCCTGCTTCTTCAAAGTCCAGCTTTCACATCTACAGAGTGTCACAGAGAGTTACATGGCTTGCACTATTCTGATCTTTTTAGGTAGGTAGAGTCCTTCTTGCATCTGAATATGTTTTCCAAGATTGAATATGTTTTCCAAGATCTTCATGGCTCCCCTACCAAGTACTAATCCGTGATGTATTGCTTGACTGCTTGTTCCCTTAGGATGGTTGATCCTAAAAGGCTGAAGCTATCTACCACTTTGATGTCTTCATTGTCAGTTCTATGATTGGTATCCTACCGTTGTCCTTAGTTTGGTGTTGTTCATCTTTAATTTCTGGCCCATGTTTTTCACTGTGCATCTAGATTTTTATTACTTTTCTATTATTTTTATAACTTGAACTTGCAGTTCCTTTGTATTTTAAGCTATCAGGTAGTGCAATCAGCAAAGTGCAAGTTATTGATCTTCCTCCAATTTTAAAACACATTAATCTTTTTCCAGTCCAGCTTCCTTTAATAAACATTCTGGATGAATAAATAAGGGAAGAATATACAGCCTTGCCTCACAGCTTTACCAATGTAGAGCCAATCTGTTTTGCCATGTTTTGTCTGTACTATGGCTTCCTGAGCTTTATATATAGGTTTCATAGGAGAAGTGTGGGCTTCCCATTCTTCTAAGTACATTGCACAGCTTGACACGATCAACACAATCAAAAGCTTTTGATAGTCAGTGAAGCAGATGCTGACTTTTTAAATATATATTCTTTGGCTTACTTAATTATCCGGCGTGTATTGGCAATAACATTCTTATTGCTCAGCCTTTTCTAAAGCCAGCTTGAACATCTGGCATGTAGAGCTCTAATCTGCTCTGGAAGAGCCTAGCATTATTTTTGCTAGCATGTGAAATTAAAAACAAGGAGTGATAGTCTGCTCTGTAAAGTCTCTTTTTCCTTTCTTTTTTTGGGGGGTGGGTGGGTGGGTTAGGGTTAGGGTTAGGGTACCAATATTGATTGATCTCTTTCAATCTGATGGGCACTGTGTCACTGTTCAAATTTGCTGGTTACAACCTAGACCCGTGATGGCGAACCTCTCTAGGAGTCTCTGGAGGCTGGGGACAGTAAAAAATATCACTTCCTGTCCAACTGGAAGTTGGGAAACGGGCCGTTTCTGGCCTCCGGAGGGCCTCCTGGCAGGTGGGGAAGGCCGTATTCGCCCTCCCCAGAATCATAGAGAGGCTCTGGAGCCAGGTGAAAGAAAAACGGGCCTACCAGGCCATCGCGTGCCGGGAGCGGGGGGGGATCATGCACGCATGCGCAGGGCGCATAGAATTATGGGTGTGGGCACGTGCATGCGACCCCCCCGACCTCGCCCTCCTGGCACATGATGGCAAAAAGGTTAGCCATCACTGACCTAGACTAACACTTCTTCTGTTGCCTGCCTTATTTCTTTAGCTATTCCATTAATTCTTTTAGCCTTCTGACTTGATAAATAAGTAGAATACTGATCTACCCTCATCTCATAGAATTGGGAGTTCTTGTAAATAGGAAACATCTTTTATGCATCTTGGATGTACACTCCTTTCCATCTGTGTTGCTTTTTGTATTCCTTGTGCACTTTTGTACCAATGCAGCTGGAGTCCTCAGAGCCTGATTCAAGGCTATTTGCAGCCCCAATTATAGTTCCATTCCATTATCTAGGAAAGCCATATCCAATCTCTCCTATACATTATAAAATGTTTCATATCCCACCCTTCAAAGCATAAAAATAAACAGCTCCCCTCTCTTCCCATGAAGAAGTATATCTCCTTCATCATACCTATTTTGGTTTTGATTATACATACTTACAAACAAAATAATAGACCAAGAGAACAACCTTAGTTCTGAATTAGCACATGCGATCTTCTTGAAAACACTAGATCATCTTTAGAAATTTCATCATCATGAAAAACCTTTCAGGATATATTAGGATTATATTCAGGATTACATTAGCTATATTTATTATGATAATATTAATTCAGGGTTATATATTAGGATATATTCAGGATTAAATTAACATCTGAGGGTATCTACCGGTATATACTCTCTTATAACAGAACCATCGGATTTCAAAGTTATCTAAAAGGTAATCAGTTTAAGAAATATAAACAATTTGATTGTTATGATCTTACTTTGTGACCAGACTGCGGTCCTTCCGAATACTCTCTGCTCCAGGTTTATCCCTTTCTGGCTCTAACTTTTTGGAAGTTTTTTTTTGAACCCTCTTGGTTCGGGCCTTGCTGATTGTGGGTGCACAGTGCTTGGGTAAGAGCTGGGAGATAAGACAAAGATAAAGAGTTAGGATATGGAATGATTGTGGTGAGCTGTGGTGGTATGGGAAATCACCTTCAAGAAGAAGCTTTTCTCCTACCAGCATGGAAAACCAATTAATAAAATAAAAGCTATGACAACTATGTGAGGTTTCGGTAATCCCCTAAGTATTAATCATTTGCTTTGTCCCATCAACCATCCCCCCAAAATGCTATGGTGTAACCAGCAACATGGTGAATCAATCTTCAGGTAAATCCAGGCTGATATCTAAGGCTTAGTTGGACCAATTGGAGAACCCAAGTGCTTTTGTCAATCAAACGGGTGAGGGGTCCTTGGTGCTCTCCAAGCTTGGTTGTTTTCTTGCAGACATTTTATTACCCAAACTAGGTAATATCCCTGATGATTACTACCGTGTTTTCCTGAAAATAAAACCAGGTCTTATATTAATTTTTGCTCCAAAAGAACTTATTTTCTGGTTAGGTCTTATTTTTGGGAAAACATGGTACTAAATGCATCCATCTGGCTGACAATCTTAACTGGGCTTATTTTGGAGGTAGGGCTTGTGTTACAGGCATCCTGAAAAAATCATGCTAGGACTTATTTTCCAGTTGGGTCCTATTTTCAGGGAAACAGGGTAGTACTGATGATGTTACTCAGTTTGTCCACAAGAAAACAACCAAGCTCAGAGAGCACCAAGGACCCCTTATTTCAACTCTGAGCTACAACTATGCTTCTTTATTGGAGCGTGTCCAACCCATTCCCCAAGCTGCCTTCTTTTTGTTTTATACTAAGAATCTAGCCCATGCCCTTCATAGTCCCGTTCATTTGCCTATCCAGCCCATTCATAATTTCTATTCCGCAGTTCTACCAGAAAGTGACCAGAGAAGTGCACATGATTTCTAGTGTGTTACAAAAAACACATGCTTTAATCTTACTTTCAAAGGACCAGAACTTTACATAAGATTATATTAGTATTCTTCCAAAATTCCATCTTTCTCAGATCAATCTTTTTTCATCTTGCAGATTATTATGCCTTCTTGGAATCCTTGTATATGATTTACCTCTGGCGTCTGATCCTCAGCATCCCATATGGAGTTGGGTTACTCACTTGCTCGCTCAGATTACAGTGTTCAGCACAAGCATCAAGGATGCAGGTCGAAGTCTGCTTTGCAATCTCTTCCAGGAAGTTGTTGCATATGGCCAAGGCACAGGTGCGCAGATGCGGATACTGGAATAGGAAGCAAAAATCACCTTAGTTCACTACATGGCTTGTGTATTACAATTGGGATCAACTCCTTGGGCAAGGGAAAGTAGCATTTGTTCATTAAAAATAGGTTTCATTATCCTCAGTAGGGCTTGATTCCTAGTGCATATGATAAGGTTTATATCTTAAATTATGTGCTCATCCCCAAAAGTTAAAAATTATGTATTTATCAAGCCCTTCATATCTTGCCTATTCATAAGAATTTAATGCTTACTGTAATAAAATGCAGGACCACAGCAACAACAACAACAACAATAATAATAATCAGTTTAAACCATGGTTAACCACCACTGCTATCTTACTTCTCCATACTACATGTTCTTCAAAAGACTGCCATTTGCATAGCTTCTTAAATCACATATATAGTTAAGATAAAATATTTGAAACTTTCTGGTTTGTGTACATATTGTAGACAGGATCGAAAACTTTTTTCTAGTTATGAAATTGAACATACAATATGTACAGAACATTACTTTTTAAAACCAGACAGGCCGATAGAAACTATAAGAAATTGCAGAAAAACCAAGCTTATGTAGGCTGGTAAGAAACTCTCAATCCAGCTATTTGTCTTTCTTTTTCTCATGAGTCAAAAGTGTACATACCTCCTCAGGGCACATTGGATGGATCGTATTACTGAAATCAGCACACAGAAGTGGGAAAATTATGACATAACGCAACATGGACGGTTCCTCTAAGGAGGTGGCAAATAACTTCTCCAAATGGCGCACGTGGAAACTGTCAAAGAGATAGGAACTGAAGAAGCTCAAACAAGCGGAAGCAAGCAACCTCAAGGTACATGTTTCTTTTCCATTCATTCTTCTAATGAATAGTATGATGAATACTGTGTACAATTACTAAAAAAAGATTAATGCTCCCAATGATATGGCCTGCAGAAAGCATTCTTTCTTGTATTTTTATTTAATGGTGTTTTTTTTTTAAAAAAAGAGTAATTTGAATAAAATGCCCATCAAGGCAATTAGCAACAGATGGTACTTTCCTGACTTTTTATTTAAGAAATGTTTATCCACTTCTCTTCCGCAAAGCATTCATGTAGTTTGGCATAAAAACAAAAATATATTAACAAGTTACGAATAATACCTAAAACAAAACACGCAACCCTATCCCTACTTAACTGTTGAAGAATTGAAGAATGAAGAATTAAAAATGAATCAGGTATGGAGATTACTCCTGAAGAAAAGGAGCTGCATAGATGGGCTGCTGCTACAAACAAAATCCTCTCATTGGTAGCTTTGCTAATGATTCCTCTTATTGCAAACCTAGGCCAGAATCAGGGGTTGTCCAGCAAGAATATAAACCCTTGTTCTTTAAGCTTCCCAAGCAATTATCTCCATACAATCGGTTTTAAGGAGCTTTCAGCAAGAGAGCCAGTTTGGTGCAATGGTTAAAGTAGCGGTCCTCAAACTACAGCTCGTGGGCTAGATATAGCCCACTGAAGCCATTAATTCAGCCCATGTGAGACCACGAGGCTGCCCCGCCCACATCACCCCACCTACCCGCCAGCCTCCACCCACCTTCTGGAAACCAAGGAGGCCAAAAACAGGATGCGCGAAGGCCTCAGGAGGCCAAAAATGGGCCTGCTTTTGGCCTCCCCAGCCTCCAGAGAGAGAGAGAGAGAGAGAGAGAGAGAGAGAGAGAGAGAGGGATGGACACACAAGTCCCTCACACACACCTCAAGGCAGCCAAATCCCTTCACTAACCACCTTTCCACCCCCAGGAGCATAAGAAATTAAAGTTTAATTTGTGTGTATTGTTTAATGGACTGCTAGATTGGCCATGCCCACCCAGTCACATGACCACCTAGTCACGCCCACCCAGCCGGTCTGGCCCCCCAACAGTCTGAGGGACCGTGAATTGGCCCCCTGTTTAAAAAGTTTGAGGACCCATGGGTTAAAGCATCAGGCTAGAAACCAGGAGGCTGTGAGTTCTAATCTCACCTGAGGCAAAAAGCCAGCTGGATGACCTTGGCCCAATCTCTCTGACTCGGTTGTAGAAGGAGACAAGGCCAAACCACTTCGAAAATGTTGCCAAGAAAACTGCAAAGACCAGTCCAGGCAGTAGCCAGAAGTCAACACTCACTGGAAGGTGCACACACACATACACACCCATGTGCAATAAAATATGACCTGCTCATCACCTTAAACCAATGGGTGGGTGAGAATGTACACTGCTATCAGAATGTTGCTGTGAATTGGCATCTCATTTCTATCACTTAAAGATTGTGAAAATTCTGCCCCAGCCTTCCTTTTCAAAACTCTAACTTTCTCAAAATAAACTTCCAAGACTACTCTGCCATTGCAATCTGCAAGTCCCAAATCTGTTGTACAGTCAGCATTGTCTCCTGCTGTCTTACATACATACCCAAAGAAGGAGAGATCGGATGTCTCCACTATGAGCTGTTCCACAGAGTCTAGCATCTTAGTATGAAAGACAATGAGGTTCATCACCTTGGCCAGATCATGATTCTCCCGCAGTTGCAATGGGGCCTTAGTGACACTGGTGTATGCCTGATGGAAGAAAGAACCCATTATTAAGGATCTATCACCTTAAATTCTCAGAATAGGATATAACATAGGACATCATATAAATTGCAGAACGGTGGGGCAACTTACATGCATATGCCCGTTATCTGATCATCTTGTAATGTAATGTAATGTAATGTAATGTAGCTTTATAGGGCAATGTAATATTTTGAGAGAAAATTGTGAGTTTGGATGGCCAATATAGAAAAATAAAAAAGTGCTTATGATGATGATAATAGTGATAAAACAAGATACTGGTAACTGAGGACAATTAGTCTAGAATAGCTCACTCATGTGCATAAAATTTACCAATAAACAGAATAGTTAACCAATGGAGAACAGGCTGACACCTTAGGCTAGATCAGGGCTTCCAATCTTTTCATGTTGCAGGCAACTCTCCCCCCATATTTTAAAATGCCTAACAAATTATGAGATTGTCAATTCTCACTCTCATCTAGAAATCTCCCACAAGAATGCTGAGATCTTTCAACATTTGGCATTCTTTCTTATTTATTATTTTATTTAATTTGGAAGAATGCTAGGGGTGGTTTTGAAGCATAACCAGTGCCTTGGTGTCTAAGGCTGCTATTTTGTCAGTGTATTAAGAAGTGTTTACCAATGGAAATGTTGATAGTACTAGAAAAAGAACTTTTCTCCACTGGCATGCCCAAATTCTTGACAGACAACTGAAAATGATACAACTAACTAAAAGGGGGACTATTTGAAACCCTCCAGAAGCTGATAGGCCACTAATTTCAAACTTGCTCTACAAATAGCAATAGTACTTAGACTTATATACCACTTCATATGCTTTACAGCCCTCTCTAAACGGTTTACAGAGTCAGCCTATTGCCCCCAACAATCTTGGTCCTCATTTTACTGACCTCAGAAGGATGGAAGGCTGAGTCAACCTCAAGCTTGTCAGTATCGAACTGCTGGCAGTGAGCAGTGAGTTAGCCTGCAATATGCATTCTAACCACTGCGCCACCACAGCTCTTTCAAATGCTTTCTCAAACCAGCAACAATATGAGCAAAAGTGTTTTCAAAGCTCCTTTAGTGTAAACTGCATTTGAATGCTTGCAATTTACACTGCATCAGCTCAAACTGTCCTGTATGTATACTTCTGTAAGTCCCTCCCCCCTGCCCACCAGCAGATAGAAAGGGTTAAGGAGCTGAACAATGACTCTTTTTCTTCTTGTCTATCATCTCCCTTTTTTTCCCGTTTATCCCTACGCAAATTCTAGGAAAAGACATTTTGAAATGTACACTTTGAAAAGATAAATACAAGAGGGACTACCCAGTCAGTTCTCCTTCTCTGCCTGCAGAATTCTGTGTGACGAGCTGTCAGGCCTGGAAGCCATCTTTTGCACTGGGCCTTCAGGCCTGCCACATTTCCTAGTGTGGGAAATTGGGAGGGGGGATCGTATGGAGCATGGGTGATATATAGTCACAATAACATTCCTTTCTCAGAGAGTCAAGGACATCTTGCCCTGCACCTGGATGACTGGGAGGTATCTCCAGTTGGGATGGTGCTTTGATTGGACCATGTGATGGATATGTGGGTGCTGGGCAGGGGCTTGAACTTTCCTTTGGGTGGAGAAAACCTGGAAGCTTTCAGATTTGGGTTTTCCCAGATGTGCCAATATGACATCTCTTAATAAAATGGAACTTTGAGGAAGCTCAAGCCTCGGAGTTTTCTTTCGTAGGGGGGTGTTACTTGGAATCCTGACATGAGCACAATATGCAACCTAGCTCTCCATTACTCACTCCCAATGAATAGATGGAGTTCCAGGCAATACAAAATTCTAACGGCATAAAATATTCCAAACATCCTAGGAGCCATTATAGGAGAAAGGGGAAGAAAAGGGAGAAAAGGCGACTGGAGAGTTTTTACCTGTAGTCTGAACCAATCCAATCGCAGTCCCTTGAATTCAAATTTTTCCTTGACATCCACTGCAAAAGACAAGCATGAAAAAAGACAACACTTAGTGAAAGAGCCTCGGGAATTTTCTTCTGCTGTTTAAGGATGAAAAAAAAATATTCAAGGTCAAGTAGAATGAGACTTTGCTGCTGGAAGAACTATTTGCTGTGCATAGCTTTTTCCACATCAGTTTACAGACTACATAAGGACTTCACTTCTCGAGGTAGTATATCTGTAGCTTTGGTATAGTCCTACTAGCATCCAATCAATTCCACATGTAAGAAAGTATGGTCAAATAAAAAAAAAAACTAAAGAAAATTTGAATCATGTTTCTTTCAATGTCTGAGGTGAGGAACTACGCCCCCTTTATGACTGGTAGACTTCAACTCCCAGAATTCTCCCAGAATGCTGGCTCAAGAATTCTGGGAGTTGAAGTTCACAGGTCATAAAAGGGCCATAGTTCCCCACCCTGGTGAGGTAATATGCATACAAAGCAAACACACAGAATCCGTAGAATGTGCCTATTATAAAATCCCAAACCTTTTTCTGGCACCATGTCTGAATTACTCTTATAGAAGGAGTTTTATATAGACCTCTTGGAAGTATGAACCTTGTGCTTTGAGGGCAGGGAAAAGAGACACAGAAACTTCTAGCTGACAGCGTAATTACCCTGTTTGACAGTCAGGGATGTGAGTGTGTTGACAAAAGCTGACATAATCACTGATTCCTCTTCAGGGCACACAGTCAGGTCCTGCATGAAACAAAAGGGGTTAGAGTAAAGACAACCATTTGTTATTCAGTGGTTTGTTTACACTGAACTTTACCGCATGCAATTATTTAAAGGAATTGTGCTGTCCGATTTAATGCTGTATCTCGCCTGAAGTGTCTTCAGAAAGAGAAGCAACCATCAATATAAGTAACAGATGCTTCAAGGCAAGGAAATCATTTTAAAGGGCTTTACTGACTCCCTTTTCTAATTTGTGACTTGTGAAGCAGCTTCCCTTCTATTGAAAAAATAGGACTGATTTCATCTAATTCATCCACTCTGACAGCAGATAAAGATTTTTGCCAGCATCCAGATACTTTTTCTTTCTTCCATTCAATCGTATTTGATTCTCATAAATTGCCTGGACAAATCCCTGCAGTTTTCTTGGTTTGCCATTGCCTCTTTCCTAGGTCTGAAAGAAAGTGACTAGCCCAAAGTCACTCAATTGGCTTTGTGCCCAAGACAAACCTGGAATTCATGATCTTCTACTTTCTAACCTCATGCCTTGACCGTTTGTTTATATACCACCTTTATTATTTTTATAAACAACTCAAGACAGCAAACATATCTTGATACTCAATTCTTCCTCCTATGTTCCCCACAACAAAAACTTATGAACTGGACTGGGCTGAGAGTGAGTGACTGGCCCAAAGTCACTTAGTCAGTGACTTTAATACTTAATTTAATACTTAAAATTCTTTTACATTCTCACTTTTTCCCATCCAATCTTTTCTATCTCTTTAGGACAGAGTCTATTCATTGGGTCCTGCTCCAGTCCCCCAAACACCACCATGCCACTGGCCTCAGTTCTATGCTGTTTCCATACCTGTATGACGTTACCAAGCACCTGGGCATCAAAGCGTGACAAATATTGTACATGGTACCGTTGAATGACACTTTGGTGCTGTTTAAGCAAGTTGCGTAGTCTTTCCATCAGAAATAGCAGCTCAGCCAAGCAGCTGTGAGGAAAATAAATAGAATTTTGGAAGAAGCATAGTAATCTTGCCCAAGATTTTTTTTGCTGCTACAAAGTCAATTTTTGCCACTACCAGCTCCCCGCACAAACACACAACAAAGAGATCTGCCAAACTATTCAGACCCTTATTACAAAAATCCACTCTCTTGAAAGAACTACAGTACAATATTCGGTTCGCCTAACCTTTTCCATGCTGTGCCCAGATGTGAACAGCTTAACAGATACAGAAGCTGGGAGCCAAGGAATACACAAAGTGGGTAAGGGGGCAGACCAATTGTTCCCCAACAGCAAACATTCCCATGCAGATGTTGCCTCTCTATGCCTGATCTTGCCTTCTCTGTATGCTGAGTTTGGGTATCTTTTCCACATGCAAAAGCTGGATTTGCATTTGGTTTGCATGCTTCTTAATTTACTTTAAAATGTGGTAATTAGTTGAGATGCGAGGGAATGAAAATTGCATTACAATCCAACAGTTAAAAAATGATTTTCAATAGAATAAATCTTCCAATAATTCAATTCAGTTCATCTCCTATCTATTTTTTGCAGTGATGTTTATGGTATGGTATAAAAACTGCTGTAGCCTCCAGTATGCAAATCTACCTGAAGTGGAGCATTTATTTCCCAAGTTTAGCCAATGAACTCTGAACAATTTAGCATGGACAGACACAACAGAACTATAAATGACCCTATGCATACATGTGAGGGGAGCCATGGATGCACCTGAAAACAAGGCTCTCCTGTCTCAAAACTCTCCTGTCACAGCTATGCTAACTACTGGTTTGTTTCTATTTTAAGACTATTTTGTCCAAAGTCCTATTCTACGTCCTAAAGAGCTTTCATCTGTTGTAATGCCCTGCCAGAGGTAAATAGTTATCTCAGCCTGCAGCAAGATTACCCTGCAACAAAAAAACTGCCAAAAATTGTGAGGAGAGGTATTTTTTCATTTCCCCTCCATCTCAAGATGAATGTGCATCTGAATATGCCTCTCCTACCCTTCCTTTATGGATTGGAGAGACTAACTCTTCATCACTCTCTTTGTTTCCCGCTTCCCATTAGTGAAGTTTGCAAACTGCAGCTGAAAAGAACAATGCTGAGAAAAAGCAGATTGAGTTTACTCACTGTTCTATGAGTTTGGGTTGCAAATCCAGTGGGCAGTAGTATCAGGCCTCATAAACACAAGTTTAGCCATCATGTTAAGCTACATAGGCTCTTTGTTTAATGACTTAAGTTTTTAGGTGTAGATCAGGCCTTATGGCCAATTGGTCAAACCATACTTTAGCACGACGTGAATACACTCCAATATGAAATGTGAACATTTATCCCCCAAAGAGAAGAAAGGATGAATTTTCAAGTGGTCTTTTCCATCCCTTGTGAAGATTTAGAGCTTGCATTTCTAACAGTGGTGTAGAAAAGAACATTTTGGCAGCTATAGTGAACCACATAGGTTCATTAACTTTGAAAGCTTTAGAGCAGGGGTGTCAAACTGGCGGCCCACGGGCCAGATGCATCACGTGCAGACCACGCCCACCCCAACTCCACGAAGGGAAAAAACCATCATGATGCATCATGTGACGGCAACCCGTGCTTTAGAGTTTACCTCAAGTCTAAACTTCCAATCCTTGGATGACACTTCCCCAATCTGATCAATACCTGTCAGTGAATTCCTCTTGGTTCTTGCCTTTGTGCTCACCGTGTCTGCATAGCCAGGCAACCTCATCCCGGCAGAATGACAGAGCCATGAAGACATAAATAGCCTATTGATATTGAAAGGGAGGGAGAAGTATCGGACAAAAGAGAGTTGAGCATCTGATTCCAAGTAGAATTCCCAGTTTATGAAAATTATGTGCATTTTCTCCAAAGATTTTAGAGTAGACGGGCGAACATATCTCAATACTACAAATAGCTTCCCCAAATCTCTGTTCTATTGTGAATTCTGGGTCAAAATAATGGAGTGATTTAAAGCGTGAAAAAGAACATTTAAAGAAGTGAAGAACCTGAAATCGGCAGACCAATTTTTAAAACTGCTGTAATCAGTATAAAGAGACACATTTAGTTCTGGTTCATGTTCTCTCCTTGTGTCAAAGATTTCTTCATGACTAAAGTGATGAAGGAAGGAGGGAGGAGGGAAGCAAGTAGATGAGACAGAAGAGGAAATAACTTTAAGGGAAAGAATGAAGAAATATTTGTAAGACAGAAATGATAGGTCACAGCTTCCAGCAATGCTCATTATTTTAGTAACATAGAACCATGTTTTTAAACTTTTTTTTTCTCAGAATCTCTTCCCAAATTTAAAAATCAAGGAGGATCTCAAAAGAGTTTTTGTTTGAATGGTTTACATTTATCAATATTTATCATATTTGAAACTAAAATTTATTCATTTGTTGCCGCTACTTCTTTACACGATGGCTTGATTGGACTTCTATATTATATGGTTTTTATAATTTTAGTTTTGTAGACCCCTGAAAGGGAGGAGTTCTGGGACTACACTTTAAGAAATATTGAGGTAGAATAACAGAATCTTGAAAGGTTATCAAAATTTTGAGAACCTTATACTAAACAAAATCAACATGGCATTGTTTTGAGTTTATGCTAAAAAGAGAAGATGATGATTTTGAATTTCTCAAATTTCCTTCTATCCTAGGGCTATGTAAGGGAGTCCTTTAAGGTCTCCCTTAATGACTCACTCCTTTCTTTCCTCTTTAATGGCTCTCTCATAGCTTCCCAAGATTAGCTCAATGTTCCTTTACCAGATAGGAATATATATGTTCCTTGGTAGTTATTTTGGGTATCTTTGTTACATGCATCCTGGAGCAGTTCTCCAGCCTGGTGCCTTTCCAGGGTTCATACCAATTCCCATAATGCTTAGAATAGCTGTTTGCTAGGATGGTTACAGGAAGGGTTAACTGGAGAAAAGCAGCTAGGTAGGGTAATACAGAAAAAGATAAAAAGCAGACAGGCAATGATGAAAATCTCTTCCAGCTCTTTTCCACTCTTTAAATCACTTCCTTATTTTACCCAGGATTCCTGCAAGAATGAGTTTAGAAAAGCTTGCCACTGGCAAGTATAATCTAGCACACAAATAAGAAAAATGTCTTTAGGCTGACCAAATATTTCATCAAGTTAATTCACCCAGGAAACCAAGGTAAATATTATTTTTTTTCCCATTTGCTTGTTAACACTACGGGTGTAAAGCATCAGGCACTGACAGCACAAAAGCCATCTCTTTTTAAAACGTGTTTCCATTCCTCTGAGGCCCTGTTAACTGAGCATCAGTTACTGACAAAACACAAGCCATTAGCAGAGACAGAGACCGGGGCACATCACATCAAAAATAAAAATAAAATAAATAAATAATTTTATTTCTATACCGCCCTTCTCCCGAAGGACTCAGGGCGGTGTACAGCCAATTTAAAAACACAACACACAACAATAATTAAAAATTAAAATAATTACATAGATTTGGCCGATTTAAAACCCCAAACATCTAAAATACCCCAATTAAAATTATTAAGTTGATAGCCCTGCCTGGCGGAACAACAGGGTCTTCAGTGCGCAACGAAACACTCGGAGGTCGGAGATCTTGCGTATTTCCGGGGGCAGTTCATTCCACAGGGCTGGGGCTCCCACAGAAAAGGCCCTCCCCCTGGGTGTCGCCAGCCGACATAACTTGGCTGATGGCACCCTGAGGAGACCCTCTCTGTGGGAGCGGACTGGTTGGTGGGAGGCTATTGGTGGCAGAAGACGGTCTCGAAGGTACCCGGGTCCTATGCCATGGAGCGCTTTAAAGGTGGTAACCAACACCTTGAATCGCACCCGGAAGACCACTGGGAGCCAGTGCAGCTCGCGCAGGAGGGGCGTCACGCGGGCACAACGAGTTGCGCCCATAACCACCCGCGCGGCCGCATTCTGGACCAGTTGGAGCCTCCGAGTGCTCTTCAAGGGGAGCCCCATGTAGAGAGCATTACAATAGTCCAGCCGGGAGGTGACAAGGGCATGAGTGACCGTGCGCAAGGCGTCCCGGTCCAGAAAGGGCTGCAACTGGCGGATCAGGCGAACCTGATAAAAGGCCCCCCTGGCCACGGCCGTCATATGCTCTTCTAAAGACAGCCGTGCGTCCAGGAGGACACCCAGATTGCGAGCCCTCTCTGTGGGGGGCAAAGATTCACCCCCAATAGTCAGCGATGGCACCTGCTGACTATATCGGGACGCCGGCAGCCACAGCCACTCGGTCTTGGACGGGTTGAGTCTGAGAAGAACCAGTAAGCCAATGCAGGTAGTCCTCAACTTATGACCACAACTGCACCTGATTTTATCACCTTCTTTGCCACGATTGTTAAGAGAATTACTGCAGTGGTAAAGTGAATTGTTTGATTGTTAAGCTTTCCCTACTGACTTTGTTTGCCAGAAGCTGACTGGGAAGGTTGCAAATAGCAATCTTTTGATCTCAGGACACTGTGATTGTTGTAAATACATGCCAATTGTCAAGTGTCTGAATTCTGATCATGTGAGCATGGGATGCTGTGACGGACCAGTGGTTTTTTTGCAACACTGTTGTAACTTTGAACACTCACTAAACAAATGGTTGTAATTTGTACTTGCTCTGAGTTCATTCTTCTCACATAGAGGCCCGTGTGCATTTTATGTACACAAATCTTTCTTGTGCCTGCATTGGCCCAGCTCTAACTGCTCACACACAGAATAAATAAATCTGCTTGCACCTTCACAGCTTTTAGTTCTTGCCCACCTCTATATCTCCCAGACCAACTTGCCTTGGGGCCCAGCAGTCCAGGTTCATTGGCCAGAATAGCCTCCATCTCCCGCAAAGCATTCCTCAAGAAATTTCGCCGGCCTCGATGTAATTGCCCACTGTCAAGAAACCAGCCAAAGAATTCATATGAAAAGAATCCCACTCCTCCCAGTGCCCTCCCTGCATGTCATCAACATCAGGAAACAATTTTTTTTGTTGTTGGCCAAAGCAAGCAGCATAAAGAAAAGATTGTAATACTGGCTCAACCAAAACAGGAATTTCCCCCTATTCCTTTTTAGATCAAGGTAAGTAAATGTGTGTTAGGGGGTGGGGGTTCCGAATGTTTCATGACCAGGCTAGGTAACATCTTCAGCAAAGTTTAGGGGATGTCAGTGTTCCTCTGTTTATAAGGGTTTCAGGTGTGGGTGTGTCAAGTAAGGGTCTTGTGATGGGTCAGCTGTGAGTCATCAGTGAGTCTTGTGATGGGTCTTGTGATAAGGACATCACATCAAGTCAGGATCATGGGGAGGTGAACTGCTGATGGTGGGGGGCTGTGTGAGTTGGTTGAGGGTCGGTGCTGTGTGATGTGGTGTGGTTTGGGTGCTGTGTGTCGGAAGATGAAGTTTTTTGGATAGGCATTACGGAGAAAGACGTCAAGCAGCCATTTCTCTTCTGCTTTTCTTAGTGTTGTGGTGCTGAAATGTCTGAACAGTTCTGGACACGGTTTCTTTTGTGTGCGGTGGGGTGGTTGCTTGCGAAGCTGAGGATCTGGTCCATATGCGGTAGACACAGCTTTCTAGTTTCTAATCACCCTCATCCTACACCTGAGCTACAGATTTGCCACTATTGCAAATGTGTATTAGTTATCTATTGCCCAGGTAGGTGGTAGCATCTGGCCAATGCTGACTGATCTCATAAAGCTAAGAAGGTTGAACCTCATTATTACATGGATTGGGAGCCCACCAAGCTATATTTTTGCTGAGAAAATAACATGGATGTGTCCCATTAAAAATATCAGAAGCCAAGCTTGACTTGAATGTTTAATTTTCTGCCGACATGCTTTGTACACACTAAAAGCCTGCCCATTCATTCAGAACTTGAATCTTGAATCTTCTTACATACCAGAGCTGTTACTTTCCAAAGACTGCTGAGCTTCAATTCTCAATACCTAACCACGATGACGAAAGGCCTGCAGATTTCTCTCAATTGAAGTAAAATCATCTCAACACTCACCAATTAAAATAAAAATGCAAACGCCCTTTATCTTTTGACAATCAAGACAGTATTTAATCAGTACTTCTATAAAAAGTACTGCCAGGAGCATCTGCAGTTACAGTGGAGAAAAGACTGCAGAACTAGGTAATACTGCAGAGCTAACAACTGGATAATGTTATTTAAATCTACAGTCAAAGTGACAGAAGTAGCAGCAGGAACTTTGTGGCAGCTCATTCCATCCTTGCCTTTCGGGTTGTTATGGTTCATTAGAACTCCACTGAATAAGACAAAAGACCTATCTAGGCCAGAAAACTGTTCCTCTCCATGGTCAAAAGGATGCCGTTGGGTTCCAGACATGAAGACAACCATCTTTCCCCATAGCTATTCCATCACATCTGGTGCACAGAGGCATGCTCCTCCTGAGCCTGACCTCTTCCCCTCTCATGATAGCCAAGTTGCTAGTTGTGATGCACAACAGATGGCGGTGGAGGAAAGAAGCAGAACAGGTTGCTACTTATTTACCATTATCAGCATGTCAGGTTTCAAACAGAATTCTAACCATGATCTTAGAAGGTCATTCTATTGGCTGGGATCATACAGCAAGCCAGGATAACTAACAATCTGAATTGGTCTCTCCACACGTCATCCTTAGTGATGTGTGCAAACCAGTGTCTGCATTTCCTGCGTCGGATGAGGAGAGCACATCTTTCTCCTTCTGTCCTGGCCATTTTTTTAACAGAGGCACAATTGAAAGTGTTTTAACAAACTGCATCACTGTTTGGTTTGATGGCAGCAGTGCCTCAGATAGAAAGTCCATACAGAGAATGGTAAGGACAGCTGAGAAGATTATAGAAAGCTCGCTTCCCGTTATTCAGGATACTGCTTATGCTCAAAGCATTGTTAGAGACCCCCACATACACACTTTATGGACCAGCTCAAGGTAACTTATAAACAAGTGCTGCTAAAGCAAAACACAACTTAGCATAAACTATAAGCATCAAAGACGTTAAGAAGCTCACACTATGTCATAGGTAGGACTGCAACCACAGAAGAGAATGTCCAACATACAAGATAAGAGGGCCAATATGTTTGCAGGGCAATATGAAAAAAAAAGTATCATGAAAACTCTGGTTACATGGGTCTGGGAGGGAGGTGGCAGACAGAAGTTGAAGACTGATGAGACTGAAAGGAAAACAAGTACTGAAGCAAATAAAGCAGAGCAATGGATATACAGTAAGCAGCAGAGAGCAGCCCAGAGCGAGAGAGAGAAGGGACATTCCTACCTTTGTTGCAGAGCATGCTCTTTACAATCTTTAATATCAGTGATACGTTTCCCATAGCTGTAAAAAGAAAGTACATTTTCAGGCCCTAAAAACAGGCACAATTTTCTTTATTGTTCTTTACCTATAGACAGAATCTTGCCAGACTAAAGTAACTATTTACATAACTATAGATATATTCTGGGAAACGCTAGGGGGAACCTGTTTTAACCCTCTTTCTGCCCACCAAACTTTCTAAGCTTCGCTGCCTCTTTGCCCTCTTGAAAGCAGCCCTTCCTTCTGGAATCCAGACTACATTCCACCACAACTCATCCATTGCTTCATTCTCCCAAAGCCAGAGTTTATCAAATCTCGAAGTGTAATCCTTCATATTATACTTGAATTTGTATGTCCCCTTAAAAACTAATCATTTCACTGGGACTACAGTTGATCAAGTAATAATTGTATCACTTACTTGTAACCATTAAAATTTAATCCCTATATTACACAAAAGTATGATACATACTGCAATGTTTTAAAAAACCCTTCACTTCCAATAAAGAAACTAATTCAAAGGCATATTTTTCATGAGAAGGATAAGCTTACTTAATTTTACATCATTTTTTAAATCTAGTGATTTATTTTTTTTTGAGACAGCTGCTTGCATTATTCCTTCCATATTTATTTTGGATTGATGTGTGGTTTTCATAGGAGCAAAATGGAAAAATTCTGACTCTCAAAAACAAGATGTTGCAAATTGAATCAGAATGATTATAGCTGGCTCACTTAGTTCTTTGTATTCCTTTTACACACTGATTAGTAATTCAGGGAGAGACATTATCAGGAATTATTTTCAGAGAAATCCTTATCAAGAATAGTAATATCCAGTTATATTTTGATTTGTTGCACATGAAAATTTGTTCTGAATTTCAAATAAAGATGAATTAAATATAAATCATATTTACTATTCTCTATGTTACCTCTTTCAATAGTTTCAAAGCAAGAAACATGTCTAAATTTGAGTCCTTCAGTTTTACTCTTCTCCAGTTTAACTTTCACATTCATTATTTTTATTTGTCACCAAGTTCAAGGAAATTGTCACCTTGCATTGAGGTCTTAAGAATCTTTAACTTGTCAAAAGAATACTAAATAAATACTGAAATCACAGTTGATAAACATGTAGATAACTATGTCTTTTCATAGTTAGAGTTCATTTCTCCATTTGAAAATGGGTATCAAACATCTTAACTCACCGTAAAACAGTGAAAAAATATATTTGTCAGCCAACACGCAATTTTTATAGGTCTAGTTTTTGTTCAATTCATGTAATAGTTTGTAGAACTTATTGAATTGTTGGACTCAACTCTTCCAAACAAGACCTTGCCTACATCTAATCCAACTATGAGATTCTGGCATATTAAAAAAGTTTCTATGACATTGTGATATAGAATACGCTCCATCAGTACATCTCACGATGCAATTTGTCCACTTTAAGTGATTTGCATTCATACAATTACCCACATCTTCAAAAAGGTCCTCAGCTTTACTCATCTTTATCACTTCTTTACATGAAAGTAAATTTTCATTTATTTTGGTTTCAAAAACATTTCTAACATAGCATCCTTTGCCCTATCTGTCACTTCATCAGTCTGATGAGCAAATGGTCTACTGCTTAGTTTTTCGTTCAGTTGATCATTTATATCTTCCACCCTCTCAGTAGTTTGATGGGAAATTGTGTCATTTAATGGAGAGACAATTCTTACTGTTTGACACTAGATGCTCAATATAGCTATAACCAAATTGCCAGAATTGTCAACCGTATTGACAATTGCCAAACAATTTTCTCCAATTGTGTGGAAACTTTTTCCCCTCGGTGAGTCTGTATACAATTTGATGAAAAACAATTTTACAAGGATGGTCATATATCAAAGTAGTATTTTTTTTTCTCCAGTTCATCTTTCCACCTTTGAATGGAAAAATCTCAAGTTTTTTTCACTAAGTCTGCTTGATCTGTTTCCAGGTATTATTCTGGTTTTGCTTGGCTTCATACTCTCAACTGACAGTTTTTTTCTGACAAGTTGCATACTGATAACATTCTTCTTCGATAACAAAACTCTTTGTCAACCCAAAGGTATGCAACTTACTTCACATTTTTTGATTTAAACTTACTTTTATCATCACCACTTCATCTTTTCTTTTACCATGCCACAAAAGGCCTTTCTCTTTTTAAAGGTTAGAAATCCAAACTAACGTATTTTTCGGAGTGTAAGACGCACCTTTTCCCCCCAAAAAAGAGGGTGAAAATCTGGGTGCGTCTTATACTCCGAATGTAGCCCCGCCCAGCCTCACAAACAGAGAGTTCAGAGGCTGAAAGAAGCCTCTGAAGGAAGCTTCAGAAAAAAAGGCTTCTTGAAGGCTTTTATCTAAAATAATATGGCAAGCAACAAAAAAAGAACCAGTAAAGGTTCTAACCAAACTATGTTAACAAATCTGGAGAATGACACAAAAGCCTACAGACTGGAGCAGTTTAATCTACATACCAATAGGAAAGAAAGGAGATGGAACAGAGTACAGATAGTCCTTCAGAATAAAATCCTCTGAAAGAAGCTTCAGAAAAAAAAGACTTTTTTCCTGAAGCTCTGTTTCGGAGGCTTTCAGAGGCAGGGGGAAAAAAAGCAAGGCACAGAGCTCACAACCAACGAACCTATTATTAAAATTCACCTCTGGAAACAGCTGATTGGGGGTATTCCGGGAAGCCAATCCACCCACCAATCAGCTTTATTCTTATTTTCCTCCCCAAAAACTAAGGTGCGTTTTATACTCCAAAAAATACAGTAATGAACAGAAACACTGAAATTTGCTAACACAGAACTTTACTTCTACAGAAATTGTCAACATGCTGGATGCCACATCAGGAGTCATCAGCCAGCAAGAAACCATATCTCAGTAACAGTGCTGCTGTGATTGGTGGATGATTTTGACAGACAGCTAAACCTATGGGATTATCCCTCCCTCAAATTCAGCTGTGGGCTTTGCTGCTTGCTTGGCTTGGGCAAACCCAGAAAAACCAGGAACAAATTCTGACCTTGTTCCTGGTTTATGAATATAAGCCTCCACGTCAATGACTCCTTCGGATTTGCTCATGGACTTTAAAGAGGCATGAGTCACAATTTAAGAATCCCTACTCTAAATAAAGCCACTGTTCAGTGAAGCAGAAGTCCAGCAAGAAGAGTTTTACTTATAGAAGATGTTTAGTTTAATCCATGGAATCAGGATTTTGAAAGGAAGACATAGGAAGCCGCAAACTGAATCCTTGGAGAGGTATTACTAATCAGTTAGTAATCAGTTAGGCTGGCCTAACTCTTTTAAATTGTTTTAATTTTTAAACTGCTTAATTATGGGTTTTAATACAGGGGTGCTTTTAATTGTGGGCCAAATTAATTTAATCGGATTTTAATACTGTTTTTAAATTTTGTGTTTCTTGTGTTTTATCTGTTGGCTGTTCACCGCCCCGAGTCCTTCGGGAGGAGGGCAGTATATAAATATAAACAATAAATAAATAAACAATAAATGTATTAATACTGGTCAAGTCATGAGATTAGAAAGTTCAAAAATGAGTGGGATCCTTGAGTACAACTCCCTGTTAGGAATCTAATTCAAACTCTGTTGAATGCTAAAAGAAACTTCCTAAAAACCTACATTTCCACATAAATGTATCTTAATATTCCATGTCCTCTGCACTGCCTGACACAACTTTAAGTAGCTGAAAAGTGCAGTCACAGATATCTCCTCTCTACCCCAGCAGAGTTTTTTTCCTGAAGGATCTTCTCTCAACCTCTCCTTGGAAGAGCTCATTTCCAGTCACCTGAGCATCCTCACTGCCTTCTTTGGACGTTCAGTTTATCTGAATCCTTCTTAAAATGTAGTAGCTGGAACAGGGTGCCGTATTTAAAATGGTAATCTGAACAATTGAGAATGAAGTGAAAAAGAGATGCTGGTATATCAAGTGGGCACCTTCACTGTACTTGTCAGGAGCTCCTTTAAGGTCCAAAACACCTTTGTCCACTTGGATCTGATTATGGCACATTTCTAGAATGGAACTTCCAGTAATTTGGAAACCATATACTTCTACATGCAATTTGATAATAATTCTACAATTAAGATTAGCCTATCCTATCTGGCATCCTTCAACTTTGGCCATGCTGATTAGAAATTCAATGATCTGCATTTCCAACAATTCTGGAACACATCAGATTAGACTACGACTAGCCTAGGAGGACCAATCATTACTGGTATAAAAGAGTTGGAGAAGAGGATATCTCAAGGTTATTTTTTTAAAATTCCTAAAATGACCAACTTCTCTGACATCCTTGGCATCTGCTTTCTCTTGCAGTGCCCCTTCCCCAGTGGTGGAAGTGGGTATTAGCCTAGTTTAACCAGTGCAGGATCATTATTTGATTGCTTATTTGTTCCCTATGACTATCATTAAGTGTTGTACCTTATGATTCTTGATGAATGTATCTTTTATATATACCGAGAGCATATGCACCAAGACAAATTCCTTGTGTGTCCAATCACACTTGGCCAATAAAGAATTCTATTCTATTCTATTCTATTCTATTCTATTCTATTCTATTCTATTCTATTCTATTCTATTCTATTCTATTCTATTCTATTCCCACATGAGCCCTTACACACTTCAGCACATTACTTACCCTTTAATGCCACTGAAGGCCTCTTCTGTCACCTTGTGAATAGAAAGCACTTCATCTCGTATCAGCGTGATGTAGAGTGAACCACGAAGAGCCATCCGCCAAAGATCCAGGCAGCTCTGGGTAGAGGCCAGGCAACTGTGGCAGAGCAAGAACCCCACTGCAAGAGGTGAGGGGGAAACGTTACTGAGGTGTGAAAACACAAACCTTTGGTGTTTTGAAGAGTTGCCAGCAGGGGTCCAGAAATTGGTGGGAGCAGAATGAATAGGGCAAGTTAAGCCAAAGCATCACAAAGAACAGCAAATCCTTACATCTTCTTTGAAGTGAGGCTGAGGCAGGTGGAAATGCATGGAACATAGTTTTGCCAAATGTGATGCTAGACAAGCAAATCTACCCTAGCTAAGATAATGGAGTAATATTTTCCTATTTTTGTAGGAAGTGAGGGAAGAGGGATCCTGCATGTAAAAATTGGCTAAAAAGTGCAGAAACTGTTCTTGTCAGGAGGAAAATTTTACCTCTTCCTAATAACGTTCAGTTTTGGAAGTGTTTTGCTCTTAAAAGTCTGTGATGAAGAATGGACTTTCAGAACCCTGAGCTGAGTTTGGAGAAAAGAAGGATTTCGATCTTATTCCTTGTTTATAGAAACAGAAAAAGCAGGGAATAATAATAATAATAATAATAATAATAATAATAATAATAATAATAATAATAATAATAATAATAATAATAATGCACTTGGACAAAATAAGAACGGAAACTTTTCAACTCATCTGTTACAAAAAGTTGCAATACTTGGGACATGGTATCATTACAATGGTATCATTAAATATCTTAGTTCCTTGAGGAGGATCCAATAATCAAAAGTACTAAATCCTAAAAGTAAAGTAAAAATACTAAAAGTACTATCACCAGACCTGTCATAAGACTCTCACTGATGACTCACAGCTGGCCTATCACAAGAATCTCACTTGACACACCCTTATAAACAGAAGAACACTGACATCCCCTAAACTCCGCTGAAGATGTTACCTAGCCTGGTAACAAAACATCTGGAAACCAACCCACTTGGAGAATGAATGAACCTTCACCCTCATACGTATAAACAGTAATAATAGCAACAGTAGTAATTATTTGTCCAGGTACAATAAGAAGGGAGAAGTTAGTCTTGACTCCTGCCTTGTTTGAGCTCTTTTTTCTGTCCCATCCTGTTTCTCCCCCTCCATCCTATTTCCTCTCTCTGTTACTTCTCTGTCCGTTAATTCCCTTTTGTCCCTCTTGCTGTATCTGTGCAAATTTTCACATGGGCTTGTTCCTCTATATGTCTGCATCCTGTTCTTACCCAATGACTACAACGGAAGGAAAAAGCCAGAGGAAAGTTGAGAGCAGAGTGTTTTCAACGTGTTGTTACTGGCTACACTCCCAGTGTAGAAGCAGTTTGTGATTGGTATGCCCTACCAAATGGCTGCCTTGCTATTGCTTTCTAACAATGATGAATGTGCCTTAAAAGATCCTATCGCTCCTCTACATTTAGGATCCAAGCAGGAACTTAAAATTAAAGTGATGGTAACTTACTCACAATCCATCGCTCGAGAACCTCCCATGAAAGGTATTCACAGGCCATCTGTTGAAGAAAAGGGGTGGACAAACAAATAAGATTCCTCTCCACAGCCACAAACACAATGATTTGTAGAGTCTATCTTGCAGGTGAGTGTCCTTTTGTATCCATGTGGTTTTCAGAAACATAATAGAAATAGCACTTAGACTTATATACCGCTTCATAGTGCTTTTCCAGCCCTCTCCAAGTGGTTTACAGAGTCAGCCTCTTGCCCCCAACAATCTGGGTCCTCCTTTTACCGACCTCGGAAGGATGGAAGGCTGAGTCAACCTTGAGCCTGGTGAGAATCGAATTGTCAAATTGCAGGCAGGCAGCAGGCAGCAGAAGTAGCCTGCAATACTACTGCATTCTAACCACTGCACCACCACGGCTCATAATTGTGTTATGTACAAGTGAGAACTGTTATTGGGACATCCATTATCACATTCAATCCATTCTACTTCAAGAGTCTTCAAACAGTTGGAATTTCAAGGAAAAATTCTGGCTTGACCACTGTGAAAATTTTCTTTTTATGTCTAGAAGTGTACATTTGTCTGGCTTTGCTCTCTCTTTCCCTCTAATTTGCTTTAACTGGTACTTCTTCCCCTCTCTTTGACTGCTGCCATACGCACTTTTCTCAGTGTTTGCACTTTCCTTTTTCCCCCCAGTCTGAATGACCTTCCCCTCCTTTCCAGTTACCCTAGTTTACTTAATTTTTCTTACAAAACTGTCTCTTTGCCAGATATCTGAGTTCTTTTAAAATTTCAGTATGTATTTTTTAAAAATTCAAATTAGAAGGAGTAAGGCAATGAGTGGGATTAAACAAAAATGTCCACTGGCAATCATATTGTCAACTTCACCCCAGCTAGTAAAACGGTTCAGAAAATTAGAATCAGATTTTTTTCGCCCTATTCAGTTAAAAGGAATATCACCCATTCTTCTTGCATGAAATAATGCCACCTTAAAACTGGCCATCTCCACCATCTATTCCAGTTCTGCGTGTACTGTGCTTGTTCTGAATCACTGCTGAATCACGTTGGCCTGGCCTATGAGTCTATGGTTCATTAGAGGCCAGGCGATTGGCTTTCTGCTCTGGTTTTGCACTTGTCCCTTTTCGGTGTATTCTCAGACAGTGATGAAAACATCCTCCAATCAGAGAACTGTCGTAGGAACAGGGCAGGTCTGACTCTGTCAGAGCCTTTCTATTAACTTGTTTTCACACACTGCATTGAAGCATCTCCCACATACAAAATAAAGGAAAACAACGGGAAAATGCCAGGGCAGAAACAGCCTCAAACGGAGAGATGCCATAATTGGGCATGATTGTCCTGTAGAGTAAGATAACCGAACATCAATAGCTGCGTTTATTTTTCTTTTCATAGGGAAGAGGTTATTAAAATCTGAGAAATACAGGAGAACCATAAAATAAGCAATGAAAAGAAAACAGCCTGACACTTCTTGTTTTCTAGATTCTGAGGAAAAGAAAGCTTCTACATCTATAGAGAAAGATCCCCAGTGATGCCATTTCAGAATGCTTTTTAACAAGGAAGAAACTGGCTAGCACAGGACTCGGTTTTACAGCTGAGAAGCTGCAAATACGTCCCTTCTTCTTCACCAAACAACGGCTTAGGGCCGGGGTACTTACGAGACCGCCTTCTGCCACCAATAGCCTCCCACCGGCCAGTACGCTCGCACAGAGTGGGCCTCCTCAGGGTGCCGTCCGCCAGACAATGTCGGCTGATGACTCCCAGGGGGAGAGCCTTCTCTGTGGCGGCGCCCACCCTCTGGAACAACCTCCCCCCAGAGATACGTACAATAACAGACCTCCGGATTTTTCGTCGGGCCCTGAAAACCCATTTATTTCAACTAGCTGGGCTGGCTTGAGTTAAATTTTAAATTGATTTTAAATTGGGTTGTTTTAATTTACGGCCAAAATATTTAATTATTTTAAACTGCTTTTAAATTTTGTATGCATTTTTACTTTGGCTGTTCACCGCCGTGAGTCCTATTTGGAGAAGGGCGGTATAGAAATAAGAATAAATAAATAAATAAATAAATAAATGATGGAGATTAGATCATTTCAGAACACTGCTACAAAGGAATCCTGTAAAATTTCTCCTTTTCCTTAAAAATAACATAATGGAGCAGAAGTGGTATTCAGCAGGTTCTGGCCAGTTCTGGAGAACCAGTAGCGGAAATTTTGAGTAGTTCAGAGAACCGGTATATACCACCTCTGACTGCCCCCCCCCCCCGTCTATTCTCTGCCCCACGAGTTCCAGCTGAATGGGAGGAAATAGGAATTTTGTAGTAACCTTCCCTTGGAGTGGGGAGGGAATGGAAGGATATTACAGTATCCTTCCCCTGCCACGCCCACCAAGCCACACCCACCAAGCGATGCCCACAGAACCTGTAGTAAAAAACTTTGAATCCCACCACTGTAATGGAGGTTTGTTTTCTCTTTCCATTGCTGGAAACCTGGATAGGGTTTGGTTGGAAACATTTCTAGGAAAATGAGGTTATGGGTAGCACAGTGGTGGCGCAGTGGTTAGAATGCAGTACTGCAGGCTACTTCTGACTGCTGGCTGCCTGCAGTTCAGCAGTTTGAGTCTCACCAACTCAAGGTTGACTCAACCTTCCATCCTTCTGAGGTCGGTAAAATGAGGACCCAGATTATTGGGGGGAATATGCTGACTCTGTAAACTGCTTAGAGAGGGCTGTAAAGCACTGTGAAGCGGTATATAAGCCTAAATGCTACTGCTATGAAAGATAGAAAGTAAAGTGCTAATAAATAGGGCACACTGGGGAGCAAACAGTGGTAGAGTAAGCTAGCTCAGAGTTCCCCAACCTTTTCGGCTTTGCGCCATCCAGAGGTGGTATTTGCCAGTTCTCAAATTACTCAAAATTTCTGCTGCCAGTTCTCCAGAACCTGTCAGAACCTGCTGAATTTCACCCCTACTATGAACCCATTATAGATTTTGGTTGAAGGCTGAAGCTGTGAAGGGATAGTATTGGTTTAAAAGGAGGGGGGCTACTTTTACATCGGTACACTTAGTGATAACTTAAGGCTATATGTCTCATATGGTGTGGGTGGTGAATGAGATCAGGATAAGCTGTGCAACCAAGGGCAAGATGGGGTTGATGGAGCTTAATAGTGCCATGAAAAACTTCAAGTGGGAATGGAGCCTAAGACAGACATCCGGACTAAATCTATTCTTTTTGCTCAGCCTCATAAATCAGCATTCTAAGCTAGGAAAAAATACCTCAGAAGGGGAGAACATGAACAGACATTGCACAATTGTTACATTTACTAATAATTCTCTGTGCATGGGAGAAGAAAAATAATGGACTGAAGATGACTCTTCAAAAAGAATATAATAAAGAAAAAGAAACATATAAAGAAGCAACCCCCAACCCTCGTTACAACAAGTATAAACAATTGTAGTAATTTTGCACATGAAGAACAACACAAGGAAGCTTCAACTAGTCCAGAATGCAGCAGGGCACTGCCAGTTTGCTTCAAGTGTCATTTAAGTTACTGGCTGGGCCCTATAAAGCCTTACAAAGCATAGGGCAAATCTGAGGGGCCACTAATCTTCTGGGGTGTCTACGCAGCTGATCTAAGAGCTAGCATGCTCCAGGTTTGTTTGATTAATCAGGGCCATCTATGAGGACTTCAGAAGCATGCCTCCCCTGTCGTGGCACCTGCTCCCTAGAATGTGGTTCCCCCAAGATCTGAACGGCTCCTATCCTCATGGAGTTTTCAGATGCCTTAAAGACTTCTTGTTTTGTCAGGCCTTGAGCTAGTGTGACTTGATCTGTTCGCATAACTCTTTGTATTGTTGACCTTGTTCATCATTTTCTTATTTATTTACACTATATTTTTATCCTGCTTTGTTACATTGTGAGCTGTCCAGAATTCTTCTGAAGTTGGTGGTGCCTAGACTGACTGACTGACTGACTGACTGACTGACTGACTGACCTACTAATTGACTGACCAACCGACTGACCTACCTACTGACTGACCTACCTACTGACTGACTGACTGACCGATCGGCCGACCGGCTGATGTTTGTGTAATGTACATTTCAAGAGAGAATGGCCGTTTTATGTTCATGGGGATACATTACTTAATCAACAAATGTTTTATTTTACCGACAATTTCAAAACAGCACACTAGGAGAGTCAGATGCTTGCCATCTCTAAGGCTTCTCTAGCATCAGCCATTCAAAAGGGGGTGACTGCTGAACATACTTTACCACACTCATACTCACAGTGTCTGAACTGGCAGGAGACAGCATGTTGGCAGGATTGCTGATCAAACTGAAGAGCTGGTCACCTCGCCACTGGTCAGCAGAATGGTTTCGACGGGCAAACAGGAAGTGCAGTGAAAGAAGTGCATGGCTCACAGTCTGGGAAGAAAAAAATGGATTAGCACGTTTAAGAAGGAATAGCATGAAGCGAGAGTGAGAACAAAAGGGCAAGACTATGTGCCATCTTGGCAAATTTGTGTTCGTAAATCACACAAGTAGAGATAATGCAGACGCACAAGGCACCTGACTGGGAGGTAAGCAGAAGAAAAGAGTAAAGACCATTCACATACTCATTTTTCTCAAACTCCTCCATAAATGGAGGTAAAGACATTCACTGAGGAGAATAGCAAATGGGAAAAGAATTCAGGAGTTGCAATAATTCTGTAATTACCACAACTGACATAAACACAAAAATACAATCCCAGATAATAACCTCTGCTCAGAAATAGCTAAAACCTATCACCACATCAGTGATCCCAAAACATAAAGGCTGGGTTTACAATTTAAGCTTAACCAGGGTTTGTTGAATATTTACCTCAAAGGACTAGATTTGTACAACCCCGCAGCACCTCACCTTGGTATGAGGTCCAAACTCCTCCAGCAGCTTGCGCAAGGGATTCTCGTACTCGATGATCATCTGACCCAATCGACGGAAGCTAGCTTCACTGAAGTCAGACAAGCAATGCATTGTTTTATTACACAAAACATCGACCTAGCTCCAATTGTAGACTCTGGGCAATCAATCTGTTAAAACTGCCTACCAGATACAGACTCAGTACCACCTACCCCTTCAAACAATGCCCACCTTACTCCTATATAATATAGAATAACTTCATGGAAGCTGCCTGAACATTTCACACAATATCAGTATCACAATATCTCTCAGCCCAACTTATCTTGCCAGGTCACTGTTGTGTGGAAAACTTGAAGAGGAAAGATTGTACATATCACCTTGAGCTCCCAGAAGAGCATAGGATACAGAGCTAACCATTAAAATCACACTATCTACATGTAAAAATGCAAAGGTAAAAATTTCCCCTGTCCAGTCATGTCCGACTCCAGGGGGTGAAGCTCATCTCGGTTTCTTAGTCTAGAGAGCCAGCATTGTCCAAAGACATTCTCATGGTCAAGTGGCCAGCAAGACTATATGCCAAGGTGCACGGAACAATGTTACCTTCCCACCAAAGTGGTACCTTTTTATCTACTTGCATTTGAATGTTTTCAAACTGTTGGATAGCCGGGAGCTGGAGCAAGTAACAGGAGCTCATCCCATCGCGCAGCACTCGGGTCTCAAACCCGGGCTGTTAGCTTTCTAGGTGACAAGCTCAGTGTCTTTAACCGCTGAGCTGAGCCACCACACCCTCATCCACATGTACTTTAGCACAATAGATAAATCCAGCCTATTATATTTCTCTTGACATTGGTTTCTACATAATCTTGTCTCCAAAGAATGAGACTACAGATTTGCTGATCAAGAGTTAGTCATACTGTTTTGACCATATCAAGCTTCATGCTGGAATTGTTCGGGAGTGGAATGGGTTAGCCACAGCCAAATTACACTCTAGTGCTGGAGAAATGGGGGTCACCTGTAGCTTCTAAATAGCAGATGAAGCAAAGAAAAGCATGACTGGCAGCTGGGGCGGGGGGACACAAATCCTTCTGCTAATAGTTCTCATTTTATTGATTATCTATTGATTGATTTTATTCATTAGTGCTTGACTGGTGTATATCTACCCCACAATAGGAAGCTGAATGAATGCTCCTGGCAGAATAAGATAACATGGAAAGCAAATATTCCACCAAAATTGGCAAAAATACAATGAACTCGCTCCTGGTAATATAGCCTGAGTAGATAGACTCCAACCTGGTTCCATGGATCATTTCATGGGTACAGTGATGCAGACCAATCAGAACTTTACGATCATCAATACGGGAAAGAAGTACAATGACAGAAACATAGGTGACAATCAGGTCCAGGTAGTTCTTGGTGAAATCATAATTCACATTCTGCAGAAAAAAGATTACATATAACTGAACTGGAGGGAAGAAAAAGGAAAGACTGAGCTAGCACTTCCTCACTCCTTTCACATTTCTCATTCCTGCCAGCCATCAATCAGAATAGAGCTGGAAGGGAGTTTAGAGATCTTTCAGTCCAACTCTCTGCTCAAGCAGGGGACCATGCACCATTTCAGATAGATGGCTGTCCAGTCTTTTCTTAAAAACCTCAAGTGATGAAGCACCCACAACTTCTGGTGGCAAGCTGTTCCACTGGTTAATTGTTCTCACTCTTAGGAAATTTCTCCTTAATTCCAGGTTGCTTCTCTCCTTGATTAGTTTCCATCCATTGTTTCTTGCCTTGCCTTCTGGTACTTTGGAAAATAGGTTTTCCCCACCCCTTTCTTTGTGGCAGCCCCTCAAATACTGGAATACTGCTATCACGTCACCCCTAGTCCTTGTTTTCTCTAGAGTTGCCATACCCAATTCCTGCAACCATTCTTCATGTGTTTTGGTCTCCAGGCCCTTAATCATCTTAATTGCTCTTCTTTGCACCTTTTCCAAAATCTCAACATCAGCAAAAGACAGACTGCTCCTCCTCCTCCTCCAACTTGGTAGTCTGAACTCAAATACTTCATTAAGCCATAATTCATATTAGCCATGATTTGCTGAACAAACTACAGTAATCTGTTTCACTTATAATATTAAGCTAAGAATCAGCATTTACAGGGACAATGGTTGGGTGCACATTTTGCATTAAGTCGAAGCACAACAAACCTCATTAGGGCATAATACAGCATGTAAATCGTACTAGTTTCTCAGTTGAAGCACTCCCCCAAATCATCTGCAGTGAATGAATTCTGTTTGCCAGTTGAGCAAAAACCATACTTTGTCATTCTGTACAAATTGGCAAACCTTCAATCTAAGCTCAAAAATATTACACAGCACCCATGTACCAGCGCATACACATGTACCATTGAGATACAGAGTAAATACTAGGCGTTGTGTGGTTAAGACAGGCACCAGGGAAACTCAGGTTTTAATACACTGGACGACTTTGGGTCAGTCATTTGCAGTCTAATCTATCACATGGGAGAGGGTGCCGTGGAGAAAAATAGGAAAGAACACCTGGCACGTAACCTTGAGTTCTTTTACAAAATTTCCATTCATTTAATAATATATACATATATAATTTTAAGAAACAGATTAGTATTACTGTGTCAGGGTTCCAAGTAATAGACCCATACCAAGCAAAACTCCAAGGCAGATTAATTCCTCAAAGAATAGCTTTGTTGGATATATCATATTGACATGAAACTGGTGAAAACTGACTCTGAAGATTCCCATGGTTTTCACCTAATTGAAAGTAAAAGTTTTTCCCTCAACCCCAAACAATCAGTCACATGGTCCAATCAATGCGCCATCTGGTGGCCTGGTGACATCATTCCTCCTTCCTCCGGCCAGGTGTGAGAACATGCTTGGTTCCCAAGAGAAAGTAATTTATTTTGACTACTCCAGCTAACAGAGCCTTGGTGGCGCAGCAGACTAAAGTACTGTTAAGTAGCACCAACTGCCTGCAATTACTGCAAGTTCGAATCTCACCAGGCTCAAGGTTGACTCAGCCTTCCATCCTTTCGAGGTAGGTAAAATGAGGGCCAGGATTGTGGGGGCAATAAGCTGACTTTGTATAAAAAAGAACACCGCTTAGGGAGGGCCAAAAGCCCTACTAAGCAGGTATATACAAAAGTATGAAGGCTATTGCTTAACGCATTGTAAACCGCCCTGAGTCTCCGGAGAAAGGCAGCATATAAATCGAACCAATAAATAAATAAATAAATAAATATCTCTAATCCCCACACCCTACCCTTCAGCTCCAGTGTGGCACCACTGAAGCTCCAAAGTGGCTTCAGCTAGGCCAGCTTCAGGGTTGACAACTGGGAGGTCTCTCCATATAGTTCCAATGATGGGAATATACCCAATAATAGGTACAGGTAGTCCTCAACTTACAACATTTAGTCATTTAGTGACTATTCAAAGTTACAACACCAATGGAAAAAAAGTGACTTATGACCATTTTTCACACTTACGACCGTTGCACCCTCCCCATGGTTAGGTGATCAAAATTTGGACACTTGGCAACTGGCTCATATTTATGATGGTCACAGTATCCTGGGGGTCATGTGATCATCTGACTTCTTGACAAGCAAAGTGAATGGAGAAGCCAGATTCTTTTGCAACTGTGTAACTAACTTAACAACTGTAGTGATTCACTTAACAAGAGTGGCAAGAAAGGTCGTAAAATGAGGCAAAACTCACTTAACAAATGTCTCACTTGGCAACAGAAATTTTGGGCTCAGCTGTAGTCCTAAATCAAGGGCTACCTCTATTCAGCAAGGCCCCAAATCTGACTTCATTTAGAAACCAATTGAAGCCATGCTTATTTCCCTGGGTGTTTATGTTAATAATAACTACAGTACTCCAGGACCAAACTGCCTATATGATTGCCTGCCATGGATGGTTCTTTTTTATTCTTTCTTAATCATTTTTAATTTTTATATTTATGGGGCTTTTTTTAAAGCATTATTGCTTTATTGTAATGTTTTTAATACTTTTTTTCCTCCCTCGTGTCTTAAATCTCCTTCAGAGGTCCACGGAAAGGAAGAGCAATATAGAAATAAAATACATCTTTATATTTAAGCATGTGTTCCTTTTCTGTTTTGGAAGTAAAGGGCTGACTATTTGGAATTTGGGGCCTGTAGCAGAACACCAAATGATATCCATCTATTTCACAGTTTCAGATACCCATCAAGTCCCTCCTTGCTTCCCCTGTTTTTAAAAGCACTTTACATTTCTTTTCTAAGACAGGAAAGCAGAGTCCCAGTTTCTAATTATCTATACTTCTGCCTTTTTTTCTGTTGAGCACAGCACACTTCCCAGGAGAAAAGCAGAAGTTGCCACGTTCTTCTGAGAGAGACCGCCGTGCTATTTATTGATTTGATTTTTTTCTAAATCCTCCATTTTTTTTTTAAATAACTCCAGGTGATGAACATACATAATACTCTTTCCTCCTCCTGTTTCCCCCCAAATAGCAACCCTGTGAGGTGGGGTGGGCTGAGAGAGTGTGACTGGCCCAAAGTCACCTGGCTGGCTTTCATGCCTAAGGTGGAATTAGAACTAGAACTAGCATCTTAACCATTACACCCAATCATTTCCTTCCTCCCTCCCTCCCTCCCTCCCTCCTCCCCTTCCTCCCTCCCTCCCCTCTCTTCCTCCTTCCTTCCTCCCTCCCCCTTCCTTCCTTTCTCCCTCCCTCCCTCCCTGCCTCCTCCCCTTCCTTCCTCTTCCTCCCTCCCCCTTCCTTCCTTTCTCCCTCCCCTCCTCCCTGCCTCCTCCCCTTCCTTCCTCCCTCCCCCTTCCTTCCTTTCTCCCTCCCTCCCTCCTCTTTCCTCCCTGCCTCCTCCCCTCCTTCCTTCCTCCCTCCCCTTTCTCCCTCCCTCCCTCCCTGCCTCCTCCCCTTCCTTCCTCCCTCCCTCCCCCTTCCTTCCTTTCTCTCTCCCTCCCTCCCTCCCTCCTCTGTCTTTCCTTCCTTCCCTCCCTTCCCTTTTTTCCTCCCTCCTTCCCTTCCTTCTTCCCCCTCTCTTCCTCCCTCCCTCCCTCCCTCCTCTGTCTTTCCTTCCTTCCTCCTTCTTCCCTCCCTCCCTTTTTTTCTTTCTTAAAGAAAGCTGGGGAGAAGAGATAAAGAGATGAGCAGGAAGACCAAGATCATGAAAAAAGATAATATGTTGGGGATAATTTGGGATGAGGGGGAAGTACAAAAGAGGAGTTTGCAGATGTCTGTTTGGGGGGGGGGCGGGACTGGTGTCTCTATGAATGCTTACTTTTGGAAGAGTGGAGCTCATTCTATTCCCTATTTAGGAGGTAAGAATATTTTTTTATTCTCTATCTGTCTCTATACAGATAGTCCTCGACACAACCATTCGCTTAATGACTGTTTCTCACAATATGACTGTTGCAGGATTCCGATGGTCGTGTGATCAAAATTCAGACACTTGGTCACTGGCTCATATTTATGACAGTTGCAGTTTCCTGGGGTCATATGATCCCCTTTTGTGACCTTCTGAGAAGAAGCAAAGTCAACAGGGAAGCCAGATTCACTTAACAATCATTTTTGCTAACTTAACAATTGCAGTGATGAACTTAACAACTGTGGCAAGAAAGGTCATAAAATAGGGCAAAACTCACTTAAAAACTCTCCTGCTTAGTGATGGAAATGTTGGGCTCATTTGTGGTCGTAGGTCAAGGACTACCTGTACTTGCTTGCCTGCATTTGATGGTTCTTTTTTTTGTACTACATGGGGACAATAATGTCATTTACAACCTCAGTCTTCTCTGAAGACAATACAGGAATCTTTCATGAAGGTGTTGTTTTTTTTGTGTGATTAACGAATCTTATGAGCTGCCATCTTGCAATGATGCCAATGAACACTCTTCAAATTTCCAAATATGCCCTCCAGTCCTAAAAGCACTGGTGATCTGACTAACAAATTTGGCCTGGCCAGATAATTTCTCAGTCAGTCAAATTTGTAGTTAAAGGTCAACAGTTGTTTTTTGCCCAACACTGTGAAGAAACCGTAACATAATGCTCATAGCTTATAGCAAGGATGGAGAATCCCAAGCTCTTCGGGTGCTGGTGAGCCTTCGATGCTAGCTGGGAACTGTAGCAGCAATATCTAAAGGGCTGCAAATTCTTCACCTCTAGTTTAGAAATTTAGAAAAGTAGACACTCGGTTGTTGACGTTGTACTAAAATGTGTTTTTTCCATCCTCATCTCAAAAGTAATATCTGTACCAGAGGGGGGTTTCAGCAGATTCTGACCAGTTCTGGAGAACTGGTAGCACAAATTTTGAGTAGTTCGGAGAACCGGCAAATACCACTTCTGGCTGGCCCCTGAGTGGGGTGGGAATGGAGATTTTGCAATATCCTTCCCCCAGAATGGGGATTTTGCAGTATCCTTCCCCTGGAGTGGGGTAGGAATGGAGATTTTGCAGTATCCTTCCCCTGCCATGCCCACAAAGCCACACCATGCCCACCAACCCACGCCCACAGAACCGGTAGTAAAAAAATGTGGATTTCACCACTGGCCCTGCCCCCATCTATTCTCTGCCTCCTGAGTCCCACCTGATCTGGAGGAAATGGGGATTTTGCAGTATCCTTCCCCTGGAGTGGGCTGGGAATGGAGATTTTACAGTATCCTTCCCCTGCCACACCCACCAAGCCACACCCATAGAACCGGTAGTAAAAATTTTTGAAACCCACCACTGGTCTGTACTATATGAAAATGACACTCACAATGTCCAAGTAGCATTGGCTTGCATCTATGGTATTCAGCAGTTCATAAACATGGTCCTACAAGGGGAAAAGAAACATTAATGAGCGTATTCAATTAATAACTAATTTATCGCCTTACATTATTTAGCATTATTCCCATTATTTCTTTTTTTTTTAAATAATTTTTATTAAACAGTTTGTCCTTAAAAATAACACAAAAAACAATCACACATATATAAAAACAAAACATGTCAAAATGTAATGTATTGAACATTATATAACATTAATGGTAATTTTACAGCATTTTGTATTAACTTATGTACTTTGCTTTTGTAGTTCTCTATTCTATCATTTCTATTTACTACTCAATAGTAGAATAATCACATTACTCCAACATGTATGTATGTATGTATGTATGTATGTATGTATGTATGTGTATGTGTATGTGTATATATATATATATATATATACACACACACACACACACACACACACACACATTATAATATTCATTTGTTCTTATCTACACATTTATATTCGTTTATATTTACCTCTCTTTATTTAATGTTGTTCAGTTACTTTAAGTTTCATCAATATTAAGTTAAACATTTCTTGTTCTGATTTCTATTTTTGAGCCAACTGTACATTTTATTCCATATTTCATAACAGTCCGAATCCTCCCATTATTTCATTACACAATCAATTCTGGACAGGATTCACATGAAATACATTATGATATCACTGATCCAAAACCAGGTAAACCAGGAATAACAACCGAGAATAAAACATTTCTATCATAAGCTTTGTTGGACTTGTAGCTTGCACAGGCTACTCATTCACAGAATATACATCTTAGGATGACTGCACCTCCATCCATAAATAGGACATGGCTCTTGCTCACACCCATAGGGTGAGACTTGGGAGACCTGCAAGTTCTTTTAAAATGAGGCAGAAACTGTTGGATAGAGATTGGAAAACAAATGGGGCACTGGATATCACCTCCCCTGGAAGTCTGCTACTGAAATTGAGACTGAGAAGGAGACATGATGGATTGAAGCAAAGGGAAAATCTGTTCAAAGAGCCTTCTGTTTTACAGGAATAGATTAAAAAAACATTTAGCTAGAATTCTGCAGTAGATAATTGGTCTGGTTTTCTGAGCGGTACTAATTGTCTTTATTTCCTGAAAAATTACAGGATTGGATATTTAAATCCCAACTTGCATCTCTTGCTCAGGTTGCGGGCCTGAAGTTATAATATTTTTGTATTTTAACATATTTGTAATCGCAGCTTGGGATTCTTCCTAGGCTCTGACTGGAAACAAGTCATTTTATAATAGACCACTATGATCTTATAGTTTGCATGGATTTTTTTTTTAACGTTGAAAATTCCCTTTTAAGTTGCTGTTCCTAATTGGAACAGCTCTGCTCATCTTTATCAACATTAAATATTGAAATTAAGAGTCCAAATTAAAAGGGAATTTTAGATTTTATCACTTATTTTTAAAAATAAAACTGATTTTATTTATCTCCCAAGAAAGAAGAGAAAGGATGACTGGCACTTCTAATCTGGCAAGAGCCTCGGTGGTGCAGTGGACTAAAGTGCTGTTAAGTGCTAGCACTTAGCTGCCAGCTGCCTGCCGTTAGTGCAAGTTCGAATCTCACCAGTCTCAAGGTTGACTCAGCCTTCCATCCTTTTGAGGTAGGTAAATTGAGGACCCGGATTGTGGGGGCAATAAGCCAACTTTGTATAGAACAACACCGCTTGCGGGGCCCGAAAGCCCTAATAAGCAGGTATATACAAAAAAAAGTATGCAGGCTATTGCTATAATGCATTGTAAGCCGCCCTGAGTCTACGGAGAAGGGCGGCATATAAATTGGACTAATAATAATTAAATAAATAATCACATACCTCAAAACTATACAGCTAAAAGATGGAGCTGTAGACATTATTTCATTATTCTCTATTTTTATCTTTTAAATGTCAGAAAAGCAGTGTGGGAGCCTTATCTCTCTTACACATCAAAACTAGGGGGAGGACAGTAGAAGAGATACCCTATGGGAGAAATGCATAGTAGTAACTACAAGCAGCTATGCCAAAACAGGATCAGAGTCAGGGTATATCTATCTATTGTGCTTTTGAAAATGGAGATTCAAAACTTCCAGCCTTGAATGCTAGAGGCTCAGTCTTGTTACTATATCCTTCCTTATTTATCCTTAAAATAAGGATACGGCTGATTCCTGATCTCCGCACTTTCCGTAAGGCCCTGAAGACGTTTTTATTTCAGCAAGCCGGCCTGGCCTGAATAGGTTTTAGGGGTTTTTTAATTGTATTGCTAGGGGTTTTAAATTGGGGTGGCCGTTTAATTTAATTTATTTTTAATTCTTTTAACTTTTATATTGTATGTTATTTTAATTCTTGGCTGTTCACCGCCCTGAGTCCCTTCGGGGAGAAGGGCGGGATATAAATTTAATGAATAAATAAATAAAGCTACATGAATCATGTCTAATTTTACCCAAGACTGACAAATCTTTGCCTTCTTGGCCAATCTATAGTTGTAAACATTACTACTTTTTCATTTCCACTATAACACACATGCCAGAGGTGGTACGCAGCGCCCTCTCTGTGGGCACGTGAGCTTTTGCCACAGTTCAAGTATGCCGCGCATGCTCGCATGCCTTCCGCCGGCCAGCTGGTCTTCGGGTCTCTGCTGCGTATGCACAGGGCGTGTGTGGGGGCATGCGTGCATGCGTGGGGCCATGCACGTATTGCATTTTGGGGGTTCAGGCGCATGTGCACGCTTTGGGCACTTGGTCTGGAAAAGGTTAGCCATCACTGCTATAGGAACATTCAAGATTTTTTTGGAGAGGGGAAGAAATTCTGTTCTTTTATAGCTTTAAAGCATGGGAAAGTTTTATCCCTGTTTATTTACATGCCAATTGTACAATTGTACGTATGCCTCATAACAAACCAAATGAACATAATAATAAATTGGCCTACGAACCTTAGTCTCTCCTTAATCACATGCAGCATTTTGTGCTAACAGTAAAGACAATGTCAGTCAGTTTGAGCATACTTTGGCCAACATGCTAGAAGCCCAATTTTACCCCAAGCATATTTAGAACTGCAAGTTAGTTTTTTAATCTAGAAACCATTTTGTAAGCCAACAAACTATGAGATACAAACAATATATTATAATTTACTCAGATACCAAAATATTTATTTGGTTTATTTTAACCCACAATAAGCAGACTTTTATGGGAAAACTGATATGACTTTATTCAAGACTGGATAGGGTGGGGGTAAGAGGCCAGAAATTTGTGATTAACATTATAACATTTTCCAACAAGTAAACAATGTGGCCATGATACAGGCCTGTTTTGCAGGTCACTGAAACTGATTTAGTTTGGACCATGCATATTAAGCTCAAGGCTATAGAATTCTGCCATCTCCAGAATGAAAACAGAGAACTTGATTCTCTCTCCTTGCTCCCATAATTAATCAATATGGGGGCAGTTTCAGCTAACATAAATGGTATATTAGATAATAAGAGCCGTGGTGGCGCAGCGGTTGGAGTACAGTACTGGAGGCTAATTCAGCCAACCACCAGGAGTTCGATCCTCACAAGCTCAAGGTGGACTCAGTCTTTCGTCCTTATGAGGTTGGTAAAATGGGGACCCAGATTGTTGGGGGCAATATGCTGACTCTGTAAACCACTTAGAGAGGGCTGTAAGAGTATATCAGTCGAAGTGCTCTTGTCTTGCTATTTGCTACAACAGAATCCATGTCATACGATTTGAAGGCAATCCCCATATAGTCCAAAAAATATTACCAATACAATCCAAGATTAATTTTGTGACAAGTCAATGCAATGGATTCATTGGAGCTTATTTCCAAAGAAAGGATAGTATTGCTGCACATTAAAACAAAATAGTGTCCACTCTTACGTTCCAAATACAATTTACCTACTGATCAGGACTCATTAGGATTCCTAAAATAGGATGGATGGCATTGGTACATGCCATCATGTCTTTAAGTGCAACACAAGAGTGAGAAAAAGTGCTTCTGCGTTTTCTATATTTCTCCATAAATTTGTTTACGTAACACAAAAATTTTCCCCTAATTAAAACAGAGCAAATGCAAAAGGCTCAACCTCACACAGCATGGATCTAACTCTGGCTTAACACTCACCCGGAATTCCATTACATCCACAAAGGTCTGATAGTAGGCAGTGAGTGCCCGAAAAATATCTGCTTTCTCTTTGTGTACCGGACCCAAGTGTTGCTGTAAGAAGGGAAAAAAGCAGGCATAAGGTGGTGGGTAAGCTCTGCAGCAGCAGCCTTAATAAATCCCTATTTTTTGCCACTTAAGACAGTGGTCCCCAACCTTCCTGGCTTGGCTGAGCGGTGAGGGGGGGGAGAAGGGATGTTTCTGTGCAAGTGACAGGTAAGTGTGAAAGCGTGCACAACTCCATTTGTGCAAACGGTGTTCATCCGTCATTCTTGCAAGTGGAAATGCGTATGTACACACACTCCGACCCACCACTTTCATGGCCTGGTTCGAAATGGTCTGTGGCCTGGTCATGGACCGAGGCCCGGGACTTGGGGCCCCCCACTTAAGGCAAAGAGTAGAGAACTCCTTGCTGTTTCTGAATCTTGGTGTTTTTTTCTTCCTACTAGGGTATTTCAAAATTAATCTTTTTTTTTTAATTGCTTTTGAAATAATAATAAAAAAATTCTTTGAAGTTAAATTTGAGTTTGATGAGAGCTAGGCAATACTGGATTATTGAGTATGATTTAGAAATACATTTTCACACGTATTACAAGAAGGCAGAACAGCTAATATTGCTTTTCCCTTTTCACTGCTGTAAGACCAACTTTGAGAGTAAAAAAACTCGGTTGTTAAAACAGAGTTAGGAAGGTAGCAGTTATCTGCATGCAGAAATTGCTCTGGCTGAAACTAGAATAGCAGTTCCAGGGAAGCCCTCCCCCCTCCCCCCGCCCCAAGGTGCTTTTTCAAAAGGCAACTGGCTTCTTCAGCTCTGACGCTTCTTGGATGAGAAGCGAAACATCTTCAAGGGAAAAACAAAGTCCAGTTGCCTTTTGAAAAAGCACTTCTGGGACAACTATGACCTGGATGACTGAGAATCTCCATAGACCAGAGGTCTCCAACCTTGGCAACTTTAAGACTTGTGGACTTCAACTCCCAGAATTCCTCAGCCAGCTTTGCTTTGCTGGCCAAGGAATTCTGGGAGTTGAAGTCCACAAGTCTTAAAGTTGCCAAGGTTGGAGACCCCTGCCATAGACAGTTCCAGGGAAGTGTCTTTCTTTTCCAAGAGGATAACTTGTTCAACTTTGTACTCTGCTTTAAACTCAGGGTCCCACCGTGCTGCTCCGTGTGTCCAAGTTGGGAAACTTTTTGTTGATATATTTGATAGAGGACTCCATTGTCTTCTCCGTGAGGAAAGGAAGCTTGGTCTGGGAATCCGTGCATGTCTGCAAAGATAACAAAGCCAAGTCAAAACTGCATTTGTTTGTGTGCATAATTATTAAGCTTTTCATAATCTCACACTCACTGCAGCATGCAGCTAATCTTTTTCTTTCCTTAGAAATGAAAATGAGAAATGGCAGAACAAAAAAAACAAAACAACCCACATGGGAATGAACAATGTTATTTGCCAGGAAAAACAATAGATAAACAGATTTTCAAGGGACTGGTCCATCTTTGCTGTCAGGACATTCTTCTTTCTCTCCAGCTTTGTTCATTTGAATGGTTCTTTATTCATTTTCAATGGTTAATTGAGCAAGGTGGAGGGAACAAAAAAAAAAGTCAGCTCTGTATCTTTTGTTCCCTTAGCTCCTACTTTGAGGTTTTGATGGCTTGATGGAAATGGAACAAGCTGCCTCAATATCATTGGTCAATTATTACCAAGCGCAGGCAAATGAGCCCCCTTTTAAGATATTAACTTAATAGAAGTTCATGAATCAATCCATTAAAATGACACCCTCCAAAGTGGTATTCTAAATGCAGCCTTTCTCAAGCTGGGGCCCCTCCAGATGTGTTGTTCAAACCAACACTAAAAGCATATGTGTCACAGAGGACACTATTACGCAGTCCTCAAAAGCATTAAAAATGCTTCAGAAATAGCACATTAAGCTTAACTTCCTTGCAGGTGAGGGATCAATGGAGATTTAAAATGTCTATTAGTTATTTTATTTACAGCCAGAACATCGGTGGAGAAAGCAGAAGGCATTCCTACAAGCAAGCGAAACTACAGTTAGATTAGATTCCTAGCATCCTAAAATTCTTTCTGCCTCTCCATCTCCATATGACATTAAACCACAGCAGTTGCAGGAGAAGAGCAGTCAGAGCTGGGAGGGGTGGAGTTAAGTGAGTCATGAGCCTAGAGTCACTACAAACAGTCCAAGTCCAACCCGTCTTGAATGCCATTGACCCTTATCTGGCACCAGTTTAGTACTAGTTTTGTGTGTATAAGCTTGAGCAATGAATCTTCTCAACCAGGTTTATATGTGATCCTGATATTTCTAGCACAAAAGTGCATAATTTCTCTTGTCTCAAAGTCAGCACCAGATTTTGCATGGCCACAATTCAATGGAATGGGGTAAAGGAATAATTAAATGAAGAAAATGATGCCTTATATTAAGGCTAAAGCATCCAGTTGGTCCCTAAATCACCAGTAAAGTAAAAAAAAAACCCAAAAAAGAGAATTGAAAGAAGCCCCACCCACCCTAAAGGCTGCAAAAGGACACTAGTGAGATGATGCGTCAGCCTTAAATTACACTTTGAGCAACACTAATGTACCACAATCAGACAGCAAACTCTTGATAGAAACAAGAACTAATAGCATATAGAGCTCCCCAAAATTCTTAACTGTATTAAGAATTGTATATTGCCATTTAGTACAATGGGAGATAATTGCTATGTCACAAGGAAATATTATGATTGCTATCAAAATACGGTCGGGTAGCCAGCAGTGGGGGGTGGGGAGGAATGTAAACATGGGTGCACAATCTAATTTGCATAAGATGTCACCGCCCTCCCCCAACAGTTCCAAACAGGAAGAGGAAGCAACTACTTCTGCTGGCTTCTTGTCTGTTGATCTGAATTACTTACTCTAAAGCTGCTGTTTCCTTCCTTCCTCTTAAAGCCTTCTCCAATCACTATTAATTAAAGCAGCTAAGAATAAGGTATAGTGCTTAGCAGTTCAAGGGATGGTGTTTCCAAAGGCATATTAGCTTAAATCCTCATTTGGTCCAAACATATAGTCAACTTGTGGTCAGTTTCCTTTTCTCGGGGAGCTTTCCAGAGTCTCATCTCCTCCAGATATGTGTAACTACAACATCCAAAATGTAGATTATATCATCTTGGGGGGTGGGGAGAGGGAGGAGGCTGCTCTAAATTTAGCTCACAGGACTTTTGTTAAAATGGAAAATCCCCTGTCAAGCTTTTAGGCTCTTCTGAAGACACGCGTGGGACACGCGTGAAAGATTTGAAAGTCCTAGCACGCTATCCTCTGCTTTTAAAATATAATCTTAATTCCTGTCACTGAGCACTATAAACATCATAAGTGAGAAGCAGTCCCTGCTTAGATAGAGGGAACATTAGGCCACAATAGAATGTAGGCATTAAAGACAATTCAGAAAAAGCAGCATGCTAAAACCACAAACTAGGTTCACACACTGCATTAAGACATAATTTGAGTAAACCACAGTTGGCTGGATTAATTTAACATAGAAAGCCATAAACCCATGTTTTATGTTAAAAAGAAATATAAGCGCTAACAAAACATTAAACCAGAGGCGGGGACCGATGGCCCTTTTATGACTTATGACTTTGAGTCATGCTGGCTTGGAAATTATGAGAGCTGAAGTCCCTAAGTCATAAAGGGGCCATAGTTCTCCACCTCTGCACTAAACCAAAACAAACCATTTTATCAATGTGATGTTTGAACCAACGTTGTCTGAGCAGGGATACTAGAAAGGAAGAAAATGACTGCATAAGGACTACGTGCAACAGTTTAACCAATGATTTACAGCATTGACCCAACTATCTTAAGTTTGTGCTACACACAACACAGTGAACGATAAACCAATCACCAGGCTTGGATTCTCAAAGCACACCAAATCATGTTCAGTGTAATGTGTTGTGAGAACTACTTAAATAATGACAAGGATATTATTCCTGGTCTAGAAGAAGGGTTTGAATAGGATACCTGAAGGAAAGCTAGTCTGAAGCTGGAGAAAATTAGAATAAAGCTGCAGATCAACAAGGGGAAAAAAATCAAACTGTTTTCTTCTAAAGCATCACCTAAGAATCACTCAATTAAAAATTAAAAAGTGCTCCCGGGCCTTTATCGAGACTACCATATACTTGCTGTATAAGAACCATTCCTTTCTTAATCTTTCTTTCAGCTAGTGTTTCTGGGTGGTAGTTGTAGGCTGCACTATTTTTTCCTCTATCCACCGGTTTCCTCAAACCAAGTTTAATAGGAGATCTTCTCTATAGCTCCCACCTTTGCCGTAAGCCAAAAGAACAGAGAAAGGCTCCAGTCAGATAGACACACCCACACTTTATAGACCCCAGACATTGCTATATTCCTTCCTTAGGATCAGCTGGAAACCTCTTTGTCCGAAGAGCAGAAGGACCAGCCCCGGGGACACATCAGCGCCTACCTTCTTGATGTTATATATGCGGATGAGCACCCCTTTGCCCCTGTCATTAAGAATTGTCAGCTTCTCGGCAAATTTGTGCTCGTACACGGAGGACAGGGACATCTTCCCAAGGAATCGGCAGCGCCCCTTGGGGCTTCAGGCTCGATGAGGGGAGAAATTCAAAAGCAGGCCACACCCAGCCACAGCTCCTGTGGCACGACTTGCTCTTGGGGCTTTCAGCTTATCGTGCAGACTTCACCACAACGCTTCCTCTTCTGGCAGTGGAGAATGCAGCTTCCCCTATGAGGCTGGGACTTCCTGTAACCAGGCTGCTCAATGAGCAGAGCAGTTCTGAGGCAAAGCCACATTGCTAACCTTTCCTGCAGTTAAACAGCTTCTTTCACTTCTGCCTAGCTTGTTACTTAGTACTGCTCTGTTCCTATAATATGACATAATGAACCACAGTCTAGTCATTCGCATTTTAGCCTTGTGAACTCACCTGCTGTACAGGGGATATCTCCATGAACACCCATCCCCAACACCCATGGGTTAAATGAATAAACACAGATAGTCCTCGACTTACAGTTCATTTAGTGACCATTCAAAGTTACAGCGGCAGTAAAAAAAAGGTGACCTATGACCATTTTTCACACTTATGACCGTTGCATATTGCAGCATCCCCATGGTTGCGTGACTTACATTTGGATGCTTGACAACTGGTTCATATTTATGATGGTTGCAGTGTCCCAGGGTCATGTGATCCCCTTTTGTGACCTTCTGACAAGCAAAGTCAATAGGGAAGCCAGATTCACTTAACAACGGTGCTACTAATTTAACAACTGCAATGATTCACGTAACAAAGGTGGCAAGAAAAGTTGTAAAATGGGGGGAAAACCCGCTTAACAAATAACAACATAAATTCTGGGCTCAGTTGAAGCCATGCTCATTTCCCTGGGTATTTATGTTAATAATAACTACAGTACTCCAGGACCAAACTGCCTATAAGATTGCCTGCCACTGATGGTTCTTTTTTGTTCTGTCTTAATCATATTTAAGGGCATGCGGTGGCTCAGTGGCTAAGATGCTGAGCTTGTCGATTGAAAGGTCAGCAATTCAGCAGTTCAAATCCCTAGTGCCACATAAAGGGGTGAGCTCCCGTTACTTGTCCCTTCTGCCAACCTAGCAGTTCAAAAGCACGTAAAAAATGCAAGTAGAAAAATAGGGACCACCTTTGGTGGGAAGGTAACAGCTTTCTGTGCGCCTTTAGCATTTAGTCATGCCGGCCACATGACCATGGAGACGTCTTCAGACAGCGCTGGTTCTTTGGCTTTGAAACGGAGATGAGCACCACCCCCTACAGTCAGGAACGACTAGCACATATGTGCGACGGGAATCTTTACCTTTACCTTTAATCATTTTTAATTTTTGTATTTATAGTTTTTTCGAGGACTTCCTGTATTTAGGTAACCAGGACTATGTCATGAGAATACAATAACTAGGTGATTGTATCATGAGTTTTTTGTGCCTTAAAGTTAACATTAGCAACTAGCAACTACCTGGTCCAGTCCCTGAAGTTTCTTGGCAATATTTTTCAGAAGTGCCTCCTTTCTAAGGCTGAGTGGCTGGCCCAAGGTCACCCAGCTGGGACTAGACACCATGGATTCCTGGCTTTTTAGCCTGGCTATAGCATAACAAATTGGTTCTCTAATAACCAAACACCTAATACTAAACTGTATAAGAGAGCCAAGCTTGCCAAGAAAATTGTAGGACTAGTCCAGGAGTCACCAGTCATCAACATTGTCTTGAAGTCATTGGGAGTCAAAAATTGACTCGTAGGCACAACCAGCCCAAACCAAACCTAAGGGTCATGAAACCCGGTATAGAGTTACAAAAGAAAAATAATAGGGGGGAAAACAGAGAGGTTCCCCATTTCAAGCTTTCTTCTTCAAGGTAAGAAGGAAACTGCAAACCAGGAACCCAAATTGCTACAGTATAATGGGTTTTTTCGCTGGCCTGAACAAGAGTTGCCGAAAGGTTACTGGCCCTAAAAGGATTTTTCAGGTTCCTTTTGATTACAAGAGGTTTCAAGGAAGAGCACAAGAGTCCTTATGTTATGCCGATTGTACTAATGAACAAACAGATGAGTTCATGACTCTGGCAACATTACTCTAAACAGATGTACTCTCTTTACTGTCTCTGCCCCTTCTTTACCCAGAACCAGTACAAATGGAAAGAGTTGAGGTGGGATGTCTGCCAATCTTAGCTTGGAAGTTATCCTTGCTGTACACATCAAACAAGGTATCCTGCTTTTCTTCACATTGGGATTCTTTTCCCAACTATGAATCTCTTCCTAGTGCATTAAAAAAAAAAAAACCTTGTTCTGCACAGCCAGAATTTTGAATCTTTTAGCTTGACTTACAGTACTAACTCTGGACCTTGAGTCAAAATGAAGATGAAATTTTGAGGGAAGAGCAACCCAATCCATTGTTAGTTGATCCATGGCTTACTTAATGAAGTTGCCTGGGTCTGCTCAACCTTGAACCATTAGCTAGACCACTGGGCCACAAATTAGTCAGCCACATTGTTAGGTTTTTAGTGAGAAAGGAACTAGTTAAAGCCATTAACCAGTGTGCTATCTACAATAGTTTTGTACTATCACTATTATTCTGTAATTGAGAAACTTCTTTACATGAATGATTTTTGAAGTGCCCATAATACTTTTTAAAGATAGACAAGGGTGAATGCAATTTTAGTCCCTCACCTTTTGTAATACAATGGTTTCCTTGGACACAATGATGTCAGAAAGTTCTTCAAGAAAGTTTCCCACCATGTTTCCCACCATTGGTTCACTCTACATTTCAACTGCTATTAGGAGAAACCTGTGTCTATTTGAATTTAGCCAATTGTTTAGCTGAGCAGAGAGAGAGGCAGGTGTTTCCATTAATGGCCAGCTACTTTATAGAATAGGCCTGCCCTTGAAGAGCATTCAGAAGCTTCAGCTGGTAAAACACTGAGCTACACAGGTTGGTTATTTGGGACATGCAAGACTGCTGCTTTAGGGGGCTGTACTTGGTTGAGGGACCACTTTCTTCCAGTTGCTTTTACCCATTCAATCTGGTCTTGCAGGGCAGGCATGCTATGCGTCCTGCCAGCCAAGGAAATTTGGCTGGTGGGGACCAGATGATATGTCTTTTCTGCCGTGTCTCTCTGAGATTAACTATTGACCTTGAAGATGTGATTATGTGCCCAAGTCTGAAGTTAAGGGCTACATTTCCTGGCTATGTTGACAACAACAGATATCTCTTGGTTGATATTTATATTTAATTCCTTTTTTGTTTGTGTTTTGTTTTCATTATTTTGTCTGCCAAGGTGTCACCTGTTTGAGATGGGTGGGTATATACAAGTTGAATAAATAAAAAGCAATGTGAAATGCCCCCTCCTTTTTTTCACATGTGAGAACTTAAGCTTTTCATTTTTTAATTCAGCTAACAGTCTGTGGAGGAATAAGCTGGAAAGCGGGGCCACACAGTAAGTCTTTTGTTCTTTGTTACTGCTTTAATTATTAAGTAAAAGTTTGTGACTGGGTTTCATCAATCATAGTAAGCCAGTTTGGGGAATAAAACAAAATTGTGTTTTTACAACATAATAAAATAACACACCCGTTACACATTACGGAATGAAAAAATAAATACATCTAGTCTGAGTTGGATCTGTGAAGGAACCTAATGGCTGTGTTCATCATACTAAAAAATAATTCAGACTGTAACGAATATTTTGTAAGCCATGATGTGGCTTATGTTCTACTAGTATAAAATTTATTTAAATCTAGTTATTTGAATTAAGCATTGTTTGATTCATGCTTCAAACTATGAAAAATATAGTTAGCTAGATATATACTGTGAACCCAGAGCAAGGGCTAATTAACCAAAAAGCTGCAGATTAGCTGATAGTGCAAACATGGTCAAGAAAATTCATAGCCTTCCCCCCCTCCTTTAAAAAGTAGCTTTGGAAAAAAATTAAATGGGGAATTTCTAATTTACTCAACTTGCATATGTTTGGGGAACAATTAAAAAGATATGAGAATACTGATTTCTATCCCATTTAAACCAATATCAAACATGGTTTAGCTTGCTATGTGAGCAAAGCCACTATACTTTATAAACCCTACTTTGATTTCTGATTTAGTGAACCAGAAATGAACCAACTGAACCAATCCCAACAGTTTTGACACGATATTTATATAGTCAGATTAATACATGGCCAAACAAATCACATGGCTTAGCATGATTTATAAATCTAGTCTATTATGGCTTATTCAACCAACTATTTAAAATCCATGTCAGTGCAGTTTGTAAACCACCCATTGAATAATAGGCTTCGGTATCATTAGACAATCCATGCCCTGTTGGGTCATCATCAGTTCCTTACCAGATTCCGCAATGTCTTCAACAATGATAGATCATCTAATATACGGCCTTTACTGGAAAAGTTGTGATACAGAGATGCATCTGTCTTGAAAATAGCCCAAGCTGAACACAGTCAAACCTCAGCACAGGAAATGTTTTATGACATTTTGTACTATGTCATAAACTGTTTTAGGATCATTTTTACAGCACAAAATGTTTTATAAACTTTTGCCAAATTTCAATCCTATGAAAGCCCAGAGGCCCCAGATTTTGAAAACATTCTCTAAGTTAGTCAATTTGAGGTAGCTTGGTTCAAAAATTGTTACCCCATGATGCACAGTTGAAGGTTGTAGGGAACAAGAATTTTAGCAATGCATTTGCCACCTATGCCCCATCGGATTGTTTCAGGGATATTTTCTTATCTAAACAGAAATTAGAATGACATGTGGGCAAAAAAGCAGTGGAAATGGGAGCAACTTCTGACTTCCTGCCACCTTCTCATTGACCTTATGGGAAATTCTTCTTTCCAGTTCTTCCCTTCCTTCCTTTTTTCCCTCCTTCCTGTCATTCTGACATTGTTTTTTTTTTCCCCTTCCTCCATATCTCCCTCCATAGAATTCCTGCTGGCTTCATAATTAACTTTGCTTGTGGGAAGCTTGCAGGGAGAAAGTCAGCGAGGAAGCTAGCAATAAGTTGCATGTACAAGGCCAGCAGGCAGATAAGTGGCTGCTGCCAGGTGGGAGAGAGCGAGGGGATGCCCAGGAGTGTGGGTCGAAAATGGTATACAGAGGTGCCTGAGAGGTGCTGTTCAGATCAGGAAGAGTACACAAATGTGCACAGGAGGTGCTAAGCAGGCAAGGTCAGAAAGGGGGCATGGAGGTGTGCAAGAAGTGTTGTCTAGGTTGGGTAGGTATGAATGCAGTGTCAGTTGTGGATGGGGTCATAGAGTGTGTAAGAGGTGCTGTATGGGTCACAGAGGATGCATAGGTCAAGGAAAGTTCATGGAAGGCTGCAGATCAGGGAAGGTTCATAGGATGCACAAAAGGAGCTGCAAGGGTCAGGTAAGCAGGTGGCATCAGCCAGGAAGGTTGCACAAGTCTCTTCCTTTCCCAGCAGGTAGGCAAGTGGCTACTACTAGGTGGGGTAGGAAGTAAGGGATTGAATGCCTGTAAACGTCACTGAATGTTCAAAATGAGGAATATGTGGCTGCAGCAACAACCTGGCGGCACTGAAGCAGCAACAACTTTCCTAAATAAAACCTGAATGTATTAAATCCAAGGGTTCATCCTTGTATTTTTTTAAATGGACAGCATAATAAGATAAATTACAGGCTGCTGAACAACATGGTTTCATGGTTTCTAAAATTTCTAAATGTCTAGAATTTAAGAAATAATTAGGAGGTTTTAGACATTTTTTTTTTTTTTGCTTTAATTTATATGCCGCCCTTCTTCGGAGACTCAAGGCGGCTTACAATGTATTAAGCAATAACCTTCATACTTTTGTATATTTATACAAAGTCAGCTTATTGCCCCACAAACTGGGTCCTCATTTCACCTACCTTTGAAAGGATGGAAGGCTGAGTCAACCTTGAGCCTGGTGAGATTTGAACTTGCAGTAATTGCAAGCAGCAGATGTTAATCTGTTAATAACAGTGCTTTAGTCCACTGTACTACAGGCTCTTTCACTACAGGCTTTTTAATATTGACATTAAAAAGCTTTTTTTTTATCTGTTATGCTTTCTACTGAGCCTTAGCATATGCATCTGAGTATCTTGCTATTTAATAGTACTTTTCTATTCAACAATTTATTTTTCATCATCTTTAGGAGCACAACCACCCAGCACATCTCTCATGGATCCGGAACGGCTGGTTCAGTGTCCCTATGACAAAAACCATCAGATCAGAGCCAGCCGTTTCCCTTATCACTTGGTGAAGTGCAAGGAGGTAAGGAGAAAATGCAATGTGCTATATAGGCAATGTGTGTTGACATTTAAAGCCAAGCTAGACAAAACTAAAGAGAGAGAAGTTCAAAACATTTAATTACCGAAAGTTCCAACCAGGTGTTGAACTGTTCTCTCTTGTTTCTTAGTCAACATCAAAGCAGAACTCATTCCAAGTGAGTTTTTGGAGTGAAAACACAAAGCAGACCTAAAATGAAAACACAAAACAGGCCTGTTCCATATCGTACCACTTCCTGAAAACTCACATCTGCCTACAACAGAACATTTTGCAGGTTCAAAGCAGAATGTTAATTCAGTAAAATTGTGGATGAAAAATATATGGAAAATTTATACTGGTGTTGTTTTGCGATCTTGCCATAGCAAGCCCATACAGTTTCCTTGGAACAGTCAATTGTTCGATTTAATTTAAACTCTTTTCCTAAAGTAGGGAGATTTTTTTTTAATCTTGAAATTTCCTGCTGCCAAGATCTATTTTCATGTTCCACATGCCATTGCTCCTTAGGAAATTGTGTTAAGTGTCAAAAGATTGCTAAATCCCTTAATTTTCCATTCCCGAGATATTCGTGGCACCAGGAGGGCTCCTCCATATTAAAAAAAAATGGGTTGACAATTACTTTTCTGCTGTATCTTTTATATTTCAAAAACATATTTCTTGCAGTATCACTGATGACAGGATTTTGGAGACAGCCATAATTTCTACATTATAATCATCTCTTGGGTTTTGTTTTGTTTTTGCCTAGAACAATGAGAAGGTTGCTAAAAAACTAGCAACATGCCCCTATAATGCTCGCCATAGAATTCCCAAGGAAGAATTCAATTTCCATCTTGAAAATTGTGAGAATAAAATTGCTCTGGATGTGTCCAATGGTAAGAGTTTTATTCTTTTTTCTGCTTGAATGCTCACTGTGACTCTTGCATGGTGTAATAGGTTATGTTGTTAACAAAAATTTGTGAATTAAGATGAGAGTTATGCTGGCTACAGAAATCAGCATCCCCAAATATTTCAACCAAATAAATACACTGCCTAGACTATACACTGAATATTCAAATGGGTTGTAAAATAAGGTACAAAGAGAAGAAATGAATTTATAGTGAGCAATGCAGGTATGAAAAGTATTTTTTTTTAAATGATCATGAGTCCATTCTTTTAAAAAATTAGACATCGCGAATAAGAAGATCAAAATCTGCTTTTAAATTATTGGGGTGTTTTAATCTGTCTGGGCCAAAATGATTTAATTTGATTTTATCTGGTTTTTAAATTTTTTGTATCTATGTATTTTATTGTTTGGCTGTTCACCGCCCTGAGTCCTTCGGGAGTAGGGCGGTATACAAATCAAATAAAAGATAAAAAGATAAAGATAAAGAAAAGTGAAAAGCTAACATGACTGATATATAATGCAGTCAAATAAGTGAAGGAAGATTACAATAGCTACATATAAACCTTGGCATTATATGGGAGTCCACAAGGAGACATGGGAGGTTCAATGAACTTTTCAAACAGAGAAAGATGACCACTTTCTATATTTCTGTACATGCCATAAAATTAAATTTTCCTGGGCAAAGAATACAAAATACACTATTATGAAGTAGAATAAGTAACGTTCTGGAAAAGGGTTTGATTCCCCTCTGTTCTTTGATTTTATGAAATGAAATTTAGGAATATTTTATGCATTGTTCCTCCAAACAGAAGTAAAAAAGATATGCAATTAACATATTTTTCCCCCACATTTAAACTTGGACAAGAAGCAATAAAGTGGGCAGTACTGAACCTTTGTTCCTGGAAGAAGATTTAATGGTCCAATTCCCATGTTGACTGCCTGACTTAGATGTGTCTGAAATTATCTGTTGTACAAAGTAGAAGCTGTTCTTCTGTTCCCCTTTCCTTTCTCAGTAAATAATCAAGAAATGTTTATGTATTTAAGAAGGGATCTCACCTGAGACAATGGAGAGCTTCCATTAATTTTCATATTTGATGCCAAAGCAAGTTCTTCCTCACAAAACGACCCCTTTTTTATTTTTATTCATTTAACTTGATAGAGCAACTATCAAAGTTTAAAATGAATTGTACATTTAAAATCAACATTAAAAACATTTCATTAAAAGCGAGTAAAGCAAATGTAAAATCATTAAAATTAACAACTGTAGTCTGCAGTTAAAAGCCTATACAAAATTATGTATTTCAAGAGCTTGTTTTTAAAAGCTAATAAAGATACTGGTTATCAGATCTGATCTGTTATCAGTGACCAGGATCTTACCCTTTGCAACAGAGTTGCTTTGAATTTCAATATCTCATTATGTGAATTCACAAACATGAGCTCTAACGTCGTAAAGAGACACGCTCAGCCCGGGAACTAAATTATCACTCTACATAACTGTTCATAACTGCTTGATATCAATATCACTGTTCATAACTGTTTCTGAACATTTTGCTTGCAGGGGCTTCCAATCTAAACATGGGAATCAAAGAGGTAACGGGCGCGCAATGCCCACCTTCGCAGGAAGACTGGGAAGCTGGTGAGTTTTTATTTCCAGAATGCAGCACCATAACTGTGCACAATTTTTTTCAAATTGAAACACATTATAATTGAACTGAACGCTTTTTCTTTTTTACAACAAAGCAGTAACTCCTTCCCTCTTGGAAACCCCAGCTTAAAACAGATTTAAGGAACCAGATCTCTTTCTCGAAATGATTAGGTGTTCCTGCCGATTTAGGCCAAGAGGTCTTTTTCCACTTTTGAATTGCAACCATCGAGACAAATTTAGATTTAGATAATATGAAAACTTGAGAGCATCCTTTACCTGTTTGTCTGGAATGCTCTATGAAGTATAGTGTTGTCCTTTGATGAGAAAAATGTTCAAAACAGCATGCAGGGGTGCTGCCCTAGATGATGGGAAGAACAGCAAGGTCACTCATCACTGATATAAGAACAATGGTTTAAGAAAGAGCTTAAGTAGACCTGAGACTTAATGAAACTGATCGAACAACTCCACCTCCATCTTTCTCCTGACTGGAGCTTGAGTATTATACTCGCTGTCTTCCCTTCCTATTATTTTTTGCTTAGGCTATCCCTGCTTCTTAGATTCTGAGCCAATGGGTAAGATCCAAACAATATTTTTGTGTTTGTATCTAGAATGCTTTTGATTTTTTTGGCAAAATAATTTTAACAGTGCCATTAAGCATAACTATCCCATGAGAGTATGTAGTTCATGTCTTATCAACTTGAGCGCTTCGGGCAAAACCCAAAAGAGAGCTTCCCAGCTATGTAATTATGCAAACAGCATCGAATACTTGTTTACTACTTTTCTTTTTTTCTAAAGATGCTGATAAATGTCCTGCTCCTCTTTTTGTTTTTGGGAAGAGGTGAGTCAACAAAACAACTGCTTTGCCTGTTATTTCACCTGTTAATTCAGCATCAAAATGGTTTAACAAATGACGCAAGGTCAATAGCGTTTCTTAAATCTGGGACAATCAACTTTTTATATCAACGGGGTGTATCATGTTTTGTGGTGTAAAAGACCTATGTAATAATATGCCATACTATGGGGAATGGAGGGAGAATAAGCATAGTACAATGGGTGTAAGTTGCATATTAAAAATGCTTTTGCTTAGACAACATACATGTTGTTAATGAGTCGTCTACAAATACAACTGCATATAGAATGTAAAGTAGTGGGAACAAGACGAACAAAGCAAGAGTCAGTATTGGCAGGCATTAGTCGTTTTTGGATAGTTGTTGTTTTGAAGAATTGATTCTATAACAAAGTTATCAAATATGTCTATATGTTATCAAACATATCTATGATATGTCAAATATATCTTCTCTCAATCTCTGGATATTGTTTCTTTTCCTATTGACTCTGAGAGGGAATTCTTCATAGAATAGTATATTAGTTGTCCTAGGGTCAATTTCTATTTTGGAAGAAGGAATTGCATATCTAATCTTCCATACAAATTAAAGCATAGAATCCCAGCACTGTATCATTCCAGTCCTATTTGCATGAATGAAAGCTGCTCTACTGTTATTTGGAGAACTGTTTAAGTCCATTTTATTTTATTTTATTATTAGAAAAAGAATGTTAGAAGAGGCTAATTTAAGACGTACACAATTACTGATGCTCATATTTTTCTTCCTGATAGCTATTCTGAACAGAGAAAGTAGAATCTACAACTTCAAGGGTAATGTATTATAGAATTAAATAATCTATTATAGAATTTCTAATTTTTAGCTTGAGATGTTCCAGGCAATCCAGTGTGATTTATAAACCATGGTTTCCTTGAGACATACTGAGGTGCAGATTGTTTAAGGCCTATATATCCACAAAAGCGAACAAGTTTCATTGCTAATGAGTAATTGTAAAAGCTAGGTATTTCTCTGGGGATATGGCACTTTAAAAAATGTTGTTTGGCCATTACAAAGGCCATCTAAGTTAATTATAACAAGCAACAAAAAAGGCTCATCTTTTGAGGTGAATTTTTTTTTTTGAGCCAATAATATTGGTACCACAAGAAATTGAACCACAGACTACCATGTGAATTGACACCAGCCAAACACTGCTCATAATAGAGGTTAAATGTGGTGAGAGGTTATAAGACTCAGGGCCAGCCACCCTGAGTCTTCGGAGAAAGGTGGCATATAAATTGAACTAATAATAATAATAACTAATAATAATAAAGTTTCCCATTATATCTGAGCTGCTACACGGTTAAATTTACATTAGCTTAGTGATAGCTTGTTGAATAAGCTAGAACTGAATTGGTTAGCACATGTTTAGCAAAGTACTGAAGCTAGTCATTTTTTCCTATTTGAAATGGTACCAATGTAGTCAAAGTGAATGGTGAAAGGATAGCAAGAAAAGCAATTTTTTTTGCCTACGATACAAGAAAATGGGACTAGAGGCTGTGCTAGGAAAGGCAGCCTTAGAGTCTCAGCATCGGCAGTATATGTTACAATTTGCAAAATGGTGGACGTGGCATAAACACACTTTGTGGATATCATTGCTCGGAGTTTTGACATAGCTTTCGCTAGCTTAGGACTTCTTGTTCAAATAAACTAATAATAGTGTCGGGGGCAGGATTCTTTTCACAACTCAAAACTAGTATATGCTAAACAATAAATAATTAAGTTTCTCCCCTTCCTTCTTCTTTGTTTTGGACCTTTATCAACATTGACAGATTGCAAGCAGTTTGGGGGAGTGGTATGAGCCATTCTGAGATTATTAAAAATTAATTAACTCCTGTTATTCCAGGTTTTATCATGAAGATCCCATTGGAAGAAGAAATCAGGACAAATTTTTTTAAAAATTCAAGACAATCCTTTTAAACATTTTAATTTTTTAAAAATGTGTTTTATTCGAATGTTTTAATAAAATTGAAAATAAAGAATCGCCAACTCTTTTTTTTTGTCTGTTTTGTCTAATTTTTTATTACACATTCAGCTCTTTCCGAAAACGTGGGACTGCAGATACACGATTCTCTCCTTAAAACAAGAGAGCCTTAGCTAAGAGGGAACGATTGCTTCAAACTTATCAGTGATCTTTATAATTAAGTGGAAAATTTGAATTTTGCTTGGTCCTAACCACTCAAAACAGTTTGCCACACTGGCACTCATGTGCTGCTACTTCTTAGCAGCCATTCTCAGGAGAAACCTCTAGGTTCTATCTCTCTATATTGAAGTAGAAGTGAGATTCTTTAATGTTGTAAGAAGCTTAAGGATGGCATTCTGATCAGAAGAACTGTACTTCATGAACATAAAATGCCTCTCGGCCACAGTCCCTTTCAAACTACCATACAGGGCAAATAGCAATAGCACTTAGACTTGCATACCGCTTTACAGTGCTTTACAGCCCTCTCTAAGCAGTTTACAGAGTCAGCATATTCCCCCCAACAATTTGGCTTCTCATTTTACCCATCTTGGAAGGATGGAGGGCTGAGTCAACCTTGAGCCTGGTGAGATTTGAACCGCCAAATTGCAGTCAGCTGGCAGTCAGCAGAAGTAGCCTGCAGTACTGCACTCTAACCACTGTGCCACCCTGGCTCAAATGGACGACTATAGAATGCAGATCACTTGCAAAACTATAGTCAAAAGCTTTTCATGCTATTATTAATCATACATATCTTTTAACTTTCATATTAGTTCGTTCTTCATCCTAAAAATTTAAAGTATACTCGGGGTTGCTCTTCTATCATTCCATATCTCCCTTATTTCACAACCCTTCCTCTCTATGATTAATAATGGCTAAGAGATTGTACATTTATGTATGTTTATGAGAAATAAAAATAAAAAACTTTCTACAAAAAAAAGCTTTTCACGCTAAATGAGAACTCGAGAGTAAATCCCTTTGTAGAGCACTCACCAATCTTTGTTCTATTTGCATGAACTGTCACATCATGCCTAGCCAAAACCTAAACAAGGTTCACTTACATAGGGATTATGCATGAGATAAACCAAGAATTTAGCCAAACCCTCATCCCTTTTCTGCACCTAAAGGAGGAGAGAGGAAGGATAAAAGTAAAAGGTAACTATCCCTAGAAACTTACTGTCTGGCAAAGTGTGAATTTTGTAGGATTTCTTTAAGCTCTACTCTTTACAACATATTTTTACGCATTTTTACTCTTCATTTCTTTAAGGATCACAAAACTGAGCCAAAAGAGGAAAACTCCAGCAATTTCTTTTTTGTCTCCCTTCTGTGCTCCAGGCATTCTTTCTGGCTGTCAGGAAATTGTGAAGTCTTCCTTACCTTCTTTTTCACCAGGGGTGGGCTTCAAAAATTTTAGCAACGTGTTCTCTGCCCGGTTGCTGGGTGGGTGTGGCCATGGCCTAGTCAGCCTCCTGCACCACGGTGGGGGGATATTTTTGCCCTCCCCAGGCTCTGGAGGCCAGAAACAGGCCCATTTCTGGCCTTCCGGAACTTCCGGAAAGTCCAGTTTTTGCCCTCCCTGGGCTCCGGAGGCTTTCCTTGAGCCTCTGTGAGGGCAAAAACAGCCTCCCCTGGGCTCCAGAGGCCCATCGGAAGCTGGAAATGGGCCCATTTGTAGCCTTCCGGAGCTTCCGGGAGGCCCATTTTTCACCCTCCCCAAGCCTCTGTGCAGGCCCTACACTTACCTGGCATCCAAAACAGGCCACATGGAGACTTCTGGGAGGGGAGGGGAGGGGTGAGAGCGGCCACCCAGAAGTGGGATTTGGAAGTTCGCTGAACTGCATAGAATCTTCATTAGAGGATCGCCCGAACCCAGGCAAACTTGGAGCAACCCACCCCTGCTTTTCACTGGTCTCTCGCTGTTTGCCATCAGTTCAATTTCCCCCCTTTTTTAAATCCGTGGCTACTGAACGTGCTTAGTCTCTACTGGGCACTTCCACAATTCAGATCCCCCTTAAATTCTTGAAGGAAATTTATACCAGCTTTTTAATATGCAGCAATACTCAACTAAAAGTAGAAATCAACTGAAGATGTACTACTTACACAGTATTCAGAGACTGCTTTGAACATAACAGCTGTGTTTAACCAACTGCAATGGATGATATGAACCTAATTTGTACAATACACTGAGACACCAGTCACCCAACTGCAAGTTAACCATGGCTATGTTCACATGATGCATTACATTGTAAAGTTCAGTGACGAATCCCTCCATACTACCACCAGCTGCATGAAGCTCTTTACCGGACATTTTGCAATGTATGGTATTGCATGGATCAAAACATTTTGCTATCTTGTCTAGAAACACCAAGACATGCACAATAAGGTACATATGACAGTTTACACTAATCATCCAAAAGTTATAGCTTTGTATATTGTGTAGATAGAGCTAATGCCTGTGTTCATACAATGTATTACAATATGCTATGGTTGCTATTATGCAGTGTAAACCTAATCAACTATAAAATATTAAATCTACCCTAATTACAACCGGCTGGGATGCAGCTTCCGGGAACTGTTAGCTGATCTCAAGAAATTAAGTAAGATCAAGATATTACTAAGACAGGTGACCATCAGGAACTCCTATGGTTGTAAACTGGATTAGAAAATGAAAACAAACCAAAGCAAAACATCCTGGAGAAAGCCAATGGCCCATCACTTTTATTCTTCTGCCTAGACATCCATGTGGATATGACCATAAATCACCAGGTCAAATTAAAAGGAGATTTGCCTTAGTAGGATTAGACAATTATGCTTAGGGAGTTGCATTAACACAACTAGTGGCTTCGTACTTCATTAAATTACTCTTTTGTTAGTGATGCTACATTAAGGAAATCACAATTGGTTGGCTTCATGTAACACACTAATCCATAGCCTGCCTTTGATTTAGCATAATATCTGAAGCCAATAATCATAGTTAGACATAGTTTAAAGCTAATGAGTACATGAAGTGTATGAAGCCAATTAGTGGAAATTACGTCTGACTAGACTGGCATAGGAATGACTGTTACAATTGGGTAAAATCAAATATTATGGCCATTGTCCAAAGTTAATCTTATGCAGGGAAAAAAAAACCCTAATTTCTTGTGAATGCTTTCCGTACTAAAGAGTCTATAGGAAGCCATACTTGGTTGCAAAGTTCCACCTAATATTTCTGGCAGTTCCTCTCATATCTTGACAGAAAATACCTGCATATATCTAAATTTTTGAATGGCACAATGGCATCCATTTTGTTCCACGTCTTTCTGGGCGCTTTATCCATGAACCAGGACATGATGTATTGTTCCACAAACTATGGTTAAATAAAGCCACCACTGAGAGCAACAGACATACAGGTAGTGCTTGACTTATGGCTGTATTGGAGCCTGCCATCACATTACCTATCCGATTTTACAACTTGTTTTTGCAGTGGTTGTTATGTGAATGCTGAGGTCATTGAGCAAATCCATTGTTCATTATAGGGCATTTTTGGCAAAAAAACTGGAAATAACTGCCAGTTTTCAGCAAAAATCTAGTAAATCACTGTCAAATTACCACAGGACACTGCAAATGGCCATAAATGTGGGCCACCTGCCAAGCACTTGAAATGTGAGGGCAGCCATCGGAACTTCAGAACTGGGTTGTAAATAACCTTTGGAGGTGGGATCCATTATAACTTTGAATGGTCATTAAGGGTTGAGTCGTAAGTCAAGGGCTACCTGTATAGGTTCATTTTGAGAATGGGGATGATTATTAATATGATTGTGCTCTACATTTTCCATACACTATATATTATCAGGAATGAATGCAAGAAGGGTAATTAAAAAAAAAAGGCAAGGTGGCAACTGTAACTAGGCTGTTGAAGCCCTCTCTCTTTCTTACCAGCTTCATGTACACAAGACATGTAAAAAGGACAGGCCTCTATCTTTAAACTGGTTTGTATAATTCAAATTATTTGTCATTCATTGTAAGGTTTTTTGTATATCTAAATGCTTTCTTCGTTTCTAGTTCTCATGCTGTAAAGTAAACTTTTATCTTATTCTTGATAATGCAGCACTTGGTTTTAAATCTGTTTAATGAAAACATAGTCTAAGGGTAAAATAATCTCCCATTTACTTGGTAAACAGTAATTGGGCTTTTCATAAAAATGTATTACAATGAAAGGAACAATCAAGATGTCCTCTCTCTCCCTTCTGATTTCTACTGACATTAAAATTATTGGCAAAGAAAATATGACAGGAAATAAAATTTCAAGAATTAAGTTATCTAGTCAAAAACCATTTACAACAATATGCAGAAGATATTCCATCTACAGTTATCTGCCTAAAGGACTTTTTAGAACTATTTACGGAATATACAAAGAAGCATAATTAATTATCTCAATATCAGTTTAATAACAAAACTCAAAATATGCCATATGAATGTCCTGTGAACCTATCTGAAAATGAAAAATTGTGTTTTTAGCAAAGAACGGGTTAGAATTAATGAATCTGGGTATTTTACAAAAAATAATGCTTAATTAACAACAATTATTCCCAGAAAAGTAAAGTAAAAGTAAAACGGTAGATATCTTAAGATAGAGAAAAATGTTTGGAAAAATTGCAGCAGTAAAAATGAACATTTTACCAAGGCTTAATTTTTTGTTTCAAATTATTCTAGTAAGAATTGCTGAGCACATTGTAAGCCGCCCTGAGTCTTCCGAGAAGGGCGGCAGATAAATCAAATAAAAAAAAATAAAAAAAATTGAAGACAAACAGCTGGTGGAAAAATCTGCTAATTTTATATGGCCTAATAATAAAAGAAGTCAGGTAAAGATTAAGAGTGTAAAAACTTAAAAGATCAAGTTGCACTGACAGGACCATATTTTAAACTGTACTACGTATTGTGCTTTTTGCTTAATTCCAATAATAAATTCAATTATAATACTTTTGGTTGGATTGCTTCTATGAACTTCTAGATAATCTGCACAAATATCTTTGGTGTGATATAAATAGAAAAAAACAGTTAAGTCTACAAAGGATATTCAATAATTAGCAGTTCTAAAATTATCTGACAAATATGAATTAGAAAAATAATAGTCTGGGTTTATCATCTCTTGCTTCAGTACTAAGTATCTATCTTTATGAACAGTGTACCAGGAATATGACCAGTCAGGATCTTGTGGTGTTTTGTTTTTTTTTACTTCCCTTTGTGGATGACCCCAGTATAACTTTCATTGGGTGTTTACTGCTGTTGCAAAAATCAAATCATACAAACTGTTCAGGCCCTAAAAACCAAGGATCCATGTATTTGCTGGCCCTGGGTCAGGGGTGGGTTCTACTTACCTTTACTACAGGTTCAAAACGGGGCTATGCGCATGCACATAAGCTTCCTGATGACATCGGGGTCGGTGGGCCGAGCCTCCTGCCAGTTTTACTACTTGTTCTATAGAACCGGTCCGAACCGGAGGCAATCCACCACTGCCCTGGGTATAAGGGAACACACATATGAAGAAATTTTAGTCTCTTCTCTAGTTTCCATAAACTCCTTGAAAAGCAACATTTTGAACAGTTATAACCAAAGGCAAAAAACCCCCCAATATCTGTGTTTCAACCCAACCCACTTCACAGGGTCGTTGTTGTGAGGAAAATAGGAGGAAGAAAAATAATAAAGACAGGATATAAAAATAAAAAATAGAATAGGAATAGGAATAGGAATAGGAATAGGAATAGGAATAGGAATAGGAATAGGAATAGGAATAGGAATAGGAATAGGAATAGGAATAGGAATAGGGCAGGGCAGGGCAGGGCAGGGCAGAGCAGAGCAGAGCAGAGCAGAACAGAACAGAACAGAACAGAACAGAACAGAACAGAACAGAATAGATTATGTGATCTTTGGCCATTATTACCATCCTGCATCCATGTTTTCAAAAATCACCACTGCATTTTGAAAACAAAAAAAAAAATCATAGCTCTGTATCACACTCTAAATGTCATATAGACACCTTGACCTTCTGTCAGCCAAAAGGCAGAACACAAATATATTAAGTATTTTATTAGAATCGAATGATGTATCATGAAGTAATGAGCAACCTGCGGTCACCAAAACTGTTATCCAGGTTTAATCTAAATAAGACGCTGCTCTATCTCACCTATGACATATTGCTGCATTGTAGCTTGGCTCACCATGCCATCCATCCACCTTAACCCAAATTGTGTTTAGAGAACCATGAATACAATTTGTTATTATTACCTTTTAAAAAAAATTATTTTACCTTAGCTGCAGTCTGGCAAGTTCTCCACGCCTCCGTTCTTATCTCATGGTTAACTAGCCATTAGCCCTTCTGAAAAATAAGAAGGCATAAATAACAGTTCCTAGCTATGTGTGTATTACTTTCACTTCAATTGAAAACAAAAGGTCTGAAGATTAGCCTTCCTTTACCTGACACAGGGTGACTCCGATATTAGTTAAGCCAAAAGTGATTGCAAATTAGATATAAATAAATAACAGCTCAGAATGCAACTAATTTAACTTAGATTGCAAATAATCAAATAAATTAAAGCAACTGACTGCAGGCAGAACCATCACTAAGTGATTGAATACTTTGGGAGGGACAGAACAATTCAAAGAAAAAGTTACTAAATTGATTAGTGGAAAGGAAAACAAAGAAATGAGCATGATGCAATTGAACTATCAGGATAACGGCTTAAAATATTTTAATCGATGGTTATGTTTGTACAACACAATGGACTAAATATGGTCAAACTCATACAATTTGATTTAATTAACTTAGTATAATACTGTATAGGAACACAGGGAAGAATTGTATTAAGGGAGATTCTTACTGTTTGGTTTCATTGACAAGTTTGTACAGGTAGTCCTTGACTTACAACCACAATTGAGCCCAAAATTTCTGTTGTTAAGTGAGCTAATTGTTAAGTGAGTTTTGCCCCATTTTACGACCTTTCTTGCCACAGTTGTTAAGTGAATCACTGCAGTTGATAAGTTAGTAACCTGGTTGTTAAGTGAATCTGGCTTCCCCACTGACTTTGCTTGTCAGAAGGTCGTAAAAGGTGATTCCGTGACCTTGGGACACAGCGACCATCATAAATATGAGTCAGTTGTTAAGCATCTGAATTTTGATCATGTGACCATGAGTATGCTACAAAGGTCATAACTGTGAAAAATGGTCATAAGTCACATTTTTCAGTGCCGTTGTAATTTTGAATGGTCACTAAATGAACTGTTGTAAGTCGAGGACTACCTGTAGTTGGGAGTGGCAAAAAAAAACATAAATTCAGTACACTACTTTGGGATGCCACCCTTCATTGTGAAACTAAAATAGTAATTCTGTTCACCAGCTGCTCCTTGAAGGCAAGCCTCTAAAGTACATGACATCAGTTCAGCTAGGCCTGCTTATCAGGTTTTTCTACCACAACACTAGTGTTTTATCTACAGAAGGGAAGTGTGATATCACGCTCTGCCCCAAACCAAAGGAACAGAGAGCCAAGCTATTTTACAACTGTTCAGCAATGACTTGTGCTGAATTCAGATCTTCAAAAGCTATTGAATGTAATAATACAAATAATTAATGATCTCAAGCAACTTTACCATCGATTAAGTCATCTTTGCGTTATCTGTTTAAAGTAAACCTCTACTATTAATCTTTAGAGCACCAATATGGCGCTAGAGCTTTAATGCATGGAATTAGGCCACAGAGTACATGATTAAGATCACGTTGGTAAAGTTGGATACCTGTTTTTTGTGCAATCACTAACTTCTATGCCAGTTCTATCAAGAGGTCCATACAGTCCTCTTCTTTTCTCAGTGGGTTACTCTTCATCAGATTCTTCACTGGTTTCATCTGGAGAGGTAGCCTCTGGAGAAGAATGATGTCCAAAATGGCTTAACTCTTGGGGGCCAACATTGTCCCGCGTCTTCTTTCTTGTCCCACCTAAGTGGAAAGAAAGCCATCCTGGCAAGGATATTTCTACATTTACAGAAATATCTTTACAACATTTTAGTTTTACAACTAAAATATGTCATGTCAGCCTATCCTTAAAACAAGAAGCTGCGTTGTCAGCTTCTGACCTGAAGATGAGGACTTCCATTGAAGTCTTGGTCACTAGACGTAATGGAAATCTTTTGCTATTGTTGCTTCCATTAATTGCATTAAACCAGTTTGCTTTTTGACATCAAGCCCAATCAACCAACCAACCAACCAACCAATCAATCAATCAGAGTAGAGCTGGAAGGGACTTCAAGGTCTTCTAGTCCAACTCCCTGCTCAAGCAGGCGACCTTATACTATTTCAGACAAGTGACTGTCCAGTCTCTTCTTAAAAACCTCCAGTGATGAAGCGCCCACAACTTCTGGTGACAAGCTGTTCCACTGGTTAATTTTTCTCATTTTTAGGAAGTTTCTCCTTAATTCCAGGTGCTTCTCTCTTTGATTAGTTTCCATCCATTGTTTCTTGTCCTGCCCTCTAGTGCTTTGGAAAATAAGTTGACCCCCTCCTCTTTGTGGCAACCTCCCAAATACTGGAATGCTGGTATCATGCCCCTCCTAGTCCTTTTCTCTAGTCCTTTCTTCTTTTCTAGTCCCTTCAAAAATTCAAAACTGGTAAAGAAACCTACCATCTACTCCAAATTGCTCTTCTACTGGATATTCACCCATCCTTAATAATCCAGCACTACCTTAGTCCTCTTTTTACAGTCTTTGGTTACCGGAGTGGTTTAAACATGGAAAGAAATATTAATTTTGTCCAACCTCTAGACAACACTCCCACCATGTGGCCAGTGGACACTTCTTCTTAATCAAATATGAGTGGTCATATCTAATTCAAGTCAACTCTTTTTACCATTAAGACTTTTATTTAAATGTGGAATATTCTTACATTCTTCCTTCACTCTCACCAGATATTTGCATTTTTGAATTGTGCAAGCAGCAGGCTCCCTGCAAGAGAGACAGAGCATTTTTAAAATCAGTGATGTGGAAAAGAAGAAAATTACTATACGCAGACAGCAGTCCCCCTGTAATTTTATTTTGACATAAGGCTGTCAAGGTTTCTTTTCTCCTTCTTTAGGTTTTATTGAATTTCAACACAAGTCTCAGGAAAAGTGCACTACAGCAAGAGAGCAATTCACTTTTCAAGCTCTTTTTTTTTTTTTTACTCTGCTCAAGGGATTTATCTCTTTTTCAAGGACGGTAACCTTGAGAAGGTCAAACCAAAAATGGCTCAAGAGCAGAATGAGTATTCTCACTTTTGTAAAGCTATTATTTGCAAAAGTACTTTTGCTGTTCAAATGAGCCAAGCAAAGTTGTATTTTTACTCCAATACATTCTAACGTTTTTTAAGCATAAATTCCATCATTGCTCATAGCACTTTAGGAAATTGGAGGCATCTGTCTAACAGGTATATAAGATATATATTTTATGAGAAATCAACAGTGCTATGGTTTTTTTGGAAGATTATGTTCCCTATTCATTTCTACTAATGAAGGATGGGATGGTAGATGGAGAATTATAGTTAAGCTTGGATCCAAACATCGACAAAGGCATAGATGCATAGTTTGGTTTTTATCAGCCAATCTTTTCAATACAGTATTTAATAGCTGGCCTCATAATAATGCTAAGCCATAGTTAGCAGAAGCCAGAGACTGAAAAAAAAATAGTATCCTGCTTCTCATATCACACTAAACTATTAATTATGGCTTAAAATTCACAATAGCCAATATTGTGTTACAACAAACTAAACCAAATTAGGGATACCAGAATAAGGAACCATGAGGTGACATTCAGAATTCTGTACTGTATGGTTTTCTGTAGAAACACACAGGTAAACCAGAGGTGGGCGGCACATGAATTAACAACTGGTTTGCCCCAGCACAGAAAATGTAAACGTGCGCATGTGAATGGCTCAAAAACCGTGGCTAAATAGGACGGCATAGCAGTGAGGTGGGGGGTGGGGGCGCCCACAGGTCACAACTATCGGTTCACCTGAACCAATCCAAACCACCAGCAGCCCATCACTGAGGTAAACTCCCTTGTTCTGCAAAATGACAGAATGGAGACTTTGTAGTCTCAGCTGGCGCAAAGGAGACAGACACAAGGGCCAAAGAGAAAGCAGAAAATAACAGTTGTAGGTGACAGCATCAGGAAACTTAAAAACAGACTCAGCTAGACAATGTTATATATTGTATAGTTTCCCTCAAAGACAAAATTACTCTATGCCTGTTATGCTATAATTTATTCTGTAATAAAGATTTTAAAAAATCTTTATGCTCGATCTTTGCAGCAAACACTGGCCATATAAATAAAGAGTCTTAAATGAATTTATTGCTTAGCTGCAGTGAAAGTTACCTACTTGCATGCTATTCATTTCATGCAAATAGCAAATAGCAAGCCTGCTCTTCATGTTTTCAGCTAGCTTATTTTTAATATTCTTAAGACTGCTGTACTTTTATACTTTACGCAAGAAGGAACAATACATTTGAAGGAGAAAAATCATGGGCTTAATTAGGCATGCATGATCTGTTAGGCACAATTATTAGACATAATTCTTCATGATTTATTTTCCAGAAAGAAACCAGACTGGTTTAATTTAAAGTCTACAAAGCCATTTTTCTCTGGAACAGAAATCCATTCAGAAGGCACACAATCTAAAAGGCTACAGACTATTTACATGTAATTCTGATCTATATCTAACATTATCCATAATGAAAGCTCAGCCACGTCCAGTGCATCCAATAACACATCAAACTGCTTCTGATATGATTAGCTGGTCATTCATCTCTCTCTGGCTGATACCCAGCCATCTTTATGCTAGGTGGCCTGCTTACACATTTCTTTAATTTATATGCCGCATATCTCACTATCAAGTGACATCCTGCATTCTGATTTTAAAAAATAAATACATTTTAAAAACTGGCACATGGTTCTTAAGCATTGAATGCAGCCAAGCTTTAGGGTTAGGGAAGGCTCTTTGATTTTAAAAATACCAATCTCTTTGATTTAAAAAAAAATACCCCCATCCCCATCCCACTCTGCAAATCCAAGCACACCTGCAAATACCACCATTTGCTCTTTTTTTCATCCATCCTGTCAAAATCCAGAATGCATATGGGATAAGATTCTCCATCTTCGCTTAACCGTAGCACAATTCCTGATCAAGCAATCTAATCACAGCATGCTTCCCGCCTCATCCATAATGTGAAAATTGTTTAGGGAGCCTTTTCTCATCAAGTTGAAATGAGTTGGCCTTTAGTTCCCAGGATATTCAACTAGCATGGCCAACACATTTGGAGAGCACCAGGTTATGGCAGGCTGCTATTTCCTCTATGAATTAAGTTTACCTGCTCTCTCTTCCATTCCTTTTCCTAGCATCATTGTTATTTCTCAGGTCTGTCACTAAGTAGACTATTGATCTCTGAAGGGACTGAAATACAGGTAGTCCTCAATTTACAACCACAATTGAACTCAAACATTTGTTCAACATAATCTATATAAGGGATATGGGAACTTATATCAATTTTTTTCATGAAGTTTTGCTACAGTCCAGTTGTTGCTGTGCTTAGTAGTGTGATTTTATACTATTTCATATGGTTGTGTAATAATCCAAATTCAGAAGAGGGAATATACTTTGGGGTGAAGGCTCACTTTTGTGTTTGCCAGCAAATGTTTAAAAGATTTGTGCAATGGCGCAGGCAAAAGCACAATGGATGTGAGGAATTGAGAGGCCTGAAGTGTGTGCCCACACAAGCTACGAATTCCTCTTCCCCTTTCAAATCCAGATTGTTGTACAGCTTCAAGAGAGGTAATTGAAGATTTGAAATCTTCATTTTTTGGCCTTTTTCGGGCTGTTTTGGATGTCCAGTAATAGTAAATAGAGAGGGAAATTGTACCTTGTTTGAGGCCTTTGACTCAATTTCCCTCTTTATTTATTACTACTGAACATCCAAAACGGCCTGAAAAATGGCCTGAAAATGGCCTGAAAAATGGCCTGAAAAACGGCCCAAAAACAACTGAAAAACAGCCCGAAAAATGGGCGGGGGTGGGGCCAGCCAGTGGTGGGATTAGCTGGTTCGCTGAACTGGCCAGAATTTTAACAACTGGTTCGCCCAAACTAGCTGAATCCCACCTCTGGCACCATGCAACAGGGTGAGTTCTTGTTCTTGCCCAATTCCCGCCCACCTAGCAGTTCGAAAGCATGCAAATTTGAGTAGATTAATAGGTACCACTTTGGTGGGAAGGTAACAGCATTCCATGAGTCTTTTCCATATAGCCATGCTGGCCACATGACCACAGAAAATGTCTTTGGACAACGCTGGCTTCCTCAGCCAAAAAACGGAGATAAGCACCACACCCTAGACTGGACACTACCTTTTTACTGTATTCACTTTCACATTATTTTGCAGAGAAATTGCTTACTGCCCCAAGCAATCATGTCAATATGATTAACATCTTGGCCGATCTCCTGTAATAAAAAATTAGACTAAATTTGATAGACATGCCAGAGAACAAAAATATACAATATACTTACATACAGTAATCCTTTTCATCTTCTCTTTCAACAGAGAACTGCTACAGACATTTCTTCAGTTATCCTGTTTAGATTCTAAGAGGTTGCCACAAAGAAGAGGGAGTCAAGCTATTCTCCAAAGCCCCTGAAGGCAGGAGAAGAAGCAATGGATGGAAACTAATCAAGGAGAGAAGCAACCTAGAATTAAGGAGAAATTTCCTGACAGAACAATTAGTCAGTGGAACAACTTGCCTCCAGAAGTTGTGAATGCTCCAACATTGGAGGTTTTTAAGAAGAGAGTGGACAACCATTTTTCTGAAATGCTATAGGGTTTCCTGCCTGAGCAGGGGGTTGGACTAGAAGACCTCCAAGGTCCCTTCCAACTCTTTTATTCTATTATCCTGTAAAAATATTCTAACTTTCTTTCTTCAGCATTTTATGACCAAGAGCCAAACTTTACTAGTGGAAATGGTTTGACTCTACAGCAGGCTTCTAATATCAGGGTTACAGTCTGCATATTCACAATGCCTTGATTTCTGCCGTTAGGGAAACACACCTAGCCAACTATGGCTAATACAGAAATCTAGCAGAGGCAAACCTAATATTTGGATGAGAAGCCACAATGAAAAAGTGCCATACTTGATTAGACTAAGAAAAAAATCCTGGAAGAAAGTAATAGCAAGCCATTTTGTTATCTATTTATTTGTACAGGTATTATATTCTGCCACAAATCTAAAGAACTTCATATTGTTAGCAAGAAACTAAATGAATGTACCCACTATCATTTGGAATTGGATTCAACGTGAATGAGATTTGTTACTGATTTCTACATTTCATACTTTCCTTAAAAGCACAATGATAAACAACTGAGCTCCCCATATATTTCATAACCAGGTTATTTACTTTTTTTAATCTCTCTCATGCATCTGTTTAATGTGTTATAATCCTTTGGGAATGCCAGGCAGAATGCTAATCCAAACACAAATGTATTATTATTTTAAAAGCTGGCTTCAGTTGCAATAGAGGCTAGTCTGAAAATGAACAAGCAAAACTGATGTTTGAGACAGTTTCGCCTTAAACTGACATTTGTTGATGTTGAGACTCTAGAAACAGTGCAGAGAAGAGTAACAAAGGTGATTAGGGGACTGGAAACTAAAATATATAAAGAACGGTTGCAGGAATTGGATATGTCTAGTTTAATGAAAAGAAGGGCTGGGGTGACATAATAGCAGTGGTCCAATATCTAAGGCATTGCCTCAAAGAAGAGGCAGTCACACTATTCTCCAAAGCCCCTGAAGGCACGACAAGAAGCAATGGATGGAAACTAATCAAGGAGAGAAGCAACCTAAACTAAGCAAAAATTTCCTAACAGTGAGAACAATTAATCAGTGGAACAACTTGCCTCCAGAAGTTGTGAATGCTCCAACACCGGAGGTTTTTAAGAAGAGATTGGACAACTATTTGTCTGAAATGGTATAGGGTTTCCTGTTTGAGGAGGGGGTTGGACTAGAAGACCTTCAAAGTCCCTTCCAACACTGTTATTCTGTTATTCTGACAAATCTTTCAAAACAATGAAACAAAATAAATTGCACAGCAACAACTTTCTTCTGAAAATAAATGATGGTAAATGAACAAAGACTGTCTTCAGTCTGATTTTTATTTTTTGGAAGGCTCCCTATTTTTGATTTAAAATTTTAGTTGGTTAAGTTCAGAAACAATGACAGTTATGGCTCATTCAGTATCAGTGAAAGCAATTTTTTTCTGATTATCGCAGCTTTAGAATTTGAAAATGGGCTCAATCTGATGTGTTTGAAATAAATGAGGGGCAGAACTGCCATATAAAATAATCAGCAAGTGTAAGCATGCAGAGCAATGATGAAACAACAGTCCAACAGGTTCATATTCCCATGACAGGATAACTTGAAAGAAAAGGCAGTTAAAAAGGTTTGATCAGCTGCTTAGGGTTCAGTCTAACACACCCCTAGGATTAGGAGAAGTACTTTTACTCTGAGGGGCCCATTATTAGAAAGTGTAATCGTAAGACTGACATTCTACTAGATGGGAAGATACATGTGGTAATCGCTTACAGTGGAATTCGCTTACTGACAGCAACAGGGAATGCTGGGGTTGCCATCGCTAAGTAATGCAGTCATATGACATCATACTTTATGACTGTATCACTTATAAACGGTATCATTTATAGACAGAAATTTCAGTCCCAATTGTGATCGGAAGTGGAGGACTACCTGTGAATATATTGTGCCTCAGAGGTTCTGTCACACCATTCTGAGATTCAGCAGAATTGAAATCCAGGACATTTTCAATGTTTGAAACAAAATCTGGAGAAACAGTATTGGACGAGTAGAGAAATATGGTGCATCTTGTTTGTCTCTTTCTCTCTTGTCATGTCCTCCATGGCCTATGTGTTGGTTTACCTGCATTTTATTATCTTCACGTCTGTTGGGAGACAAACCCTGTAAACATGCTTCTTCCAAGATTTCTTGCCTGCCTTGCTGACTATCTTTTTTTCCATCAGAGATGTAAGAGGATGTCAAACCCTGCTAAACACGGACCTTCTATGACAGGGCTCCAAACTCCCGGCCTGTGGGCTGGATGCATCACACTCTGGCCACGTCCACACTTGGTTTAGTGAAGGGGGGAAAGTCCTGATACATCATGTGATGCTGCCATGACCTAAGTTTGACACCCGTTCTATGAAATGAAAGACCTATATTATTGACTGGTCTTATTTACTTATTAGTTTTCCCTAATGATTAGGATCAAATCAAAAATAGCCTTCCCTTTTGAATGGGAAGGGGATTCAAAAGGTATTTTTGATTTGATTTTAATCATTAGGTAAAACGTAGTAAGCAAATATAAGGAGTAGGAACTGGGGATGGGAATGAGCATCTAATGCCAGAATTTTTGATGTTAAGAAAAAATGAAGCTGAGTGGTATACTGAATTTTGAACTTTAAAAAACATTACTTTTATGTACTCGGAGCACTTACAGACCAGACTATACCACAAAATAAACTAATGGGAAAAAGATGGGTAGGAATTTCTAAAAATGAAATATTGAAATGAAACAATCACAACCAATTCCAATGAGGAAAAATGGATGCCCATAAAAACAGGGCACTGTGGTTATCCTGAAAGATTTGTGAAAAACAGAAAATCAAATGACATGAAGTCAAAATAGGGACAGGCACCAATCGGCACATATAGGAAGTTGGGTTTGTGGAGATGATGCCTGGAAAGCAAATGCTCAGAATAAATCCAAGTTAACAAGTTAACAAAGGGTTTTGTAAATACTGTATGTATTTTTTAAAAATACTGTATGTATTTTTTAAAAATACTGTATGTATTTTTTTAAAAAAAAGGATAAGAAGTGAAACCATGTCAGCTGTTCACTGAAGATAGCAAATGGGTATCAGATCACAAAGAAAAAGCACAGCTCAACTGTTGTTTGCAGTCTTTTCTGAGCAGTGTTCTATCTGACCATTTAATTGGTTATTAATAGTTCAAAGAGCAGAATTCCAACTTGACAGGAACACAGTTTAGCTCTCCAGGACCAGATGGATTGCATGCTAACTGTCCAGCTCTTCACAGCAGGAAGCAAGTATTACACAACATTCCCTAAAGCTACTCCAGGATCAGCAGTAAAATACTGCAATCGGCAAAAACTTCCAGCCCTCATTATTAGTTAGGACAGAATCTTAATGATTTGAAACTTGACCTTTTTGCAGCCTGGCCTAAGCTGCTATTTATGGGACAACCTATTAACAAACTTTTATTTCTTTTGCATCTAATACTCCTCTCATTATTTTCCCAGCCTCTTTATAAGCTCCTATAGTAAGAAACTGAAAAAAATCTACCATTACTATCCGCTATCTACCATTACTATCCAGAAATCCTGGAAAACAGGTGAACTGATAGATGCACCAATTGCAAGGACAAGGAGTGCTATTTTCCAGGAAGAAAAAAAAAGAGGCTTCCGTTGAGTTTGACTGCAAAAAGAGATAAACTAAGTAAATCTGGCTCAGTTAATGATGGGTAAGGGCATCTTAAAGGAAATCGACCCTAATTATCTTTTGGAGGGAGAGCTGAAGAGCTGAAACTCAAAATATTTTGACCGCCAAATGAGAAGAGAGGATTCACTGGAAAACACCCTGATGTTGGGGGAAAATTGAAGGCGGAATGAGAAAGGGAAGGCAGAGGGCGAGGTGGTTAGATAAGTGTCACGGATGCAAACGAAGATGGGTTTTGGCCAAACTCTAGGAGACAGTGGAGGGCAGGTGGGTAGCTGGCGTACTGCGGTCCACGGAAGAGCCCAGATACGATTTTAATGTAATGAAGCGGGCTCTGATATTCTATTCTATTCTATTCACTCTATTCTAAAAAGCAATGCATCCGATTGGAAAAAGTACAAACTCAGCCAAAATCCTTTTGGTTCCTCTAGGAGGCCTCTAAGTTGTCAGAAGAAAGAAACATTCTAATGACATACAACTTAAAGGTTGGTTAGGTCAAGGGGATCCACATGAGTTAAAAGTTGTCTATCGTCAAAAGATGATTTGAATCTATGCTTCAGTAATCTACAAAAAGAATTATAACTGTTTTGCAAAGAAACTCTGTAATTAGGAAATGTCAATTAAAAATGATAAATGTATATGACCATATGAATTGCTGAGTTAACAGAATCCTTTGTCTAGAAGGGTATAAAACCATTGTACCTAATTTCTGTCTTTGTTCAACGCTTCATGTACAGAGCCTTGAACCTATTGCGCAATATATAAATTTGTCTCTGATTAACCCAAAAGTTGTGTTTGTCTTATTAAATCCACAACAATTTAGCGTCTGAACAACAACAAAGGGCATTATACATTTAAAGGGCATCAACCAGTTTCTGGGAACAGCGAAGATTAAAAGTATCGGCAGCCCGTCCTACTCCAACCCGATCTCGCTCCAGCAATCCTCGCGCGCTAAGGCGGGACTCAGCATGAGCCACAGACCGAAGGAGCCGATCGTCCCCGCCCCGTTCACACCTATGGAGTAGAGCGTCCTCAAACTTGGCAGCTTTAAGAGTTGTGGACTTCAACTCCCAGAATTCTCCCATAGCATAGCTGGCTGGAGAATTCTGGGAGTTGAAGTCCACAACTCTTAAAGCTGCCAAGTTTGAAGACCTATGGAGTAGACAGAGAGAGAGAGAGAGAGAGAGAGAAAAGAGCGGGCGGAAGTGAGGCCGTGCGCATGCGCTCAAAAAAGGCACGTTGGCGGGGTAAGGTTCTTTTCGCATGTGACTCCCAGCAGCGCGTTTTGTAGGTAACGGATCCTTTACGTGGTTTCGAGAGTTTCGCTTCTCGTCCTGTCTCTCTCTCCCGCTCTGATACTGGGTGTGGTATTTTCCAAAGGGCAGGGCCACCATTTATTAATTTCCAGGGGTCTCTTGAGATTTATTTATTTTTTTCTCCCACCAAGCATTTTACCCATTGCTCCCGCGTTAAGAGGTTAAAGCTTTTTTATTTGTTTTATTTTTTGTGAAGTTAAGGCAATACATGTCGGTTTCGGGTCTGTAAAATAAGTAGGCTGTTAAATAGCGTAGGGTGTATTTCTGTAGAAGGAGGGAAAGGCGCGTTACAACAAATTCATTTGGCGTCAACGGTTCTATAAGGTTGAAAAACTTGGGAAAACATCGGCGCTAAAAACATTTAAAGATTACAATGGCAGGAAGACGTCTTACCTTCCAGTTCTAATAAAAGGCCTTAGGGCTAATAGAGATTAGCCAGCAATGCTGGAACCTTCTACCAATTATACTGGCTAATCTGTTCAATTTGCAAGATGGGTACTGGTTACCTACTGCATTCACCTGACAAATAAACAAATTAATTAATTAAAAATCAGCTCAAGGTGATGTACGAAAAAGGAACATGGTGGCTATCTGACAATAAATGAATAAGTAAAAAAATAGTTCACGGTGATGTACACGATGGATCCCAGTCTTGTCCTGCCTTTCTTTTGTTACTTGTTTGCTTATTAGGCATCTAACCCCCTTTTTCTCCAAGAGCGTCAAGCGGTGTGCGAACCATTCGCTTCCATTTCTCTTCACAATAACCACCCTGCAATAACAGTTTCCCATAGAAGCAGCATCTTTCCTTAAGGAGCCTGGTTTCAGAGTGACTTAGCGATGGTCCTCTTTCTCTTGATATACTCAGATCAACGGTATCTCACATAATAACTCTGATAGTCAGGGTTTCATGTCTTCAGGACCAGCAATTTATCTACTTTTGTAATATTCTCTTCCTCCTTTCACCCTGGCTCTCAAAATTTCAAATGGAAACTGCATAGTTGCAGCATCCTTAACATCTGGCCTACATGTGTCTTAGTTGGATTTCCTGATTTTCTTCTTCCCTCCTTACATCTTTTTCCTCTATTGCTTGTATGAGTTGAAGAGTACAGGTAGTCCTTGATTTAACAGTTCATTTAGTGACTGTTCAAAGTTAGAACCGCACTGAAAAATGTGACTTATGACCGTTTTTCACACCGTTACAACCTTTGCAACATCCCCCAAGGTCACATGATCAAAATTTAGATGCTTGACAACTGGTTCTTATTTATGACCGTTGCTGGGTCTCAAGGTCATGTGAGATACCCCTTTTGTGAAGTTCTGACAAGCAGAGTCAATGGGGAAGCCAGATTCACTTAACAACCAGATTACTAACTTATCAACTGCAGTGATTCACTTAATAATGGAGGCAAAAAAGATCATAAAATGGGGCAAAACTCATTAACAAATGTCTCATTTAACAGAAATTTTGGACTGAATTGTCGTAAGTTGAGGACTACCTGTAGTTAAATCTGATTCTTATCTAAAGAGCTGATAGTAAATTTTCTGGTGGGCTTTCTCCAAGTTCAGTTCTCTGAGCTGGTGTAATCAATGTTGGGAGATCTATTGTTTAGGTTATTTGTCAGATAATACCTCTGTTCGAGTGGCTTTATAATTTAGCTTTTTGTTTACTAGGAAGGTTATTTTAGGAGCTGTAGACATCTTTCCCAGTTTTATCCAGGAAATATTTTGTCTATTTTATCTATATTATCACTTAGAAAGCAGATTACTATCATTTTATTGGACTTCAGTGATAAGAATTATAGCAGATATCCTGTAATTGTTTCAAATGCTCTTAGGGCAAGATGAAATACATGCTTTGCTCTAAAGCAGCGGTTCTCAACCTGTGGGTCGCGACCCCTTTGGGGGTCGAACAACCCTTTCACAGGGGTCGCCTAAGACTATCAGAAAACACACCATCGCACTAACCCCATCACATACATCCCGGAGTATCTTATGGTTGGGGGTCACCACAACATGAGGAACTGTATTAAAGGGTCGCGGCATTAGGAAGGTTGAGAACCACTGCTCTAAAGGGTTAATATTGATTTGATTTTTTATAAAGATTAATAAGATACTTTTATAAATGGTAAAATATTTAAACGAGCAAGAACATATGAATAGTGCTGTCTTTAAAGTTTTAGATTTATTAATTAAATAGACTCGAGTTTGCAAGTTTATATTAAAATGCTATTTTTTTCATCAAGTATAGTATTTTATATATTTTGAATAATGGCAAGACTTGGAAAAAATATTTTTGCCTATATTTATGTAAAACTAAACAAACTTTAGGAAAATACATGTGATTAACATTTTATTCCTGGAAGGGGAAAGTGTATTCCTCTATTCAAACTGCCCAATCATATGAATAAGTAAGGTCACCCTATTGAAATTTTAGACTTTCAGCTTTTTTCAACATACAGCTATTTCATCTTTATTTCAACAATATTGATAAAGGAGGTAGACAATAACAAATATGTACCATTTACATTTGATAATCTGTTATATAACTTAAATCTAAATGCAATTTTTATGTGTGAAAAACAAGTACATTCCTACATTTATCACTATCTCAAGACCTATAATTAGAATCGAGTACATCAGATCAAGTGTAAATGATTAGAACGTAATTAGGAAGTAGATGAGACTTCTTATTTAAACCTCAAACTTTCTATTTATTTTCAATCTATTATTTTTACAAATAACCCAAGATGGCAAACATATCCAACACACCTCCTCCGTCCTATTTTTCCCACAACAACAACCCTGTGAGGTGAGTTGGGCTGAGAGAGAGTGACTGGCCCAAGGTCATCCTGTTGATTTTCATGGCTAATGCAGAATTTGAATTCCTAGTTTCTAGCCAGCAATTTACTCTTTATTGTTGAAGTGTGCATGGAGTCACCTTGCTTGGATCAAAAGAATTCCCTGAGGCATTTGGAAAGAAGGTTATAGATGCCTAATTAATCTAGAAAGGGATCTTAAAAGATCACCAAACAATTGGGCGTAAATCATTTCATGTCTGGAAGGTCCTCTACAAATACCGAACACACATCTACCAACACCAACTGCTCTGGTGGCTCAGCAGACTAAAGCACTGTTATTAACATCTACTTACATCTGCTGCCTGCAATTACTGCAAGTTCAAATCTCACCAGGCTCAAGGTTGACTCAGCCTTCCATTCTTTCTAAGGTAGGTAAAATGAGGACCCACATGGGGGCAATAAGATGACTTTGTATAAATATACAAAAGTATGAAGGCTATTGCTTAACGCATTGTAAGCCGCCCTGAGTCTCTGGAGAAGGGCGGCATATAAATCAAATTAAAAAAAAAAAACCCTTGTCTATGCCAGGCCGTCCCAGCAAGTTCAGTCCCATATCAGAATGCAAAATGCTGAAAGTCTCTTAGGATCACAGACCTTTATCATATGATTTACAGGTGGTTCTCACCACTATTAATGCCAAAGTGCATTTGTCTATTAGAAGGAAGCTGCACAAATTAATTCTGCATGTGGAGGAGCACGAAAAAATGTCACCGACCGATACTCTGTAACTGGAATGATAATGTTTTTATGTTTGTTTTTGTTCTTAAAAAATAAAAAAAATTAAATTAAAAAAATTAATTCTGCCAGGAGGAAGTATTTGCCCTCCAGGAAGAACAGGGCAAGACTTAAATTTGGTTGTAAACACTGTCCTAGACAAAGACCAGGATTTCTTCAACAATATGCTCTGAAAAGTTGAGGCAAAGATAGAGTTCTGCCACAGTATCAGAAGACATTTTGATGAACGTCCAAGACTCCGTTTCACCTGAAGAACCTGATGCCACCTGCAAAGCATGGTAGTGAAAATGTTATGATTTGGGCCCAGTTTGCTACCTCGGAGCCTGGGCAGCTCAGTATCATAGAATCCACTTTGAATTCTTCATTGTACCAGAGTGTTACGGTAATGATGATTTAATAGCTGACAAGCTGCTGTAAGGCTGTAAACCGAGATGATGTAATGAGAATGAGTCAGCAAGGTTATCACTTTAAGAGGCTGTCTGTATAAGAGAGACCCTGTGAGGGCAGTCTCTCTCTCCTCATGTTCTATCTCCATTGTAGTTCTCCGTGTATTTTCTCTCTGTATGCTTCATGTTATAATTGAAGATTTATTGATTGCCTGGCTTTGCTGAGCGTGTGTGTGTGTGTGTGTGTGTGTGTGTGTGTATGTATGGTCCATATATATATATATGTCCATATATATATATGGACCTTGCAACATGACAATGATCTTAAGCTTTCCAGTAGGGATGGTTGGAAGGGAGAAAAAAAGGCTTTTGGAATGGCCAAAACAAACCCCAGATCTAAATGTTTAGTTTAGTTTTAGTTTAGTTTATTTGATTTGTATACCGCCCTACTCCCGAAGGACTCAGGGCGGTGAACAGCCAAACAATAAAATACATAAATACAAAAAATTTAAAAAACCAGATAATATCAAATTAAATCATTTTGGCCCGGACAGATTAAAACACCCCAATAATTTAAAAACAGATTAAAATTTACATATTAAAAGAGGGAGGAGATTAGGCCAAGCCCGCTTGATGGAATAATCCAGATCCGTACGGCCTCCAGGCACCGGGACATCACTTCAAGGGCATCGTTGGGGTAATCCGGGGTGGAGATGTACAGCTGGGTGTCGTCAGCGTACTGATGGTACTCCACCCCGAAACCACGGATGATCTCGCCCAGCGGCTTCACATAAATGTTGAACAGGGGAGGCGAGAGGACCGACCCTTGCGGCACCCCACAAATGAGGGGCCTCGGGGTCAATCTCTGTCCCCTTGTCAACACAGACTGCGACTGGTCAGAGAGAAAGGAGGAGAACCACTGCAACACAGTGCACATTTTTTCATTGGAAGAGGTTGTAGAAAAAATGCTTTTAAAAGTAAAAAAAAAAAAAAGCCTCTGATGAGGTGGGCGGGGTAAGCGAGCGGCCACGGGGCTGGGGACCGGTTTGGGGGCGTGGCCAGCCAATGTTATTACCGGTTCTCTGAACTACTACAAATTTTTACTGCCGGTTCTTGCGAACTGGTGCAAACCGGGAGCAACCCACCACTGGTGTATTCCATAATATTCCAGTATCGGTAATTTCAACATCTTGTTGGAATCTAGAATGGTACCAAAAAGTAATTAAGGGACCACTTATTGCTGGCTGTGCGCTAGGGGACAATAGTGCCTTATTATTTCCCTTGGTGTATATTTCTCTCTCTATTGTTATGGTTTGTTGCACAGTCAGCCAGTTGTTTAGACTGGATTTAGCATATTTATCCACCTATCAAGTCCTTCCCAGGGATCTGGGATAGATATTGTTTGGTGGTGTTAAAGGTATCATCATATGATGAAAGCTCTTCCAACTAAAACTGGCTTTTGCAATTGACTGATGGTGATTTTGCCAATGCTGGCGGTGTTCAAGTGCTGCCCCAGATGTTTTTGGGATTGAATCCAAGGCACTTATCATTATTGGTACTATCTTTTGTCACAGTTGTCCTACTTCTATTTACAGATCTTTATATTTTATAATTTTCTCTTTTATTCTGTGTCTCCAAATACTGCCACTACCTACTGTTCAGACTTTTGTTAAGTCTGGGGTGTTATGTAGCAGGTGCTTGTCTGTTTTAATTATAAAATCTTGAGCACTTTAACTTCTAGATTTTCTGTTGTGTCTATTTTGTGGTGCCACCAGTTACTGCTTGCAGGCAAATGATATTCCAGTGCACCATTGTTGCTATTTTAACATGCTATTGTTTACAGTCTGTGATATTATTTCGTAATGGTTGAAATCTTAAGTGATCTGCAAATCTCACAGGTTTTTGGCATTCTTAACAGGCTCAAGACTTAAAATGGGAATACAAAAATCTTACAGGGTTTGGCACTTTTCCACAAATTGAACCATTTTATGTATAAGAATTAAGGATATTTAATGAAGCAGAAACACTGAGTTATGGTCCATAGGTACCAGTTTGCTGGATTTTAACACAAATAGCAGCCTACAGTTTTAAAAGATGATACACCCTACATAAAGGAAATGATAATAAATTACTTTACAAAATTAGGGAGCATGTTTCTGGCTGTAATCTTTTTTCAATCATTTTTTTTCAAAACAGCCAAAGATTATAGGGAAGGAAATTTATCCTTAGAATTTACATAGCAGAAACCTTTTCACAGTTTTCAATAGTTCAGGTAAGTGCCCATTTAGAAAGTATAGAGATATGTGTAATGGTCAGCATTTGCTAGATTACTTGAAGTTTCTCATAAATTCTGTGATTGCCTCCCACCCAGCTTTTCTGACAACTATTATATGTGTAACAGCTGTATGAACCATGAAAAGTATTAATTGAAATTTTCATTATATCTTAGTTTCTACTGTTTAGAAGACTCTGAGTCCTAACAGCAGTGTTACCATAGTTTTCGGCAGGCTTTTATCATTTCCTAAACAATGAATACAGAAGACAGCTATGGTAAGATAATTAATAAAAATAGCAGCTAAATGTGGACTATATGTACATGAATAAATACTATGTGTTTTTACTTTTTAATCTTAGTTGCCATCAGGGGCCTTGATAATCACCTTTGGGCAACTTGGAGATTAAGGGAAAAAGAAGACATGTTACATATTCCAGAGGAGGGAGGAATCAAAGTAACTAAAATTGGGTGACATAAAGGCTCACACATTGTGTGGTTGGTCTTGCAGTCAAATGTTTGCATTGAGCAGAGTTCTGCCTGTCCTACTAGAAAAGGACAAGGGGAAAATGTTTTATCCCTGACCTTGTGCAGTTCTAAAATGCAGAAGAACACCAAGCACAATTCCCTGTTCCATTGTCATTGGTTGAGAATAGGACTAGAGTGCACAAATCTACTAGTATTACTGTTCATCTTCGTTGTATTGCATCTCTGTAGTGTTGACAGCTTTTCAGACGTACAACAATCTCCCAGCTCTGTTTGACCTGGTTGAGCAGTCTGGAAACATCTCTGTAGGTCACTGAGCTACTGAGTCCCATCAAGCATTTCTGCAATTACAGCTCAGTTGGTCCTCGACTTACAACCATTTGTTTAGTCTCCTTACGAAGTGGCACTGAGAAAAGTAATTTAGGACCAGTTTTCATACTTATGACTGTTACAGCATCCTGATGGTCATCTGATCAAAATTCAGGCACTTGGCAACTGGCATGTATTTGACGGTTGCACTGTCCCAGGGCCATTGGCTTCTGACAAACAAAGTCAATGGGGGAAGCTGGATTCAGTTAACCACGGCATGTTTCACTTAACATCAGCGATTCGCTTAACTCTGGCAAAAGTCGTAAAAGGGGGCGCAACTCATTTAACAACTGTCTTGCTTAGCAATGGAAATTTTGGGCTCAGTTGTAGTTTGTAAGTCAAGGACTATCTAATGAGTCTAACATCCTGTCCAACTTAAAGCTTAAAAGAAAATCTGCTTTCCATTTCTAAGGTATCCTGAGCACTCAAAAGTCCAGGGAAATTGTATTCTTGTGATTTCCACTTGTAAACTTCACATTGGGGGAAGTGCTGGAGCTCAATTGAATCTGATTTGCTTAAACATGCTGCGAGCTATAGAAATTATTTGTCCTCCCAAAGAATCCAACCCCAGAGTCAGGAGAATATCATATTCAGGCCTCCTTTCTACAGCACGTTTCATTACATGAAGACAATCTAATGTGCTTTGTGAACTCACTAACTCAGTCAGTAAGTGAGAGGGTGGTTATCAATTCAGTTTGCTCCCAAATAACTCTGTGGGATGATACTATCTCCCTAAGGCAGCCACGTCATATATATGGAATAAAAGCGTTAATATGACCTGGTAAGGTCATCCTTCCCAGCCAGCATTTGAAACACATGAGGGCTTACGACGGGGCTTCTTGTAGGTAGTCTGTTCCCCTCTACACCCATAGTTGCCATCCGGGAATTTGGAAGAAAAAGATTAGTCCCAACCCTAATCAGGGCACTACAGGTTTTTAGACCTTTTTTCCTTGCTGAGGGTAGAAAACCAAGTGACAGCCTCCTTTATGGCAAGTAGGAGGACTTTGAAAATGTCAATTTTCAGTTTTGCCAAGATACTGAAAAAAGTGCATTTCCAGTGGATAGGGTAAGTCAGTTGCCAGAAGAATGACTAGGCTGATTTAGTTAGTTTACTAGTAATAAGCATATTATAGGAATTGGATTCCTTTGTTTGAAAGTATCTAGTGCTTTCAGCCGTTGATCACATCTCCTAAAATATGGATGTTAAACTCGCTGTGTCATGTTGCCATCACATGACGTATCATGTCGTTTTTTCCCTTCACAGAGCTCGGGTGGGTGTGGCCTGTATGTGATGCATCCGACCCATGGGCCGCCAGTTTGACACCCCTGTCTTCAAAATTTATCAAGTAGACATGATTTTGCTGCACTTGGGACGGCGATCTTTGAATTGTTTCTAGATGGAGCATAAGTATATTGAATTGTACTTTAGTTGTACAATCCAAGAACATCTCACATATGCTATGTTGTTAAATGTAATCTTTTACACTGATGGAAGAAAAAAGTTTTCACATAGCATCTCATTGGAAATACCCATATTGAAGAAAAGAAAAAAGAATGAGAACAGTCTGCTAGCAAAGATTTCAGGGTTTTTTTTATAGATCACTTGAGATTTTAATAATATAGTCCTCAGATTTTTTTTCCTGTAGCTGTGTGCTGTTGTGGTCTCTGAATTGAAAGCAGAAAGGTGTAGCCTAACACAATGCCACTTATCTTATAAGGCCAGTGGGGACCGTGAGCAGCACCTCTTCAATTTTCTTGAATAACTCTTTTAATTGGACTGTCTAATTGAGTAGCTTCAGGGATACAGATTTTCAGCAGCTTTCTCTTCATTTCATAAATGTGCTCATTAACATCTGCCGCATTGTCTTGCACTACTGACTACATTTCTTTGTTTAGTACCCTAATCGCCTAAACCTTCTGAGTGAATTTAATTAGCCAGAAAACTTGAAGTAATTTTGTGGTTATGGAAAACTAAGAACTGATAGTTTTTCTTACCTATCTGATTAATTCCAATGGTTTGGTGTGTTTTTGCGTTGCATTTAGAAGAGTACTTGTGGGATACTCATTAGACCTTCAATGTTCTTTTCTAATAGATGCTTTGGATCCAGAAAAACTAATGCAGTGCCCCTATGACAAAAATCACCAAATCAGGGCTTGTAGGTTTCCCTACCACCTTGTCAAGTGTCGTAAGGTAAGCTGTGGAAATCTTTTCTTTAAATGTAGTTGACAATGCAGTGTATACAGAATATTTGCCTACCTGATTATTTCCCAAATGATACATTTACTTGTTTTTTGGACAAGTCAGTGTTACTGCTCTTCCCAGTTTCTTCAGGGTATGTTTTAGTCTTAATCTCCTTCATTCCGTTCCTGTTGTGGCCCGCCAGCGGCCTGCGCGGATCGTGGCTGATCCCGACGAAGAGGAGACTGGTGTGGTATCGCGCCAGAAGCCTGCGCAGCCAGCACTCGCGTCGGACTGCGAGGAAGCTGAAGAGGATGGGGTGCCAGAGGCAGAGACTCAGCCAGGGCCTTCAGAACCTCCAGAGGTTCCTTCAAGTGGAGAAAGCGAAGTGCAGGAGCCTCTCCTCAATGCTCGAGCACGCAGGGCTGCCAAAAAGCAGGAGTGGCTACTCAGGAGGAGGAGGTCTACTTGAGAGTAGGACTTGAGGATAATTGGCCACTCCCTTAGCCTATTTAAGTCGCACGCAGCTAGTGCTTTCTTGCTGGAAACAACTCGTATTTTATTATCAGAGTATTTTGGTTTATCATATCTTGTTTTCTGGGCTGGTTGCCAACCTTTGTCGGTCTTGTTTATTCTTGCTACTTAATAAATTTGATAAGGACTGTTAGTGTGTGTCAATATCCTCGGAAATCCGGAGCTGGGGCAGAACAATTCCCTCCATTTCAAAATGTGGTCCGGTGTTCTTTTTTTTCTCATAATTTGCAAATGATAGCGAAAGAATTGGCTATCTTCATTGGGTCTTGAGCGGTACCAAATTTGAAATGGCATTTTTGGTCTTGTAAATATGATTTTAGCATGAATCATTTTCCAGATAATGAAAACGATCTGACCTGTTCATTACATTTCCAGCAGTTTTTAGAGAATTAGTAAGCCATTTTAGTAATTAAGACAGAAGTAATATACCAACAATAGGAAAGTAGTGTACTGAGTAACTCAAATCAGGAATAGCCAACACCCTAAATGATAGGCTCAAGAACCAGATGGATTGTGACAGAGCAGAATGTTGCGCCCTATCTAACAAAATGAAATTCAGCGTAGAGAAAAGTAAAGTCTTACACTTAGGTAAGAAAAACCAAAAGTACATGTACAGATTATGTGAAACCTGGTTTAATAGCAGTATCTGTGAGAAGGATATTGGAATCCTAGTGGACAATCAGTTAAATACGAGCCAGCAGTGGGTAGCAGTAGCAAAAAAAGCCAATGCAATCTTAAATTGCATTAACAGAGGGATTGAATCAAGTTCCTTTGAGGTATTAATACAACTCTATAAAGCCTTAGTAAAACCACACCTAGAATATTGCATTCACTTTTGGTCATCGCACTATAAAAAAGATGTTGAGTCTCTAGAAATAGTGTAGAGAATGGAGGCTAAAACATACAAAGAACGGTTGCAAGAACTGGGCATGGCTAGTCTAGTGAAGAGAAGGACCAGAGGTGACATAACAGTGTTCCAATATTTGAAGAACTGTCATAGAGTGGATCATCCCAAAGCACCCGAAGGCCAGACAAGGAACAATGGATGGAAATTGATCAAGGAGAGATTCAGCCTAGAAATAAGGAGAAATTTTCTGACAGTGAGAACAATCAACCAATGGAACAGCTTGCCTTCAGAAGTTGTGGTGCTTCATCACTGGAGGCTTTCAAGAAGAGACTGGACAACCACCTGTCAGAAATGGTATAGAGCAGGGGGTTGGACTATAGATAACCTACAAAGTCCCTTCCAACTCTTGTTATTCTGTATTCTGTAATCAGGGAAGTAGTCAATGGCTTGCTAGGAGAGGGAATGTTGCCAGCTGCTGTGAAAGAGATGATAGTTTAGCTTAGGGGTGTCAAATTCGCGTCGTCATGGCAGTGACGTATCAGGACTTTTTCCCCCTTCGCTAAACTGGGCGAGGTGAGCACTTGATGCATCCGGGCCACAAGTTTGGCATCCCTGGTTTAGCTTCTTGGATCCAACAGATTTAGACAGAGCTTGCTTAGTTTCCTTCCTTTTAAGGAAGATTGTCAAAAAAATGATGAGGTGGAAGCAGTTACACTAACTCAATCCATAGTCCCCAGTTAGCTTGATAAATACATAGATGCAATGATATAAAATAACATAGTGAAAACACTTGGCTGAAATATTGCAATGCACTCTGTATGGAACTACCTTTGAAAACTGTTCAGATCCTGTGCCTGGTACAATCTGTTTGCCAATGCATGAAAGCAACCTGAATTATATAGCATTGGTATTGTGGGCACTGCTTGGTCACCAGAGTCCTACATGCTTTGACACTTAAGTATTATAGGACCAGTTAATTCAAGGGGAGTTGCCCCATTCAGTGAGTGCTTCCCATCAGGGATAGTGAGTTATCTTTCCATGTTAGGGGAAAGCTGGTTAGAAAAAAATGTTTCTTAATTTGTGCACCATCTCTATTTAACACCGTAACTCTTAGAACTTCGATATCCCTACTGCTTGCTTTTAGAAAGACAGTTCCAAAGAACATTCTTAATGTAGCTAGATGTTTTATTCAATGTTACAATATTATGATTGGATGAATTTATATTGCCAAGATTCCATATAGTTAGTAATATACAAATGTTGTAATATATACCAGTATCCGTTGACTAAATCCTTTTCAATATAAAGTTAAGTAATTATAGTCGCATTTATTGTTCAATGAAGGAAGTCTTTAGGTTCATGGAAAATATCAGTAATTCTTGATGATATATAAAATTGTTCCAAGTAAACATGATTCTTATTGAAAATAAGGTGCTTCTCTAATTGAATACTTTTAATTTATATTCTTCAAATTGAAAACTAGGCCAGAAAAGAGATTTAAGATAGGAATGTCCTATGCGACAATGCATTTACTACTATAGCTTTTTTTTTTTTTTTTTGTATGGGAGATGTTTCAATAATGTGAAGCCCACACAGCTGCATACTTAAGTGGCATATCTCAGAAATAGGTTCATCAATTTAGTGAGAATTAGGCTATAGGCGTCTGTTGTGAGAAATCAGGAAAGGATGTAAAATAGTATATCTTCATTAAAAAAAAATCTGCCTATGCAGGTGCTGATTCTATCACTTGTTTAATTTAGCTGCTCATGAAAAAAATTGTAATATTCAAGAATTCAGGTGTTATTCCAGTACATAGCACCTAAATAAACAATCATACATCAGCTCTCACAGTTTAGGCAGAATTTGCTTTATTTCAGAATATATTTGGAGGCTCATTCTCCCTCCCAAATATGACATAAGCTATTCATTTATTGTTAAGTTGATATAATGTAAAATCCCTAGAACCAATGATTTTATTCATCTGTAAGAAGTTAGAGAAGAAAATTTTATATAAACTTTAAAAATAGTAAATTTCCATTTTGGCTTTATTCTAGCTCAGAAAAACTCTAAACTTGTATCTTTCTCAGTGAATCTAAACATTTCAACATGTCACCTCAGTTTAGGCCAGAGGTCACCAACCTTTCAGACCTCAAGGTCCACTAAATTCATAATTTTAAATCCCGCGGACCACTAATATGATCTGCCTAATGACCGGCTGGGTGGGCGTGGCTAGGTTGTCATGCGACTGGGTGGCCGTGGCCAACTTGATGTTACGTCGAGGGGCACCTCGCCAGCCTCTACTCACCCCTCCCTCCCAGCCACTCCTCGCCTCCCCGCCCGGGCTCCTTAGGGCCTCAACAGGAAGCAGTTGTTGGAGCTAAGCAGTCATCATGAAAAAGAGTTGGCAAAACAGTTCAGTTCAAATTGGATCTGACCGAGAAGGAGGCTCAGTAGAGGCACCTCACTGAGGATTACGAGCATAGGCTCTCCAAGCAGAGGAAAGACCTGCAGGAGTGCAAGGCCAGGTACAGGCACCTGGAGGCTCACGAGCTGAGACGGTCAGCTAATTCCAGGTTATGATGCAGTCCCACTGGAACAAGGTCCTCCGGCTCTTTGCCACTAGCAGCACTTCCCTCCAGCCTTCGCCCAAAGCCTTGCACCAGGAGGCTGAAGCAGACCCCAAGTCGGAATTTCTGTCCCCCTCCAATCCACACAAAAAGACCCCGAAAGGGGAGACTCTCTGCAGCAACACAAACATTCATTGCACATATCTGTCCCAGGGGCCATAGTTTGAGGGCCCCTGATTTAGTGTAATATAAAAAATGCAAATAATTTTTCTGCGGACCACTAAAATATTCTCGTGGACCACCAGTGGTCCATGGACCACCAGTTGGTGATTGCTGGTTTAGGCAGCATACTCCTCAATAATGAGCCAAATGGGCTGCAGTCCTTTCTTAGTACCAACCAGACAAATGACCTATCAGTAGCATTGAGATCACCAAGTTTTTACATGACATAGGTTTGCCATTGCAAGCCAGAGTTTTGTTAACTCACACTTTTCTTGATAATCTCCAGAGATTAAGTTCCAAATAAGCAGTAATCAGTGGAGCAGAATGGTTTGTCTATTGTCTCATTGCCAGTCTCAACAATAGAAGACAGAATCTGAGTAGTTTGCCCTCAGCCAGTCCTTGAATTGTCACAGTATCCTCACTTAACCTAACATGTTTAATCTTTATTCCTGTTTCCAAGGAAGATGCATTTTTAACCATACTTTACAAACTGGTCCCTTAACTGCAGGCTCTTGCCTTCTTCCAGTAAATTTACTTTCCTAAACTAATATAAAACATATTAGCTTCTGAATATTTTGAATCTGATAAAACATTTCAAACTGGATTCAGCTTCTTTTTCTATTCCTTTCCCTGGAGCACTTGGCCTTCAATTTCTTCATCTAATTGAGATTTGGCAATATAATGTCTTTCCGTGTTTACTTCATCAGAGCAACTCATTCAGTGCTAATGAGGCAAACTACCTTGTCTTTCACTTCCCTGCAAAATAAATCAGTTATCTAATTCTCTTTTATAATAAGACCCTGAAAATGAAATGATAGAAACTCAAGTTGCCTCACTTCAAGAAAAACACAATATGTTTCCATCACACAGCTATGTTTTCCCTATGCAAGCTTATCAAAAAGTTTAATTCCTGTTGAAATCAATGTTTCAGTTATCCTCAATACGTATCAGTGCTGAAATACCTAGGCCAGGGGTGTCAAATTCGTGGCCTGAGGGCTGGATGTATCATGTGCTGGCTCCAGCCTCGCCCGATTTAGCGAAGGGGGAAAAAGTCCTGATACGTCACGTGACGATGCAAGTTTGACACCTCTGACCTAGGCTATATATGTCTGCTCAGAAGGAAGGACAAATAACAGCCTAAAATGAAATGTAGTCAAGCTCATTTCTCTTCATAAATTACAAAACCACACCTTTGTAATAAGATTATATTATATAATCATGCATTTTCCTAAAGGTGCTTTTTTCAAGGGGCAACTGGACTTTCTTGTTTTTCTTTGAAGATGTTTAGCTTCTCATGCAAGAAGGTCCTTCAGCTCTGACTGGATGGTGGGGAATGGAAGGATTTATATTCCTTGCAGACAGCTGGTCATTTGCATTGTTTTCAGAGAATCGTTGAGGCCACCTGGAGGTTTATCTGTGTCATCAGGGTCACCTGAGTAGTGCAAATGGGTGTGGAGCCTTCTTGGAACTGCTGAAAAGACTGTATTGTAGATTGCAGATAGATGGTGTCGTATCCCTCCCCCTCTGTTGACAGAGGGAAGTTCAGTTTTGATACAGATGGCCTCTTTGACCTCTCTTTCAAACCAGTGGTCCTCTATGTTCAAAATGTGGACTTTGCTGTCTTCAAAAGTGTGGCTTTTGTTTTTTAAATGCAGGCGGACTGCTGAATCTTGTCCTGGGGGGTTTGTTCTCTGTTGTGCCACTTCATAAACACAAACCATCTAGTCAGAGCTGAAGAAGCTTCTTGGATGAGAAGCGAAATGTCTGCAAAGAAAAATAAGAAAATCTAGTTGCTTCTTCAAAAAAAGCACTTTTGGAACAATCATGATCTGGATGATTGAGAATCTCCATAGATATTCATGCATTGATTTAGATTTAATCATGTGCAAAAAGAGGTTGATAGAGGTGCTGGTAGTTCTGGAGTTTAATAAAAAGGCTTTGGAAAATAATGGACTAAGGCATGGGGGAAAGTCCCAAAAAGATCAAGAATACATGAAACCTCCTGCGAGTCAAAAGCGACCTAATAGATTAAAGAGAGAAATATAAGGAGAATAATGGAACTAGTATGTCAAGTATGGAAAGGAAATCCTGGTTTCAAATTATGATTTGGATGACCGGAAATATTTTCTGAATGTGGCCACTATGTAGATTCGCACTTGTGCTAGCGATGGTGACAGTATGGAGAATCCAGCAGGAGGTGGGTTTTGAGATATTTTTTCCCTGTGTCCTGCCTTTCTCTAGAGTTATTTAAGAGAACATATTTGTGCGCTTGTTTTACAGAGCCCAACTAAATAATGGCACCCAGCCACTTGTGGCAAATCTTGCAAAATAAAGCAAGATTGGGTATGGTTAGTAGTTTGGCTGTAAACCAGACTAGGAAATTTAAAAAAAAACTTTCTGTGAATAAGATGATGGCAAACCTTATTGATGCTAAATGGATGTTTCACAGAGAAATGAGGAAACTAGAGTTCTTACTTTGTGTCACAGTTATATGTCACTGCTTGTTAAGATTTGAATTAAAATGCATTCATGTTTTTAAAACAATGTCCTGGTGACCTGTCAGTAAGGCTGCTATGATTTCGTTATCTGTACTTATCTTTTTAGAACCATCCTGGGATTGTGGAACAGCTGGTCACTTGCCCATTTAATGCTCGTCATCAGGTGCCCAGGGACGAGATCAGCCAACACATATCAAGCTGTGATGACAAACGATGCATTGAGCAGGACATCGGTAAAAATAAATCTTTAGGAATTGACTGTTGACAGCTATCAGTCCCTTACTTTGCTGTTAGAGTTTCAAAAATGGTTTATTGAATAAGTTATCTTTTGCCTTCAAAAGGACTTTCAGCATGTGTTGCAGGTATTATAGACTGTGGCTCCCTGTTGAATGTGATTTGGAGTGGCATAGGTAAAATAGCTACTTTTTTTTAATGACCTAACAGGTCCTTTGAGTCCTTGGTTTCATAAATCAATGACTTTTTATTGTCAAACATTGTGACATAAATTGTGCATGTTATAATAAAAGGTAGTCGGGGTTAGGTTTTGGAAATAATAATTTTGGGTCACTGGCATCTCCTGTTCAGTGGAGTGAAGCAAGCGGAGACAAAAGCTATATATTACTTTCCCTTTTATGAAATAAGTGAATGTCATTGTGTTCTTAGTCCACAAATATATATAACAGAAATTGAACATTAGCATCATACTTGGATGTTTATTGATTGATGTAATCATTTATAGACTGTCCATTGCTGAAATAACTCCAGATGATTTACTGTGCTATGCATAAAAAGTGATTAAAAATCATCAGAAAACCTACAGTCAGTACCATCAGCACCCAAATGACCCATAGTATAAAATATTTTTAAGGGTTAAAACTTCTTAAAAACCGGGAAGTGTGAGGCATTTCTTATTTTAGGAAGTACCTGGGCATCTACCAAGAAGAGGCATTCTGGAGCTCCTAGCTAGCCCCTTCACTTTCTGTAGTGTGGGAATCAAGATTGCATGGAACGTATTGAATCTAGACAGAATAGACCCTTCTGTAGGTACCAGGGCAACTTTTTCCCATCTGCTAGTTGAGTTGATACTGCAAGGAGAAAGCATTCTCTCAGTTAGCTCTTTGGATTGAAAAAAATAGCAACGTTTTAACCACTCAGATTGAAGTACTTTGGAAATCAAAATCTCATTAGATATTTACGACCTCTTCTCTAATATATGTATAAATGTGCCAGAATAAATAAGTATGAAAGAACCAATATAGCTTGAATATCATTTGGCATAAACCTAAATAGTTATTCCTTATTAACCCAATGTACTGTAAACCTGGGAGTAACTACTGTTCTGAGCCAGTGTGACAGTGATTCATAGTAACTGAGTACCAGATTGAAGCCTGTATTTAGCAGAATATCATCACACTGTCTTAATTGTTGTCAAAAGCTTGGCATCGACATTAATTGCAGTTAAGATTGGCCAAGGAGCCCCTTGATCTGGATCTGAAATACTCATCCCATAATTTTAACTTAAACTGTGTTAGTTATAATGTAGTTTACATCTTGAATTAAGGCAGGAGAAGGAGATTATTCTGAGAAAACAACATGTTCTTGCAGCTCGACTCCTGATTGTAAGTAAAAAAGTAAATTGGGATAAGAGAAATAAGGAGAACTAGCATTATATTTGCAGTTGGAGAGGAGTTGGATTTGAACTCAGTATTTCAGAGTTTTAGTTTGGTGTTTGAAAAAAAACAGTGTTTTAGTTTCATGCTCTTAAGCATTCATGCGTGGGAAGCAATGGGGACCCAAAATAAATTCCTGCTCCTTCATTTTCTAGAGCCTCCAGATAGATGTTACAGAAGATGTAGACCCTACTGAGTGCTACTATCACTCAAAGCAATGGAAGAAATGGTCAAGAGGATTTTTTTTCTTGAAATGTTTTAAAGAATGCCCTTCAGAAGCAGTATATTGCCACCAAACCTAATAGCCATTAAGCCCCATCATTTCTATAAACTGAAGCCATTTGTAGACTACCCCTTAGGATGGGTTAATATACTGTAGCCAAATGTAATTCCAAAAGATTAATGCTGACAGCACTAAATTGGGTCATTTTAGAAGTATTTTTTTCCTCATGATTTAGTCTTTTTTTGTTATAGCAAGTCAAGCAGAGAATAAAAGAAAAGTGAATGTGATAAGTTCATGGCAATCTCCTCCATGTGAAGAAGATTGGGACAAAGGTGAGAATTGTGTAGTTGATAGAATATTGCAAGTTTGAGCCTTCCCTTTCTCTTTTTAATGATATTTAATATGAAAAGATACCCCTGTTCTTGCATTATTTTCTATCCTGTGCTGTTATTGTCCTTGGCTAAGCAGAAATTAGAACATTTTACAACCTAAGGTTGTGCATTCTCATGTAGATTAATTATATTTCTGCATTGCTTCCTTTGACACCAAACCCTAGATTAGTTTTATCCTTAATAAAAACAGAACTTATTTTCTTTTCCGTAAGTAAAAACTGATATTTTTCTGCAATAATAGATATAGCAGACCAATCAGACTCTACCTTTGTTTGGGGCACAGGCTGCTATGCAGTGAACAGGTAAGTTGTGTTTCCTTTCCATTCTTAAACTTAAGATCATTCTCTCAACTCCTGTGCGTTCCTGTTTGCTCTAAACGGATAATTTTTTAAAGGATTTTTTATTGAAAAGTTTTGTTATAAATTAGAAACATTGTGGCTTATTGCCGACCTTTAAGAAAGTTATTACTTTATTCTTTAGTGTATTGCTACAGACAGTCCTCAACTTATAACCATTTGCTTACTGACAGTTTGAATTAACGATGGCCTCAGAAAAGATAAAGCACTTCCAACCAATGCAAAATATCACACATGTGCACCGCAGTCATGTGATCATGATCTGGGCACTTTGCAATCTGTTCACACTTACGACTGACTGGTCGCAAAGCTAGCATCGCTGGCATTGGGGGAGCAAAGGATTGTGAAGTAAGCAAAAGCAGCAGGATTTCTTCTCAGCTTCCCCAACGTTACCAACTGCATTTCTTCTTCCTGCCACCACTTCATTTCTTCTTCCTTCACCACTCCACCCCCCACCCCCACCCCCAGGACTAACAATCTTAACTGGGGCTTATTTGTGGGTAGGGCTTATGAGCATCCTGAAAAATCATGATAGGGCTTATTTTTGGGGAAACACGGTACTGGCCTCCTGTAACTGCTTTTTCAATCTGGTTCCTTGTGATGGAACTCAGAGAAGTTTAAAGCATCATTAACATTTTATATGAGTTACATATATCATTGTCATTGAGTTTCCCAGTTCTTGGTTGAAATTTATGTTTGATAGAACTGCCAGATAGGCAAATCCAGTTTTAGACCATCGGCACTGAAAACTATAGCAATGTAATATTTACAATCAAGATCCACCTTTAATGACTCAGCTAGAAAGGTAATTGAAATTTATTAATTGCACTAAGGTAAAATCAAAAGTGTGGGTGTATGTAGCTGCTTTCTAGCTTTACTCCAGAGATGTGAGCTAGAATAAAGTAGCATTAGTTAACCAACTTAAAGAGGGCTTTCCTAATGAACTGCATAATGAATTGGTTTGATAGGACATTCCATGTATCTTACCATAGCTAATGCAGGTACCTTGTTTCCCCGAAAATAAGACCCAATCTTATATTTTGGGGGGGGGGGCTCCAAAATAAGCACTACGGCTTATTTGGGGGGAAACACGATTTCAAGGGGATCAGCCCAGCTGGGCACCTCATCCCAGCGCACACACAAAAGGTGACGAATGCACGGGGGCTGCCATTGTCCGGCACAGCTGCAGCACACTGGCCCCTTGGTCGGCACACTCAGGTTGCGCAGCCAGCGCAGCACAAGTAAGTTGACTACCTGTCCAAGTAGCAGACGGCAACAGAGGCGTGGGGGGATAGCAGGCAATCTGGACACACCATGTGGGCTGCAGGAAAGCCAAGAGTCGGTGGACCAGAGCGGGCAGGCAGCCATGGGAGGCTCATCTTCGTGCAGTGGCACCGGCAGTAGATGAAAGCGGACAGCAAGTAGACCTCAGTGGCCAGCTACAGCAATATATCCATGCTAGGTTTCTATATTGTGGAGTTGTTTCGCAAATAAATGCCCAAATCAACTAAGCTGGGTTTTCTCTTTGTTTTTGTTATTCTTTTTTTTTCTTTTTGTCTCCATTCTGTTTTATTAAGTAAAGCAAAAAATAACATCCCTTCCCCATCTAAATATCAGAGAACTATTGCAATGTAAGAATTTAGTAATAACCTATTACTTGAAAGGTCCTGTCTTAGGGCTTTGTTAAGAACTAATTTGGTAACGCTGCCTGCTCGTTTCTCGATCTTAGTTTAATTATAAAATGGCAACAAACCTGGGGGGGAGGTGAATAGAGATTGTTCAGTACTGGAAATAGCACAATTAAATGCTGAGTAGAACTGTAGCAAATGTCAGTGGCAAATCTGTTTATCTTTCTTTTACAGAGGTATTAGTCCTGACCTGCAGAAACTTTAAAAGTTCTTGTTGAATAATGAACAAAACAGTAGTCCTTGAGTTATGACAGTATTTGGAACTGGAATTTCTGTCACTAAGTGATACGGTTGTAAAATGCAGCATCCCATGACCACCCCACTTAACCAATGGCAATCCAGGCATTCTCTGTTGCTGGTGTTAATCGAAACCCCCTGGTTGTTAGGCAAGGACCCACCCCAACCTAAACCATTCCCCCCCATTTCTGCCCTTTTGTCTGCCCTACATTCTGATTGTCTCGCTTGCCCTGGTCTCTGCTCACCCCATGGAATGTAATTGTGCCTTGCCCAAACTGCATATAGCCTTCTTGCATAAAACAAGAAAGTTTTATGTTTTAGGAAGAAAGCCTGGTGTGGCCAGCAGCTGCCTCGCAAAGGGCCAGGCATCCCTCCTCAGCAGTGAGAGGAAGAAGAAGGCAAAGGTCAACTCAGGGGAGGCGTGCAGGGTTGGCAAAGAGGAGTCCAAGATGGTGGAGGTAGCAGAGCCCAGAGGCAGCAGAGTGCAGGGCAGCCCCAAGAGCAGACATGGGGGCAGATGACTGTCGGGAGTCCAGGCTGTCGGGCATCTGAATTTTGATCACATGATCATGCAGGCACTGCACAACCATAACGTCAAGGACTGAGTGCAACTACCATTCATTCACTGCTGTTGTAGCTTCAAATGGCCACTGAATGAATGCTTGCTAAGTGAGGACTACCTATATATTATTCTCCCTCCTGTAAAAATACACATTCAATTTAAGCAAAAGCAGGTGCATAAACGTTTCCTTTTTTTTCTTGTCCCCAGTCCAAGATCCAACCCAATAATAGGACATAGGAGCCATCTAGCTTCAGGCCTGCGAGCTCCTAGAACTTTGCCTTTCGTTCTGCCATGGAAGAACTGTAAGTAATGATGTTCTCTGCATAGTAGACCTTGGACTGTGTACCATAAAGCACTCCCATGCAGTATAGTATTTCATATTAAGAACTTATTGTGGTTTTTCTTTTTAAAACAAAAATGCCTATAGCCTCAGTGCAATATGTGCTGACAACTATGTCCATTATGGATAAAAGGTAAGGACCTGGGAAGAGTTATGTATGCATTTCACCTAAAGTTAATAATACAGTTTATTATTCATAGATAACATCTGATGGAAATATTTATATGCCTGAGCATTATAGCAATCATTATTTGTCATTAAGAGAAGCTCATAATTGATGTTTGGAAGATAAATATACTGTCTGTTCACCTTGATGAGAGACAGTTGTCTCTGCTAAGGGTTAAGGGGTTGCACCATAAAATTAAGACATGGACCAGCTGCATATATGTAACTAATATGAATATGGGTCAATAAATATAAAGGTAAAGATGCCCCTCGCACATATGTGTTAGTCGTTCCTGACCCTAGGGGGTGGTGCTCATCTCCGTTTCAAAGCTGAAGAGCCAGCGCTGTCCGAAGACGTCTCTGTGGTCATGTGGTCGGCATGGCTAAACGACAAAGGTGCACGGAACACTGTTACCTTCCCACCAAAGGTGGTCCCTATTTTTCTACTTGCATTTTTTACGTGCTTTTGAACTGCTAGGTTGGCAGAAGTGGGACAAGTAACAGGAGCTCACTCTATTACGTGGCACTAGGGATTCAAAACGCTGAACTGCCGGCCTTTCGATCGACAAGCTCAGCGTCTTAGCCACTGAGCCACCGCATCCCTTTCAATAAATATAAGACGTATTTAAAAATATGATTTTACAAGCTAATTTTAATTGTCTTCAGACTGAATGCTTATAATGAAAATCAGTCATTGAAATGTGAAAAAAATGAAATTGGATTGCAAATGAATAGGTTTTCTGTTTATGGGAATTATTCCCTAGGCAGATAATTAATAAACTTTAAAACTGCTATGCTGCTCAGTTCGTCCCGGTTGGTGCAGGAATAGAAGGCAAGTTACTAGTCTTACTGATTTGTCCTGAGAAATTGGTTCTAGTCAGGGGCGGTTCTAGTCCTGCCTTGGACATGAAACCAGCTGGGTGACTTTGGGCCAGTTGATCTCTCTCTCTCCCTCCCTCCCCCCCCCTTCTCTCTCTCTGCCTTAGGAAGCAGGTGAAATCAAGCCACTTCTGAAAAACCTTGCCAAAAAAACTGCAGGGACCTATCTAGGCTATATCTGAGAATCGGGCATGATTGAATGGAAGAAAAAAAGGGCAGGGGGTTAACAAGAAGCCTTTTCTGGCCAAGTCTATTTGTTATGCTTGCACAATATGCTCCCCCCTCCCTCCTCTGTTTAAGCTTACTGAGTAGAATCCAACCTTTATGTAGCTGTCATGGGAGAAGTGTTTTATTTCATTACCCTTGTCTCACTAGACAAGAGAGGGCGCTATATACCCCTAACTTCTCTGAAACAGCTGCTTTGAAATATAAGTGCTAGAGAAGAAGAGGCATAAATAGCATTTTAACAGTTGTTAGATTTTTAGTATTAATTCCTGTTAAATTTGGTAGGAGCTTCATAGTGAACAGCTGCATTAGGCTTGGTTTGCAGAGCCTGTCCAAGTTCAGTTCTCATAAACTGCAACAATCTGGAATATGTTGCATCGTTATTCTTGTCTCTCCTTGGGCGTGAACAAAGGGGAATGACTGGACTAACATCATTTTTTTTCCTCTCCTGTTCTATCCCTGAGGTGACAAAATGCTTCTTCCAGTTCTAAACTTATAATCATATATAGATCAGATATAAGGAAGAATGCAATTTTCTTCCAGTGCTTCTTTTTCTTGGTTATATAGCATGTGACTGGGTTTCTGCAAACTGGGCCTCTCTCATATTTTTCTTTTCTGACAAATTAAAGATTTGTGGCATAAATGCAAGGATGTCCTTTTACATTTGCCATTTAAACATTGGGATAGGTAAAGACGGGAGGGTTATCTTGGGATTTTGGCTTCTCTGAAAGAAAGGGACCCATTTTGTTTTAGACAGTGGCGTCCATGAGTCTAGTGATTCCAGCTATGTATAAAACATTGAAAGAAGAGAATTATGTGCCCATTGCTTAATGAGTCCATCCTCCAATTCTCAGGAGATTAGATGTTAAGACAATATAACTAAAGTAGATTTGGTTGTATAGATGTATGCCACATAAATTACTTTATAAATCAGCTTGCTGTAGATGAGAATGGATGTATGAAATATGAAAAGGTGTTTGGGGAAAAGTAATAGATAATTTTCTTTGGCATGTAAGTACATGCATATTTGCATATGTGCTGAAGGAAATGGAGGGAGAAAAAGATAATCGAAGTTATAGTAAGGATTTTCCATAGGACAATCCTTGGGTAGCTTTTTAAAAAAGGGGGGGGGGCTATTTCGCCTAAAGCAGGGGTCGGCAACCCGCGGCTCCAGAGCCACATGTGCTCTTTGGGCCCTCTGCCGCAGCTCCCTGTCCCATCACTGGTTGGCCCCGCCCCTCACCCCTCTTATTTCTTTTTTTGGACTCCAGCCGGAAGCGGCAGGAAGTGAAAGCTGCCTTACACACAAATGTGGCGCGAAGGCAGGTACAGGGCTCCTGCACTCACCTTCCCCCCTGAGCTGGGAGTGTGCACACATATGGGGAGACCCTCCTCAAGCGAGCACCAAAGCACAGCAAAGGCATGTGCGGGGTGGGCGACCTCTTGCTTAGGAGGGTCTTAGGAGGACGTGGCTTCTCTCCTGCGCTAATGCTCCGGCCATCGCCTTGCTGTTTCATCCCCCACCTCCAGCAGCTCTTCAGCCAAGTGCGGAGGGTGCGAACTCCAGCCTGAAGTGGCAGGAAGTGAAGGCTGCCTTACGTGCAAATGTGGCACGAAGGCAGGTACAGAGAAGCTTTGCTCCTGCACTCTCCTACTACTACTACTCTCGTGACGCCCTGGCTGTGGCTGAGCTGGGAGCATGCGCACGCACGGGGAGATCCTCAAGCAAGCACCGAAGCTCAGGAAAGATGCACCCGGGGCGGGCAGTGGCTCGCTTAAGGAGCGTCTCCCCATGTGTGCATATGCTCCCGGCTCAGCCACAGCGGCCAAGGTATCACAAGAGTAGGAGGAGGAGAGTGAGGAGCGAAGCTTCCCTATACCTGGCTTCGTGCCACATTTGCATGTAAAGCAGCCTTTGCTTCCTGCCGCTTCAGGCTGGAGTTCGCACCCTCCGCACTTGGCTGAAGAGCCGCCGGGGGTGGGGAATGAAACAGCAAGGCGATGGCCGGAGCATTAGCGCAGGAGAGAAGCTGTGTCCTGTTAAGACCCTCTTAAGCGAGCGGCTGGTTTGATGCTCACTTGGGGAGGGTCTCTCCGTGCGTGAGCACGCTCCCAGCTCAGCCACGGCCGGCCAGGGCATCACGAGAGGAGGGGGAAGGAGGACGATGGTCACCCGAAGTAAGTGGGAGAGAGAGAGACACACACATATATACAGAGAGGGGGAGAAAGAGAGAGACATTGAGACACATAGAATGATACATAGAGAGGGGTGAGAGAGGGGAAGAGGGGGAGAGATGGGGGGTAGAGGGGGAGACAATGGATTTGTGGCTGGGTAGGCGTGGCTGGGGTCATGTGAGTGACATTGAGTTGGCCACGCCCACCCAGGTTTTGTGGCTCCGGTGTGTTTTTTTTCTGTGAGAAATGAGTCCAAGTGGCTCTTTGATTGTTTAAGGTTGCCGACCTCTGGCCTAAAGGAAGATTTGAGCTGGGGCGTGCATAAGCGCACCAGCATGCCTACCATCCCTGTCCTGCTGTCCCCATTTATTTATATACATTTATTTCATTCATATCCACGTTTATATTTATACCTGCTATCTTGTACATGTTTGACAAACTAATAAATTATATATATATATATATATATATTTTCTGAGGTTTTCGCGGGTTTTTGTATGTAGGTCTTTGGTTATTCGGGTTTTCTCCCACGTAAAATTGGAAGTGTCTTGGCAACGTTTCAACGAAGTCTCATTCGTCATCTTTAGGCTGGTGTTTTCGGCTTTGTGCTTCTAGGAGCAATGTGTGATCGCAGCTGTTTCTTCCTTTTAACTGCCAGTGAGGGTGTGAACTGATTGGGTGGGAGCTTGGCTGTGTTCTGATTGCGTGGAGGTGTGTTCTAATTGGTTGGGGGTTTGGCTGTGCTCTGATTGGATGGGGGGGTGGCTGTGCTCTGATTGGATGGGGGTGTGTTCTGTTTAGGTGGGGGCTTGGTTATGCTCGGGTTAGTCTGAGTTGCAGGGGGATTTGAGCTGGTGAGCTGCGTTGCTGTTGTTTGGCTTCGCGTTCGTGGTCGTGCCACAACTTCATGGTGGGTGTCAGTTTGCTTCATGTATGGATTGGAGGGGTTTAAAGTGGCTAATGATACAGCTGTGGTCTGGCTTCTGGTTTGTGGTCGTGCCTCATCGGTGTGGGTTTGCTTTTTGCGTGGATGTGTGGTGGTGACATCCTGTGTGGTTTTCATGACTGTGGGTCTGGTGTCATTCTTTGTGTTAGGGACTCGTTTGTCAATGAGGGCGGGTTTCCAAATGGCTGGTAGGTGGGAGGTATCATCTCGTTTATTCATGCTGTGTGGGCGTTTTTCTATCTCGATGGCTTCTCTGATTATTCTGTTGTTAAAATGTTCAGTTTTGATGATAGTTCTGGTCTTTTTAAAGTCAATATGTCCTGTGGCTTTAAGGTGTTGGACCAAGGAAGAAGTTGGTTCCTCTTTTCTGACTGAGTTCTTGTGTTCTTCAATGCGTGCACTTATTCTTCTGTTGGTTTGTCTGATGTATGCGGTGGGGCAGGCGGTGCATGGGATTTCATATACTCCTTGATTTTCTAACTCAATTTTGTCTTTGAGGTTTCTTAGGATGGTGGATATTTTTCGGTTTGTGCAGAATGCTGTCTTGATGTTGTGTTTGTGGAGGATCTTGCTGATTCTGTCTGTGGTGCCTTTTATGTATGGGAGGAGGGCTTTGCCGTTTTCTTGTTCTCTGTCTTGGATTTTGGTGGGGGTTTCTTTTTGGATTAGGTTAGTAGTCTTATTTTTTTGGAATCCGTTGGATGTTAGTACGTTAGTGAGAGTGTGTAGTTCGGTTTTTAGGTGTTCGTCAGCTAAGCATTTTGTTCTGGAGATGAGTGTCTTGGCTACGGAGTTGATCTGTGCTGGATGGTGGTGTGAGAGTGCGTGCAGATAGCGGTTTGTGTGTGTTTTCTTCTGGTAGATGATGTGTCCTAGGGAGCCATTGGATTTATTTTAGACTAAGACATCCAGGAAGGGAAGTTGGTTGTTCACTTCTGTTTCCATGGTGAACTGTATTTTGGGGTGTAGGCTGTTGAGGTGTGTGAGGAAGTTGTCCAGTTTTTCTTTCCCGTGTGAGAAAACCCAAATAACCAAAGACCTATGTGTGTGTGTGTGTGTGTGTGCAAGAGGTAAGTCTTACAACTTTTTCTTGTGCTTTTATTAAAAGCTCTGAATTTTTCTGAATATAGCTCCACTGGTCTCACTCTTATTTTAAAACTAGAGCATTTACAATGGAGTGCAAGACAGTGACTTAGCTTGCATAAGGTAATTAAGGAAATAGTAACAACATCAGCATTTGAGTGTCATTGAAAGTAACTTAAGAGTCACTCTTCTCTTTAAAATGCTCCATTAAGCCCAGTGTTTTAGAACAGCAATCCAAATGTCTCTTCTTTTTCATTAATCTGTCTAATTGAATTATCTGGAAAAGATCGCATAGGGGGAGTTTTATATCAAAATTGCTCTACAATATTTTAGGAAAAAGTATGTGTGGTATAGATTATTCTCATCTCATTATAGATAGTTCTGGACTTGTGACCATTCATTTAATGATGGTTTGAAGGTACAATGGCACTGAAAAAGGTGAGTTACGACTGTCACACCACCTTGTCCACAGCAGACGGCAAGTGTCATAAACCGAGCCAGTTACCAAGCATCCTAGTTGCGATCATGTGATTATGGGAGTGGTCATAACCTTGAGGAGTGATCATAACCTTGCAGATGGATCATAGTACACTTTTCAATGCCATCATAACTTCAAACTATCATTAAACAAATGGTTGTAAGTCAAGGACTACCTGTAGTTAGCTTTATATTGGGTTTTCTGTTCTAAATTACGGCTAAGATTATCTTTCAACTGCTTTGGAAAAATAAGCACTGGACTAAATGTGAAGTTCTTATTTTAACATCAACTGTTGTATCTGAAATGTTATGAAACATGTTAACATGAATTGAACAATGGGCCTTATCCAACAACATGACATTTAATGTGGAGAAAAGCAAGGTTTTACACCTAGACAGGAAAAACCAAAGGCACAAGTACAAAGTAGGCAAAACCTGGCTCAAAATTAGTAATTGTGAGAGAGTTCTTGGAGTCCTAGTGGACAATCATTTAAAAATGAGCCAGCAGTGTGTGGCAGCAGCCAAAAAAGCTAATACAATCCTTGGTTGTATAAACAGGCATAGAATCAAAATCATGTGGAGAATTAATACCACTCTATAAAGCCTTAGTAAGGCCACACCTGGAATATTGCATCCAGTTTTGGTCACCACATTACAAAAAAGATGTTGATACTTTGGAAAAAGTGCAAAAAAGAGCAACTAAGATGATTAAAGGCCTGGAGACAAAAACATATGAAGAACGGTTGCAGGAATTGGGTATAGTTACCGTAGAGAAAAGAAGGACTAGAGGTGAAATGATAGCACTATTCCAATATTTGAGGAGCTGCCACACAGAAGAGAGGGTCCACTTATTTTTCAAAGCACCAGAAGGCAAGACAAGAAACAATGGATGGAAATTAATCAAGGAGAGGAGCAACCTGGAATTGAGAAACTTCCTAACAGTGAGGACAATTAATCAATGGAACAGCTTTCCTTCAGAAGTTGCAGAGGCTTCATCACTGGAGGTTTGTAAGAAAAAACTGGACAGCCAGTTTTTAAAATGAAATGGTATAGGGCAGTGATGGCTAACCTTTTTGCTGTTGGGTGCCAAAAGCAAGGGGAGCGCAAAGGGGTCGCACGTGTGTGTGCCCATAACCATAATTCAATGCTCCCCCCGTGCCCCACCCCCCTGTGCTTTCGTGTGCAACCCCCAATGCCCCGTTTTGGGCCTAGCAGGCCTCCCTGAAGCCCATTTCGACTTCTGGTAGTTCCCCTTTTTCACCCTCCCCAGGCTCCAGAAGCTTTCTTGGAGCCTAGGAAGGGCAAAAATAGCCTTCCCCACTCCCCCGGAGGCCCTCTGGAAGCTAAAAATGCCCTCCCGGAGCCTCCGTGCGAGCCCTGTACTTACCTGGCATCCAAAATGGGCTGAGTGGAGACTCCTGGGAGGGAGGGACGGTATGGGCGGGGCTAGCTGAAAATTATCTGGGGAGCTGAGCTAGGGCAACAGCTCGTGTGCCCGCAGATATGGTTCCACGTGCCACCTGTGGCACGTGTGCCATAGGTTCGCCATCACATGTATAGGGTCTCCTGCTTGAGCAGGAGGTTGGACTAGAAGACCTCCAAGGTGCCTTCCAGCTCTATTCCTGAATAAAAATAGTTGGTTCTTCCTGCTGGAGCAAATGAAAGAAAACTGTGACTTATGACTGTACGGAGCCTGGAATTTCCATTGTAAGTTATAATTGTCATAAGTTGTGGCATTGACCTAATTTTTCAAACTTCTTTTTTTCCACAGCCATTAAGCAAATGCTACAGTGGTTAAATATGTGAATACATTCCTAATAGATTTTTTTTTTTTTTTGCCAGAAGCCAATCAAAAAGGCCAATTTCTGGCATTCTCCCCTCCCCCCCATTGCATAATGTGGCTGTGGAACACTACAACCAGCTGTAAGGGTGAACCATTTGCCAAACATCCAAAATGCAATCATGTGACCATCGGGGGGGGGTATATGTCACTATCAGATCTCTGCAACTGGGTCATAGATACCTTCGGGGGAGGGGGGATCTGTCCTAACTTCAGATGATCACTAAACAAGGACTATCTTTAATGCTACTAAGTAATGCTTACAGCATAAGGAATTTAATGGAAAGGCCAGTGTTCTGTTCAAAGCCTTTATTCGATCACTAGACCAAATGTGCAAATATTTTTTTTTTTTGCATTTTAGGAAGTTATTTTTAGAACTTTCGTTAGACCAAAAATGTGAGGGATTTTGTCCCTCCAGAAGTTTTGACCAATTCCACAAAATATTCTGTCATTAACTGAGTTTAATGGGTGCTCTCTATTAGACTTCCAATATCTGACCTACTGCACCACACTATTATGGAAAAGAATAGGGGAGAGCTACTGCTAAAAATTTTCCTGAGTGCCTCAACCATTGTTCAAACTGTAGCTTAGAGAGAGACTCTTCTAGGAATGCCTGGAGTTAATTCAGACAATGGTATGACAGAACGTGCTTTGTTTAAGTGCATTGCAAAAGCCTCAACCAATTTCCAGCTTTTTGGATAGCTAAAAAAAATCTGTTAGACCACAGTACATATGGATAAGACAAATTCTGCACTTGCTCCTCATTCTGGTTAAAACATTTTGTTTGTCCTGCCTATCACTGCAGGCATGCTGTGTAAAAAATTGGTGGTGTTTTCTTGAGGTAATGGCTGTTGTGGGGCCACAGAACTGGTTTGCCTGATACTTCTTATGTGTGGATTATCATAGCTTCTATTTTGAGATCTAAAACTACTTGCTTTCCATTTAATTGCAGATGCTGAAAATTGAAGGCCATGGCAAAAGCTGTTCCTTCCATTGGCTCTCAAGTATTCATTATCTATTCTCAGAAAGATTGAAATGCCAGAAAGACACTGATGCCAAGCTGTTTTCTTGTTTGAGGTTGTAAAACTAAAAGAATTCAAGTTCTTAACTGCATATGGGTTAACAATATAGTTGCCAACAGCATATTGCTTAATTGTTACTATGAATATAGAAGTTCACTCCTAAAAGGCTAGTAAAACAAATAAACTTGGTATAAAAGCAATGATGAAGAGTAAGAGAAATTTCCAGACCATGAAAATGGTTTACTGTAAGATTTTAGGACTCTGTAACTTTCTAGATGTTGAGGTATAATTCCTAGCATTTGTTACCATCGGCAATACCAGCTGCAGTTCCCAAAAATTGGAATCCATCAATATTTGGAAAACACATATTTTCCACCCAGTTAAATGTCTTGATATGACGAGTCATGATTCATCCCCATTTCCAAGATGATAGATCTGTTTCTTAGCACACAAATCTGATGCTGCAATTCAGTTTTCTGAATGATTTATGACATATTTTTAAGGCCCAGTTTTATTTTATAGAGTCAGGGAGTATTGCAGAGAAGCCTTATAGGGGAGATGGAAAGCATTAAAAAAATAACATTGTTTTCTTGTATTCTTTATACCTTTGTAGATGTAAAAAGATGTATTTTGGTATGTTCAGATATACTTTGACAAATGTAATGGTCCCTCTTGCAAATTTTGGGGTTTGTATTTGGGGGGAAATGACAATATCAGTTGCTTGAATAAAGATTTGCAGTTTACTTGAATTTCTTCAATTTCTCTGGCTAGTTTCAGTGGCAAAATCCAAATAACAAATGTATGCTTATTTAGGAAAATTGAAATTTTCTGTATTAATACAATCATTTTAGATGCTGAAGAGCAGTTATTTCAGTTACTGGTAGAATTTCTTGATCCCTTTTTCTAATAGTTTCTGCAAAAATGTTTATTGTGAAACTCAGTTTAAAGGTTTATCTAAAACAGTTCTCAGTAATTAAGTTGCTGTGTATTAATTTTATGAAAAACGGATAATGCCGGAAGACAACCATTTGATGTGGATGAGGGGCTACTTCGTAGCTTTCTCAGGAGTATTTCAGTCCCACCGCTACTTATTTGGCTGTCTCTGGGCATTACCACAAGTAGGAATAAGAATATCTTATTTCTTTTGGTGTGTGAAATAGGACTTGGTAGCACACTGAATTTACTAATTGCTATTAGAGCATGCAAGGGTCCACTGCATATTAAGTGTTTCTTCAAGGTCTCACTGGAGAATAGCCATGGGATCCTGAAAAAATTCACAGATACTTTAAGGAATTGTGGGGAACAGCTACACAAACATCTCAACCCAGTCTGGGATTCTTTACTTTCAAATCCAAAGTGCTGCACATCTATGGAGTCAAATACATCCGAGATTTGGACTTTGGAGAGCTTGTTCTTTGAAACTCAAAACTTTCTTCCAACAAACATTAACCTAATCAAAGATGTTGGTATTTATTTTGTATTAATCCAGAAGAAGCGATCTCTAATAACCTTAAAATGTTTATATCCCCAACAGTGTCTGCAGCAAAACATTGTGCTTTCGAAAGTTTAAAATCTACAAGTGACAAAATCATACATGTCTGATGCAAGTATGTAAATTATAGCACCATCAACCCCTGGTGATCAATGGGGTGACAGATGTCACAGCCAGATCATCCCTCACATCCAAATTATAGCACTTGTATGATTACATCAACTCTTAACATATCACTTGCCCCTCCCTTTGCATAAAGATTTATTTATTTTTATTATTTATTATTTTGTCAAACATGTAAGATAAAGATACTAAATATAAACATGATTATGAGTTCAGGATAAGGACACGAATATATGGGGACAGTAGGATAGGGATGGTAGGCACGCTGGTGTGCTTATGCATGCCCCTTAAAGACCTTAGGAATGGGGTGAGGTCAACAGTAGACCGTCTAAGGTTAAAGTTAGGGGGTTTGGGGAAGTAACCACGGAGTCAGGTAGTGCATTCCAGGCATTGACTACTCTGTTCCTGAAGTCATATTTTCTGCAATCGAGTTTGGAGTTTACCTTAAGTTGGTATCTATTGTGCGCTCGTATATTGTTGCGGTTGAAGCTGAAGTAGTCATTGACAGATAGGACATTGTAGCAGATAATTTTGTGTATTACGTTTCAGTCAGACCGAAGGCGGCGTAGTTCTAAGTTGTCTAAGCCCAAAATTTCAAGCCTGGTGACATAAGGTATTCTGTTGCGAGCAGAGGAGTGAAGGACTCTTCTCATGAAATATCTCTGGACTCGCTCAATTGTATTAATGTCTGATATGCAGTACAGATGAGCTGTATTTGAGAACTGATCTAGCAAAGGTTTTGTATGCCCTAGTTTGCAGTACAATATTACCGGAGGAGAAGCTTTGCAAGATTAGGTTAACAACTCTTAATTAACTTTTTGGCAATGCTGTTACAGTGAGCTCTGGCACTTAGATCATTAGAGATGAGTACTCCATGGTCCTTGACAGTGAGGGTCATCAACGAGGTCGTATCCGCCCAGCTTGTATTTTGTGTTCTGATTTTTTTTTTTTGCCAGTGTGTGAGACAGCATTTGTTGGTTGAGATTTGGAGTTGCCAATTGTTTGACCATTCTGACACATAGTCAAGGTCTCTTTGTAGGGTAGCGGCATTGTCAGTGGTGTTGAATAGTTTTATATCATCAGCGAAGAGAACACAGTTGCTTTTAATATGATCGGAAAGGTCATTTATGTAAAGTATAAAGAGTGTGGGTCCTAAAATACTGCCTTGGAGGACACCCCTGTTAACAGGTGCAGGGTTAGATAGGGCACTCCCTATTTTGACTACTTGTTGCCTGTTTGATAGGAATGCAGCTATCCACTATTCCAAGAGTATGCAGGGATCCGGAAATGCCATAGGATTTTAGTTTTAGAAGTAGTTTGCCGTGTACCACTGAATCCAAAGCTTTACGAAGTCTATGTAAATTGTGTCTATTGCTTTACCCTGGTCGAGTTGTGTAGTCCATATGTTTTTGCAGTGTAAGAGTTGCAGATTGCAGGACAGTTTTTTTCTGAAACCAAACTGCTTGTTAGAGAGTAGGTTGTTTTGAGTTTTAGCCCAACTTTATTACTTGATTGATTGATTGAATATTAAATGATCAGTCTTATGACCATATAAAAATATAAAATAAAATACAGAATAAAATTTCAGGACAAAATAGTTAAAAGGAAATACAGTAATAAAATACGTATGTGGTAAATACAAGGAATCAATATTCACATAAACACATCAACTTCACAGGACACTTCAATCTGTTCATCGCAACCTGTTCTTAGGTCAACTGCCTTAATTATAAACTTAAAACTTCTGTTGTTATTATTTTATAAGTAATTCAAGACAGTGAACGCAACACTCCTACCTCCTATTTTTCCCACAACAACAACCCTGAGAAGTGGGCTGAGCTCAGTATGATTGGCCCAAAGTCACCCAGCTGGCTTCCATGCCTAGGTAGGACCAGAACGCACAGTCTCCTGGTTTCTAGATCAGGAACTGCAAACTAAACTGCCTCTCCTCCTCCCCTTCTGGATCAGGATTTTTTTTCCAAATCCAGAATTTAAAATGTGAAAAATTTGTGAATGTAAGTGGTAATTATATACCACAGTCTTGCTTGTGAGGAGGCCTTTCTTTTTGTGTTTCTTTTTGAATAAAAAACTCCCAACATTTTAGATATACTATATAAACATTTATTTGGAGAAAGAAAAAACAGAATAAGGTAGGTAAACAACAAACTATTGTATTCAAAGTCAAAGTTAGACAGTTATATTTTAACCCTTTGTATAGAATTTTGGGGTTTCTTAACAAATTTTGCAGAGATAGCTGATAAAACTTTTTTATCCCACCTTTATTGTTTTTACAGAAAGGTGGTGAACATACTTAATATTCCATCCTCTTGTTTTCCCCATAACAGCAACTAAGTGAGATATGTTGGGCTGAGAGAGTGACTGGCCCAAAGTCACCCAGCCAGTTTTCAAGATGCTATTAGTTGGACTCTTCATATAAATTTCCCTTAGCAGAGAGGTGCATTTGTTGCCTGCCTAAATGATTTATGCCATCCCTTTTATCAGATGTTTAGCCAGCAATTATAAAATTTCTTAATTTGGGTCAGGTCCATCTAGCAAACCTTTATCTGAATTAGTCAATGAAAATTGGACAGGCTATTGTACAAAGGAGCTGTGTATTGAGAACACACTACGAATTTTAGTCTGTCAAGTTTTCCATTTTGGGAAACGGGGGTTCTGTCAAGCTTTAAAAGCATGTGAGGATTTGTCACAAAATAATACCTCAGTGTCATGTGATACTGGAGAGGCTTAAAAGACCAGTTGGGATTCCAAGGATGCTTTGCTTCATTTAGACAGATGCTGGTAAACTTTTAAATATACAAGTCCTGTTATCCTGCTGGAATGTTCCATATCACTGGAATGTCACCTGTAAATCAGCCTTTGTTAATAGGTCCAATTCTTTTAATGCTCTTTTTTATGCCACAGTCTTGTAACTGTAAATCTGTTCATAGTTTTTACAAGCTATCAATTTGTTAAAGCATCAGTAGAAAATCCATTGGTAACTTCACACTCTTGTAATTTGCTGGATAATCTCCAGTAGGAATCTGGTGGCAGCTGAGAGAGCTGGTCTGCTCTTTTTCATTTTCTTCTGTCTGTAAAAATAGCCTTTGCTGGATTTCTGCATCTGTGATTCTCTCACTTCCCATGGCTTTGACTGACTTCTTTTTATGTTTGTGTTGTCCTAAATGAAGAATAAAACAATGGAAACTGTCATCATTGGGAACACAGATGATCAATTCATTTGGATGACCTTTGGAAAAGAAAAATGTCCAAATCTGCCAGGTTCAGTTGAAAATATCATTAATTATAACTTTCTTTTTAGATAATGATTCTAATTTTTTAAAATGTGGAAATCTTCCGGATGGAACATTGGAGAAGTACAGTAGTGGCCAAAATTGTGGAAAACTTTTGGGAATAGTGTATTTTCTAAAACTAGCTAATAACACCACTTTTTTTTAATAGTACCATAAAATTATATATCAATCGAAAGATAATGTAATCAAGAATGTAATGCAATAATTTCTATGAAGGATTTGCTATTAGAATAGCAGTTACAGTATAAAGAAAAGTGAAACACGTAGAAAAAATGAGATATACAAAAATTATCACCATAAAAAAAAACGAGATATACAAAAACTATCACATCAGTTAATATTTAGTTGGGTAACCTTTAGCATGATTTATGGCCTTACAATGTCTTCCCATGGAGTGAACCAAGTCTTTTAGTTCTGCAGCTATTATAATGTGAAACCAAGATTGAATTATTGCTTCTATTAACTGCGTTTTATTGCTGAGTCGCTTCTGACTAACAAGTTTCTTTAGTCAGCTCCATAGATTTTCAATTGGTCTGGGCTATTCCCAGGCCATTCCAGCAGTGGAATATAATTATCTTGAAACTCCAAAAAAAGTAGTGTTATTAGCCATCAAACCTCAAAAATATACTTTTCCCAAAAGGTTTCCACAATTTTGGCCACTACTGTAATTAATGGATTGAAATCACAATGTTCAATTTCCATCCGTATATTCTGTGTACCACTTGCTCCTAATACTAATTTAGATTATCTCAAAACTTTATTGCAAATATGAAACTTTAGATAGTATCTTAACTCAGATGGTTTAACATTCTGTAATTGTTTA